CATTTAAGCATTGATGTAATTTTTTTGGTTTCATAGGGGTATGAAAAAAATTTGTTTGCAAACTGTATGAATCCGCTTATAAACCTATAAACCGTTTTAATTTTTTTAATGAACCAAGTAGAATGGTATGTTTTAACACCGATTCAAAATATCGGAAAGACATCCAATCGGAAAATATTAAACATGCTATACATAAAACAGATCCGTTATGTTTAGTCATGCATGAACTGTATATAAACGACTGAGGGACGGTATATATTTAATTTATAAGTATCTACATAATTGATAGCACATATCTATTGCTTACCTTCTATATTCCAAATATTTGTCTACAGATTCCGCGTTTGTGCCATCAAATTTGAGGTGATACTGTCTATCGTTGGCCATAGTGATCCTTGTTGTGAAGCCTAAACTGGATCTGGCGAAGCTCCGGGTAGAAATTACAGCCGTCAACCTACGTAGTATTTATATACACAATGGATCTATATACATTAAGTAGTTTGCTTCAGAAGTTTTCAACCACCGTATATAGCTACCATATTACAGGAAGCATTTATATATATATATATTACCACATACACTTTTAAATCGTAAACGACACCTATTTTAACTTGGAAATATGATCTTTATCATTAAATGCTCGAGATTAATTTATATGCATTAAAATTTGTAAAACATATAATTAATTTATTGATATAATAGTATCACATTTGCTTAACGATCGAGACCCGATATAATTTTCACATCAGTAAGTCGACGTTCCGTAAACGGTATTCCTAGTCTAATTTCTTATCATTGTTTCACGAGGAATAATGGCCGTTTAAATGACTATTCACACCTAGAGCATTGCATTAAAGAAACATAAACTCCGAAACAAAACATAAAACATCGCATCATCATGTTCATTAATCTTCCAACATGAAATGATCAATTTTGTTCCCGATATGTGGAATATAATCCCAAATGCCTTAATATTCTGATCATTTTGGCGTGGAATAGTTTTAAGAAGGTAGTATCATGTATTTCCGTGGGACTGCTTTTTTAAAAATTTCGTGAACAATTGGTTTCATGGAAAAATATAATCGATGAAATCTACTTATCAACTTCAACAGTTTGTGGACATATGAATGCAGGGATTAAGAAGAGAGATTCCACGAAATCAATAAAAATAAGATCACCATAAAAATAAATGAGTTTCTTTCTCGATTTTATCCTATGGTCGAAATTAGGAGGGAACTTGCACTTCCTGCTGTAATTTTACTTACCTCTTCGTATTCTGTTCACTGTAGAGTATTTTATCAGTTCCGTATTAAATAAATGTAATTTTCGAATTTGTTTTGTATCTTTCTATTTTCATTTTTATGTTATACGTATGAATAATGACACTTCACAGAATACACACAAGTACTTGACGTTCTTCTAAATGTATTCTTCCTTAGAAATTAAACATTTATTGGGGTTAATACACCTAAAGATTTGTGTTTTATCAGTGTGTCGACCAAGCTTGTTTTTCCGGATTCTTTGTCTTGATTTCTAGACGTTAGAGCCCTACCACCACCGACAAGTTATCAAGGGGAGCAACTCCTGCATATTCAAGTGATTTAAACATGTTTTATTATTAGTATTAGATAAATGGATCAGAGACAAGTTCTAGCAACTTATGAACTCTTCTCCATAAATTAAATGACAAATAATTAAAATACTGCACGTGACACATATTTATACTATAAATATGAAGATAAGTAATTCGTAGATATGCAATTGTAAGTTTAAATCATTTTGTCAAAAGGAGGAAAAGATGAGATGATAGGATAGAAAGAAAAGAAGAGAAAAAGAGATAGGATAGATTTTATATAAATTCTATATCAATTCAGAGCCGACTACAAACAGTTCATAATTAGGCAGTGTTAAAACGCTTTGTTTGTTTTATAAACTTTTAAACAGATTTAACAATATTACAATTAGCGTCACGTGAGTAAACATCACTGTCGCCCCATAAAATAGTTTCTGTATTAAAATTTACGTCTAATCATACAAAGTATCAAACAATATGTGTCTACAATTAGAAAATGATGAACATGAAAGGAATAGTGACTTGCGTCTTCAAATACCAACCCTATAAAAATCTGAACGCATGCCACTACAGGAATGTCTAATGCGGTCATGTATAACAGAGAGGTATCGATTATTAGAATGTAAATAATCAGGACAGGAACTAAAGAGCGTATGCTGGTGTTGGATTCTAAATATTTTCAGTGATACAGCCGATTTAGTAGAATTGTCTAAATTATTTCACAGATTTATATACGACGGAACAAAAGACTTTTTCATAATATCCAGTCGACTTCGGGGGACTTGATATTTGTCTTGATTTCTTAACTCCATGTTGAAGTCGCGCCTATTAGGTGGTATCAAGCTTTCTAAGTATGGAGGGACGTTTTTGTTATGCATTTTATAGAATGTGGTAAGCCTTGATTCCTCTCTTCTCTGTATAATCAAGTGTAATTCATTAAATGGCACATATTATATCAAATTTGTAGATCTAAAGTTTACTTTCACGAACATTTCTGTGAACCATCCTTTCAAATTTTAGTATATAAGACTGTAGTACAGCCGAAAAGTTCTGTGATTTCATTACCATCTCGTACGCCTCATACTTCAGTTTAAATTTGTTTCATCCTGGTCATTTGTCTGATGAAGGTGACATTCTATTCAATGAAAGGTCAAAGAAAAATGTTTAAACTGGATGCGACATAAAAACATTCATTCGATTCTAATTACGACAGTATGCTTTAATATTGCGTAGTTTTCATATATATACATGATTTAACGTTGTACTGTTGACGCTTTGACACTTCAGTAGAATTAAAATGACATGTAATCAAATTCAGTGTCAAGATTCTTGTGGACATTTGTGTGAAAATTCTTATCATTTTTTCTTTATGTGTTGTCATTATCATTTACAAAGAAATGTTCTTTTTCAACATTTAGATGATTTAAATTTACCCATACATTGTGATTTAGATTTGATATTGTATGGTAATAATGATCTTTCTTTTGAAACAAACTCGAAAATTTTTTTGAATGTCCAAAACTTTATTAAATCTAGTAATAGGTTCACTTAACGTCATCCGCCTAAACTACCCAATCAATCCTCTCTCTCTCTCTCTCTCTCTCTCTCTCTCTCTCTCTCTCCTAAAATATGTAGTGTATTTGTTGCCATATGGCTATTGCGTTGTCTAACTATATTTTGTTATATATTGGGGAAAGGGTGTTTCATAAGTTGTAATAACTTGTACCTAATCCTGTTGTAATAATTTTTGCAATAAAATATGTTTAATTCAAATTCAAAAAATTTATAAAAATATATTCATAGGCATAAAAAGTTTTATTCAATCCTTAGCATTATAGACGATATTGATACATGAATTGATTTTTTTAACTATTCAGCCAATACCATGGTAGCATATTGATGGACAACAAGTTAACTTATCAAAATGTAAATTCTTCATTGGCAAAATGTCTGGATTTATCATCCAGAAAAGAGACATCGTTATGTGTTGTTTTATAATTGTCATTTTTATATCGGAACAAAAACTCGCGTTAAACAAGATTCTGGAAATATTACATCCGTGCGGCAATAAATTCATGGTTTTGGTATTGCTTGCTTTTAGTATCACAACCATCTTATGCAACGTAATTTGATTTTAAGACAATCCCAAAACATACCCTGATTTTTTTACATCCGGAAAAATAATTTTTCAATTAAGGTGGCGTTTTCAGGTGCCACTTCAAAACATTTATTCAGGTGTAATGTAAATAACTTTTAAGTGTGGCAGCTTTTCCATTAAGTCTACATCCTCCTAATAAAACAGTAATAAGTGTTACTCTTTCATAGATACCTTCCTAATGGATAGATATCGCATACCAATTTTCAGTTGTCGTTTCATCTTTTTTCTCTCCCGGAAAAGAATTCGAGGATATACTCAACAACATGACCATTGAGTGTGTTTTTATTGGTTTTCACGAGACTGGTCTTTATACATACACACAAAGTTCTTTTGTCTGTCGTGAATTTTCTTCTGTTCAATGTCTATTTCCTGTCTATATCAATACGCTTTCAAACATTGATTGACACTTTATTTTTGATGCACAGTGCAGAAAATATAGTGCCATTATTTAATGATAATTTTTTCTTTGTGTTCGTGGAAATCTAAAGAAAATAAATAATTACTCTCTTTATGGAAAACGTGGCAATTTTAATTCTTGGAATAATGCTACATTAATCAACAATATAGGGATGCAAGTAGTGTGTTTATACATGTATTGCGCTAACGGGAAGGCGTAAGAAATGTATTTACTGCACTTATTTCATAATCGTTAGAGGTGAATAAATTTCGGATGTGATTTTGTCTTTTATGCGTAATATCACTTTAAATACTCTCTCGCGTTTGGCCTCGACACCGACTCATATTTGACCTTTAGTTGAGTGTTCGCCCCTGTGAGGAAGGCACAAGGAGGCTTACAAAAAATCGTTGTCTATCAAAACAAATGCACTCAACACACATGAAAATTCATGATAATAGAAGTCTTTACCCTTCCATAGTGAATTGAATGGTGTCAGCATTACGTTTTAACTTAAAAATGTACATTATAGACCAATAGATTTTATCTTTCTGCTTGGATGTAACAATACTTTCATTCAAAATGTCACGGAAAACTTATTTTTGCAAATAAATCCAATACAAACCTATTGGATATGAATATATCACAACAACAAGTCGATAGCATCAGTATGTACAAGATAATTTACATTTGATGTCATGACGTTACAATCTACGATCACGAACATTTTTCTAGCAAGACTGGAAGAGTAAATCATTGTGAAATCTGACATCATCCTAACGTCTTCTCGGGAAAAAAATTCAAATGGTCTCAGTAACCTATACAAATTTGTATGTTTCGCCCGGCCGGAACATTTTGACGAACAACTTGACCGTCTAAAGATCAACTTCACAGACATATCCAGCAGTGTATGTGCACGCCTCCGAATACCATTTGTATGAAACATCTGCTACCATCAAGACACATGTTTCAGACACCAGTTTGTCGTCTGCTGCATCAAAGGCGTTATATACCAACAGGGTGGCGTCCCTCCAATACCACTGAGAGTTACCTGTATTTAAAGTTGCTCCTATATAGAATCCAACGAAACTTTCTCCTAAAAAGAATATAATTAAATTAAATATACAAAAAACATAAGAAATGCATCTAATGAGTTATTCCTCTGAATTCGTATTCATTGTTTTTTTTTTTTTTCGTTTTTTCTTTCCCGGTCGCTCATGAGACCAATATAGTTTTTTAGTGTTTACATCCTGTATGTATTCATCGGGTTCCTTGGTCGCTATCTGTTAGAGGGTTGACCCCCTAGAACCAATAGGTTTGATGTTCATTATCATTCTCAAAGTACATGGGAGTTACTCATATTGAACGATAACAGGAACGCATATACCCTATCCATTTCTTACATACTCCCAAATGTTTACATTCAATACACTTTCCGTGACTATGTGTGATTGATAAAGGCGTCTGCTCTGACTAAATGATACATTACATAATATAATCATCGAGCTGTTCCATTTTTCGTTATTTTCGGGGAATGCATGATATCAAAAAAATAGCAACCACGAACACAGGATTTACAAAGAAAACCTTTGCTCGTTTCAAATTGAGAAATAATTAAAATTATGAATCATTAAAGAAACACAATGCTCGAGCGTTTTACGTTTTACTTCATAGGACTTTTGTATTTGCCATTTCTATGTTGCAATCATTATTCAAATTATTGGAGAGGGGTAAAACCTGGATGTACTTATCTGTGTGAATTTAGTGATATAATACCGCAAACGGCAAAACTTTCGCTGCAGTTTTACTTTCACCTATTTTGACGGTAGGGCGAAAACAAGAGATGGTCTAAATTCGTATCGTAAAGCTGAATCATATGTATAATGTATTTTAGGGCAACTTTTAACAGAGGGGTAATGATTAAAAGTTTTATTCAAAGGTGAAAAACAATCCTGTACGAAGACAAAAAAAAAAAACTCGTGCGAATTCACTCATGTAAGTAATTGTTCTTACCGGTTAAAGATGAGTTAATGTGCTCGTAGGTTGCAAACATCCCAGATAGCCTTCCGCACCAATTTCCGTCAGAACAAACATCATTACATGTACCATCGGGTAGCTTTTTAGCGCCGACCTGGAGATCTCCACAGTAACATTCAAAACCTATCTAAATAACACAATGGCAAATTCAGGGGAAAACAATTAATAAGAGAGGATTCAGTCAGCCATTTAACTTGTTAAAGTATCATAATTTAACATTATATTTTTCATTATAAATGCGTGATTCAATATTATTCTTATAACGGTAGGATATGAAATATTCATTTTCGTGGGAAATTTATTTCATCATTTTCGTTGTGACCCAATGATTCGTATGTCACAAACTGTTAAAATATGTAGATTTATTGAAGTTGTATTAAAAATAAAATGAAAACCTATGAAAATTCAGCTGCACGAAAATATATGATTTTGTATTATACGGTATTCAAGAGATATCAGCCTAGATTTTAAAAAGTGAAATACGAATACATGCATGCAACATGTATTTCCTTGCATGCGTAAAATATTTACGAAATAGATTATGAACATGAAAAATATATAATACAAAAACATATTACTATTACAAAATGAAACCAACCATTAGCAAAGTATGCGTCGTTCCAAGCGGTTCGCAAATATCGAAACACATCTGCATTGTTATATTGTTATCCTGCAGTTGTAAGATTAAGTTATCAACATTATCACCTGAGTAGCACCCTTGTAGAACTGGTTCAACAGTCGACATCTGGACAGGGGTTGGTGTTGTGGCTAGATGGGTAAAAGGAATGCATGTTTATAAATAGCACGATTTAGTGACGCAATAATGAAATAAATCTTAGTTTGTCCGGTGTATTATTTATTTATTTACTTATTTATATGAATGGTAGTTTGGCAGACAGATATCTTAACAAATTTGTTTTTTGAAAATATTTATTGAGCATTCTGCTAAAAGTTAAACCTGCGTTCCTATATCCATTTATACTTGCTTTGTCTAAATATTGTTCCTGACCCTTCAAATGGATATTTACTATTTTGATTTAAACCTTATTTAAGCCTTTTCACGAAAATCTACAATGCATTATTGATTTACATCAAAATTAAGTGAAAAGATGAACGATATTAGTAAAGAAAGGTCTGTTAATAGAATTTTCTTTATACCAGATGTATAAAGTGTTTTATAATTTGACATGTTGTTGAGTTATTGTATATTACATTGTACAAATTGTATATGCTTACTAGACATAAGACTGAGTGTGCCGACAACCACATTTTGTTTCTTCTCGCTGTTCAGAATTGCTAGCGTGGAATTTCTCGCTGAACATGCGCTATCTGAAAGCGTCTTGGTGAGAAGATCAGATTCTGCCCGATAACAAAGGCCTGCATCTCGCTGATGGACAAATCCGTTATAAACATCACATTTAGGATCTGTATAAATACAATTTGCTGAATGAATATCTTTCACAAACAAACATATTGCTACTGACGTTGAAGTGTCGATTAGACAGCAGAGGAACAAAAAAGTGTTTAATGTTATCTGTTATCTCCATCGTTATCGATTATAAAACAGCATCCCCATTCAGTCTCAAAAGCTAAACTAGAATAAAGCATGAAATACTTTAGTACAAATAAAAATGATATATAGAAAAGGAAAATGGATTTGTTACAGAAATCGTTCGACATTTTTTAAGGCAAAAAACAAGATCGCACCAGCTTTCAACACCTCATAACATGTCAGCGTTAGAAATTTTATCATGCATAAATATTCCATGTTAATTTGATATTTATGAAGTTATACAGTATATATATTTAGTAATTTCTATTTCAGATGCCCGTCCTCGTATAATCCACGCTGTTATGAGGGCGTTGAGTTGCGTAACAACGAATTCTATTTGTGAACCTTACTGGCAAGATATGTTTAATAAAAAACAAGGTCACACAGCATCAACCATTTCGATTTGACACACCAATCAATTTATTCCATCAGTCAGATATAATTTTATCGACATGGTTCTAGTTGCAAGCGTCAAAATTACATTTCCCCTTTATGATCTTTTAGGTGTGTAATTGTATTTGCGGAAACATAAAAGGGCGGTTAAACATCAATTTGCACCACTTCCTGTATAGGTACTTCAATTTTTTAAAAAACAGAATAAGAACACGTTTATTTTTGTTTATATCAGAACTGTCCAATGCCAACGGGAATGATATTCTCAACAATAAGCCAGCATCATGGATCGGGATTTTCAAAATATAAAGATACATATATATTGCATTGTTTTGCCTATCCACGTAAAAAAAATATTTATGGTCCATACAAGCTCACGATTTTCGTTACATATCTTTGCTTTCCATCTAAGTTAGATGATATGAATTTATACACGCTAAGACAATAACAAAGAAAGTTTTATTATATAACGAAATATATCAAAAGTTGGTTTCCAATTGATGATCAATGATTTTTCAATGTATCGAAAAAGGTCAAGTGACTTTAAAGATTCTTCCAGCGGAAACGTATATTTAATATTCATCAAACGATAACTTGACACCTAACATATATTATAGTATACATGTAGATCACTGAAAATTTCTTTTTCAAGTGTAAAAAATCTAGATAGTTTGGGCTTGTTAGCATTATGTGTTATGTCAGTTAACTGAATGTTAAGTTCTCAAACGGAGAACAGTTTCATAACAATGAAACTACCAGTTACATTGTCATATAGTAATCCAGATACATCTTGTCATTTACCTCCGACTGCTCTGTAGTAGTGCCATCCTGTTTCACTGACGAAGAAATCGGAGTTATAGAACACGTTGCTGTGAAGTCTACAAGCCCTGGTGACTGTGTTATAGAAAACACTCATACAGGCAATGTTCCTGAGACAAATTTCCACACATAACATAAGGAGGCGAATGTTATTCATAGTTTCCATGAAGTTTTGAGTGCTGTATCCGCCAGCTAAATGCCCATCCTCAAACGCAAACATCTGAACAATGGTAGACATCGCCGAAACTTTTCACTCTGACAAAAAAAAAATAAATAAATAAATAAATAAAAAAATGAAAAATGGTAGAGTGATGACTACAGCACAGCTAGACATCATACGAAAATTATTTCTTTCGTTTCGTTTTTCATTTTTACTATTTTCGCGTTTTAAACAATTTCTTGAAAGTTGACCATCGCGAGTTATAAGACGAGAAATAACAATATAAATACCCACTTTGTGTTGATTATATATGTCAGTGTTTACTTTAAGAGAAAACAATCCCGAAGAACTAAAATAAAATTAGATTACTAATAGCAATTACAGTCTGTTTCACAAAAACTTAATCTCTACTTAACTGTGATACGAAAAGTTCGAAAGTTAATAGTTCCAAAAGAAAGTTGGGAAATAGTAACCCCGATGCATACATGTATTATTTTGCAGTCGTCAATGGAAGTTAACTTCATTTAAAACAAAAGAGAAATTACTCTAAAAATGAAAGTGAACTTTCCAGGTTCGGCGAAGTTTCTAACTATGCTAATGTATCTGTAGGTAGAAAATAAGTCGTTTTATTAACACATTTAGGAAACAGTCTAAAAAGGCAAATATTGTAAATATCATATGATTTTAGAGACTCGTGGTGTTAAACTAGCCAAATGGATTCAAACACAGAAGTAGTGCACATGTAAAACTATTCGAATTCTCTGTAATTTCTCTGAAAATTAGCTTTTTGTACGTATATCTTTGAAAATGCATATTAAAAGCACGCATAAATAAACTTTAGGAATTTGGCAAAATGTTCTGAACTCACCATTTAAGAGACATGGAGATAGTGAGATTCGAAGTCCTCAAGTTACACAAAAGAATAAAAAAAATGATATCAAATGATGATAGGGATATAAAGGGATATTTTTGTACACTATTTCATTGAAAGACCATAACTTAAACTCGGTGAATTAGCATTCTCCTCAAATCTATTTCAGAGGCAAGACATATGGCCTTCTTCGCGAGGGCAAACGTAAAGAAATACAAAGCATTGTCAAGTAAGGGAATTTATTATCAGAAAATACAAAAAATCATTGACACTACAGTCTTGCCTGATTACATTTTTAGATATTAAAGAAAGGATATCTTAAGGTGGTTTCAATTTATAAATACCACAGAAATTCTTAAATTAAAAAAAAATTGTTAATGATTTTTTTTCTGTAAAGTAATGTTTACTGAACTTACCTGTCAAAGCTGTTCAAGGTAATACCGATAGAATAACGTTCCAGAATGATGTGGCCGGGTTCCAACAGCGTAAATATACCTATTGTATCAATTCGAAACCTCGACTCTATGGAATTCCGTATACGACAGCGTCCTGTCTATTACTCATTGCCTGTACTGCTTGCTGTTCCCTGCTAGCCGGCTTACTGATACTCGTATATGGAACTCCGTAAACGACAGCGTCCTGCCTATTACTCATTGCCTGTAGTGCTTGATGTAACTCGTATATGGAACCCCATACGTTCCGATCACAAGTCTATTGCCTGGGTGGCGAGACATTGTTGAAATAGATAATTAGTAATATCACTTGATATTCGGCAATCTGTTGGTAATGCATAATCAGTTAGTTACAAATATAGAAGTGACATAGTCGTTAAAAGATCTAGGTAATTGAAATCTGTAATTTAATTCTAAATGCAACAATAAATACCAAGATATTAAGAAAGATGAAGTTATTCAAAGTTATTATAGAATTGATGGACATGCCCTTATGGCTTACATATCAAGCTTAGACCGGTAAGAATAATGATTCACTCGATTAGGAAATGGATTTTGTTTTCAACTAAACAGACTGTGTTAATATTGAAAAAAGAAATTAAATTTCATCAAACCTATTCTAAATCCTGAAATAGCATGGTTTCTGAAAATAATAAGATACGAAGGAAACCATATAACAAAGCTGTAGTCATGATAGTAAGCCATATTTTATTCAAAACGGGTGTGTGACATGATAAATGACAAGACAAATTACCTTTCTGGGTAAGTAGATAAACTAGTTTGTTATGTCAAAGTATTTAAAAAAAAAATCATTATATCAATTTGTATAAGATCTCAACTATATAATCTTTATCGAAATATTTTCAATAGTAAATTGGGATCAAAAGATTTGTCGCATCAGTGCTCATGGTGGACTGGATTGAGGTTACGTAACAGTACTGTAACCTGTAACCCAGTCGATAATGAAATTCTAATTCTATTACAGATAAAGTTTTATATCTACACAAGAAGTCCCTCATTCCTTTCTTGTAGAAATATGAACTGTACGATGGATGTGAGTGAGTAGTGTACATCTCATGTTAGTGTGTGTAAATATGTGAATTACAAAGGGGTGTTTTTGAGTGTAAGTACATATACTAAGAAAAGAACCTTATCTCATTGACATTTATCATCTCATCCTCCAGACATACATAACATTCAGTTTTATGTCTGGCATGTTTCTTCGTTATGACGAGAATCGCTACAGTATTTTATCTCTCTGCGCTGAAATCTGTAAGGGTATTTTCATGACTTTTAACTTCGGTTACTTCAAATGTAGCTTAACAATTTCCCTAAATCGATCCCATAATAAACTTATTGAAGATATGTTTTCACGGGATCGTTAGTGTCACATTCTTTTCTAGATTTGACAGTTCTATTCTCGGGTAACTTCATAAAATCTCGCTCTCAAGTTACACTCGCATGAAAACATCATAATATCAAAATAACAAGCTCTGTTTGATTACTTGCAGGTAGCGTGTGTCTACTAGCATGCACATCTGTTAGCTCCTCAATAAGCCTAACATGATTTCTACGGCAACATAAAAGTCATGGTGACAAATTGTTGGTGACGACAGATATTGAAAAGTTCTGGTGAATGTATACAACGGGCATGTTCAGTAAGTGAACATGAAGAACCTGTTCTTTGTGGAATATTCTTTGCTATAAAATCAGCCTTGTTTGAAAACAGAGGGTCAAAGGTTGGATTGAACATATAGACGGGCCAGCAATAAAACGCTGTTTATGTGGATTTTAGTGAAGTTTAAGAATCCGATTTAAACCGGGGAGGTCCGTATCCTTATCGTTATTAGGCAGTATCAATTACTGTATAACTGAAGCATGATCATCCAGTATTTCAGGGAAGATCGCATAATATACAGATCAATTTCTTTCTGTATGCAGGAAGTGTAATGATGTCTGTACAAGTTATTGGACGCCTTATCTGCAGGCACAGTGACATGGCTGTCATGTAAACCTTGAAGTGAAGATTTAGCATTAGGATCGTGGAACACTAACCTGTTTTGTTTTCACTTCAGATTTCATGCCGTTGATTATTTTAAGATGATGGACGGAACGGATTTGACCCCCTCAGAGAGTGAATCCAACGTTTCATGTTCTTGTTTCCATCACTCTGGCATAGCTTTCAACGAATCCATAAGTATTTTAAAAATCATATTTCAATTAACGGACAGGGTTTTCCGATTGGAAAGTTACTGGATAATCGCAACTGAAGAACGGATAGGTTGCATATGTAAGAAAGCCTGAATTCTGCCACATCATCAGTAATTTTATCAAGTCTTCATGTTAGTTTTCTTTAAAGGAAGCAGTAAAACGTGGTCCAAACGTGATGGACACCTAATGGTTTCAGTAAAGTATCAATCCGATTTTTAAACGTGACAGTATAAGATTTATTGTAATGTGGCGGTCTATGGCTACAATTGTGTCTAACTTGAGGATTGAATAAAGCCATAATGTTAGTATTACCACATGCAAATTTCCACACAGTTATCGCAGCAGTGCCGAGCAGTCTAATATAGTATTCCTCACCTTTTCTTTGGCACGGTGTGTTACGTGGGGTCATTTGCACGGACTCATTAACGGTATAGAATGGTTAGGGGGTTGAAATGTTGATAAAAATCACTGACTTTCAGTGGTTTTCGTAGAAAGATTTGGGAATTCTCTTGTGCATAAAAACAACGCCCACTAGGGGCACTAGTGCTCTGGAGTCTTCCATTTAAGTCAACTATAGGCTTCTACTCTTAAAACAAAAGATCAAAGATGCAAATCTTTTAATATACATGTTTATTTTATTATTTTTACCTTAAAAATCACAGATGTATGTTCTGATTACTGTGATGAATTAATATAAGTGAAAGTAAATGCAAAATTTCCAATAAACAGTTTTCCAGTTTGTACATTCTAAATCTAAAGTGCCAACGAAAATTGGAAACTGTCAAGCATAATTTCATGATGACAACAGATTTCTCTTAATTTATCTATAATTTGAAAAAAAAATTTTTACTCATCTGCCAAACGTGAAAGGTTACTTCCTTGCATACATTTCTGAAATATAAACAACCTTGTTTATTTAACTTTTTATTCTCTCAATGAACGAAAACCACTTATGGGGAAGGTAAATTTTATTCTCATAGGTGGACAATGACTTTCCAATCTGGTTGTAAATTCTGATACTGCACTATGTATATAGAGTTATAGAATCTGTTGTCTTTGTGTAATGATAAGGATAACAAAACCGATGGAAAGCTGTTTGAAGCTTAGAATGAGGTTGTGCAAGGTGAAGAACTAAACTCTTGTCTTGAAGTTTGAAATCTCCCTGTATATACTTAACAGTACCAATATTACTTCAACAGACACTTTATATACTGATTATTGTCAAAACAATTAACTACGCTGAAAAAGACTACAGAATTGGTAACTTGCTTTCATTCATCAGTTTAGAACTTAATTTAATGAAGAAATCACTTTTATCGCTGATATTTATTCAGCAATATTATTATGTGTGGATATTTTGCTAATATTTTCTTGGGTGGAAATACACTGTTCACAATATAGGTAATAAATATATCAGGAATATGAATGTACCTCTCATGTCAGCTATGCATATTCAGAAAAGTTAAAAACATATTTCAACTTTGGTAGATATATTTGTAAGGGAATTAGTCCCTGTATACATAGTTTGAAAAGATAACACAGAAATAGATAACAATATCTGCTCAATTAATACATTGACAATCTTATAAAGAAGCACATACAAGTAACAACAAAACCGATACATATTGCAGACAAATATAATCAGTAACAATTAAATACATTAAAATTGTGTGCATGTACAAAGAATATAGCAACGCATATTTAAGTAGAGCACTGAAGGCAATCAAAACTCCCATATGGTATTTAGTAAGTCCCCTCCCCCAAATCCCCCCTCCACCCCTCCCCCTCCCCACAAAAAAAAAATGTGTGGAACAGATATTTCGGAACATTTCCACATTTTCTTCAGGTTGATAATGTCAATAGAATAAACGAACAACCAGTAGATGCATCTATATGAAAAACGTAAACAATACAACTGACCATTGTAACCTTGAAAATGGGTGAAGTTCGTCCATTTGAACTACAAGTGATGTCCATTCGTCCCAGCACAGTGACGGGAATGGTTGTTGATCTTCTTCTTATTAAGATGTCTGTGATAGGTTTTAGCATATTTCACGGCGATCTTTTATTCGAACAAGGACCCAATGGACCTGGAAGAAGACATGAAATGTTAACTTTACCAAAATCGAACGCCATTTGGCCACTGCTCATTCTAATGGCTAAATATTGTGTACACGGGCCTTTCTGTTAATTAATTTAAGTGCTTTGAAAATTTCACAATATTGGACCCCCGTGAAAACGAGTGAATGACTTAAAATAAACAAATTGAATACACCTTCACCATTGCATGCTTGTGGCCAAATATCATAATCTCGTGGCTTCTGGGAATCGAAAACAAACTTTTTATGTATTGGATCCGTGTGGCACTGAATGTGGGCCAAGTTTATTCCATCCCATTAGAATAGCTGTCACCGCCAGTCTCTCTCGTAAATATTGTGGTATCTTTAACCATCCTTTCACAAAGAAACTGGACATGGTAAATTGGACTAACAGGATCACCAAATTTCCTGTCTGAAAAATGAAATTGCAAAAAATGAAAGGCGAAATAAAAACACACTAATAAGAGATTTTAATTTTCGTCTTTTCGGGTTAAAAAAATCTCGTTTCTTGGCCTTTGTGTATAGCCAGGGACGTATAATACTGTATTATACGTCCCTGGTATAACTTGATATAGTGTGTAGTTCAACAGATATGTAAAACTGTTGAGCACGATCAGTTATGTTAATATTGTTTTTAATACTGTACCAACTGTTTGTAAATGTTTTTTGTAAGAGATTGATAGGAACGTATAGTATATACTATACGTCCCTGTCGCAGGCACGTCGGTTGAGCCTCTTGTATACGTTAATATATTGGTAAGGATAAAGTCCGTAACGTTCCGTTTATACATTTTGGAAGTGTGTAATATATTAGGAATGATAAAATCCGTGGCGTTCCGTGTGTATATTTTGGAGGTGTGTCAAAGGAGACAGCTCTTGAGTCTGCGCGCTGTCCGACATTCTACTGTGAGCAGCCGATGCACAGCTGACATCTCCTGATATTTGTCTCCACAAATCCCAATCATGGCCTCCAGAGCGGTGATAAAATTTCAAAGGACTCGCAGTTTAGCTTCTGTCCTGAACAGGTAACTCATAAACATTGCTGCCAAATAGTGATGGTTTGACTTGACCTTCAACAAAGTGGCGGATTCTTTCGCGTAAACATGTGTAAACATTATTATGACTGACATTCTGTATAATATTTAATTGCATTGATCGTTGTAAATTTGCAGTAATATTGACCAACGAACCTTTTGCACTGTTTAAATTGGGATATTTAATAGCCCAAGATTGCAATTAAAATTTGAATAGTGTAACCAATACAACAGACTAATTCAAACCATCTCCGATTGTTTCACCCACTTGTCATTGTCAAACCGTCAGTGTGTTAGTAACAGCGAAGGTACTGTCATTGCAGGGCTGAAGATAGCAAGTTTATAAGGTAGAGGCTTATTTTATTCATTTGACTGTTTTAATGTTTGAACATAACTCGAAGGGTCCAGGTCTGTTGGTTACACAGGTCAAGCAGCAGTACAAGTGACCAGTGACTACATGATTAATTACGATGACTAGCTACATTTGTATCATTAGCAGACTCGCACGTCACAGCTAATGTAAATGAACTTCACATTTGTGCTATTTATAACAAATAAACCCAGACTTTGAACAAACTTGACTGTCCCATTTTATACAACTTTGGTGAGTGTACATTGTTTTAAAACTGAATCATCATGAAATCCATTTTTCAGCAAAGCAATGTTTTCTGGATTAATTTTGTGTTAGATTAACTAAGTAATTGTAATGAGTGTATTCCTTGTTATCATTAGACGCATATACTTGAAAAAAATTAATACATATTGTAGCTATGTTTCTTTGATCAACACCTGAGCTGATCATTGTTTGTTAGGTCAAGACCACAGGAATCTCTAGAATCCCAAATTGCCCTGGGTTGAGGGATGAGGATGCTGAATCTAAATAGATAAAAATCAGGGAGACAAAAGTGGAAATAAATACATGTACAAGTCATTTTAATTAATTGAGGGTGGGATTTTTATTCAGTATGTTAATTGAATTAAAAGAGTGCTTAACCTTCTAATAAAATTTACCAGGATCATTTATGATTGATACAGCAACATGATTGCATTTGAAATGTAGAAATTACGAATATCGAGATGCATTCCTATTGCGCTTTATAAGGTTATGACCTTGGTCATATGCGGCTTTTCCCTAATGGTATACAGTATTTGACAAAGGATTATGTTTTGTATTTTTCAGTCAAGTTTGTTTAAGCTCATTCCACACAAGTTCAAAAGTTGCTGCACAACATGATGACAGACCAAAGAAAAAACTCATTAACCATTCAAGATTACGTGGCATTGATATCCTGCGGACACCGAAACTCAACAAGGTAATAACCGATGATGACCTTGAGATTATCAGGTGCAATAAATTTTATTTAAGTTTTGATAGGAATATTTTTTAGCTTCATGCTGCTATGAAAAAATAACCTTTTTGCAAAACAAATTAGTCTGCGAAGTATTCAAGCACACCTGCTGCCAGAAGACGTGTTAAAATTGACTCCTCCAATCATTATCAAGTGGGCAGAGTTAGATGTTTTTTGTTCATCAGGAAATGAAAAGAAAAAAGTCAGTGAATCAGGAAGCTGAATTTTGCACACAGACAACGAAAAATTTATCATCAACATTTCAAAATTTATGAAAATCTAAAGTCTGTTGTCAATATTAAGTTATTATAGTAGATTCTGTTTTTCAAAAAATTTGTGTTTAAAGCAGCATCAATTTCTACACAATCACAAACCATCACTGACAATTTATCTGTTTGATATGCATTGCCGATTTTTACTGTGTTTTATGTAACTTGACAACGACCTAATAAGTACCCGACTCATCTGGGATTGCCTTCAATAGTCCTAACAGACCCTGTATTTTGTACAGCAATGCCAGTACTTTAATGTCTATTCCTTTTTTTAATGAACAAATTTGATCAATTGAATAAGTTCTTTCATGATAACATATTTCAATACATTTTAGATAATGAAAATAAATAGGTGGAAATTGATTACATGATTTAGAGTAATTCCCAGACAAACTTTACAGAGGATGGTTAGGAATGTACAAGATTTTTTTAAAATTTTAAGACAAAATCCAAGAATGCACATTTTATGTTGAAAGCAGAATGGTTCATTTTCCATAATACCTGTCCATTTGGCAGAATACAAATTTTAGAGTTGTCTCCCTTTACAGGGTCAGGCTTTCACCCTAGAGGAGAGGCAGTTGATGGGGATCCAGGGCCTGCTTCCATCTTGTGTAATCAATCAGGACCAGCAAATGACCAGAGTGATGGAGAACTTCCATAATCGTAAGACGGATGTCGATCGATACGTTTACCTCATGGCTCTGAAAGATCGAAATGAACGTCTTTTTTACCGCTGCTTGACAGAACACACAGAGGAAATGATGCCTATAGTGTATACACCTACTGTTGGCCAGGCTTGTCAGGAGTATGGAGTACTGTATAGGAAGCCAAGGTGTGTTAACAATGTACAAGACATTTTTCTTACTTCCATCAGATGTCCAGTTTTGCTTGACTAACTACTTTATTTTGCTATGCATGTGTATCTGAATTATTGATTTACCTTTTTAAAACTACAAGAAGTGTCTGCTCTTGTATACTTATTGAAGTGATGAAAATTGTAAGTTACAAAAGAAAAATTGAAGTGATGAATCTTGTCTGCTAGTAAAATTTCGTGGAAAATGATAATTATTTCCAAACCTTTATACATACATTGATAGTGTTGTCACTTTTATTCCACCTGCACATACAACTTGTTGATTTAATAGATTTTGATTGTATTGCAGGGGACTCTTTATATCTATACATGATAAAGGCCATATCTACGACATGATGTGTAACTGGCATGAGGAAGATGTCAAGGTAAAATTACAACTAGGATTATCAATGTATGTATCCGTTACCTGTATTTGCTTGATACACCAAACTTAATATCTATCCAATTAAGATATGTACCTTCTAACTTCATAGATAAGAAATACATAAATTGGGAAATAAAATTTGATCAATTAAAATAAAAAATTAAAAAAAATCCCCAGCTTTGTTTGAAGTTCTCAGAGATTCTGTCTCTCCAGGAGATTTAGAAACCTGAGAAATTCATGAAAGTAAACAAAGTTATTATTCTATGAAATAAAAGCTGATAGAATTTGTTTTATAGTTTTCCTTATTAATACTCAAGAGAACAAACAGATCAATGTCTGACTCACAGACACATGCTTTCCCATGTTCACACCTAAAATGATTATGTAATTGCTATTATCCATGCTATTGTGATACATTTAACAATTAATTAATGTTATATTTGTGCTCAGGCCATTGTGGTGACAGATGGTGAGCGGATCTTAGGTCTGGGAGACTTGGGTGTGTATGGTATGGGTATCCCAGTAGGTAAGCTTTCCCTGTATACAGCCCTTGGAGGAATCCCACCCGATCAGACACTCCCTGTAGTTCTGGATGTCGGCACCAACAATGAGGTAAATTTTGGATAAAATGCGATCAGATTTCCTTGTTAATGATATTCAGATGAAATTTCATGTTTGAGTATCAAGTGATATTTGAGGACTGCCGTAAGACTGTATTTATGTGGCATTAAGCCCAAGTGTGGTGATTAACTCAGTAAGATAACAAACCAATACTTCTTCATACTCCTGAAATAAGCCAGCCGCCTGAATTTGTATAGGCTTATTGCCTGATAAATAAGGTGTAACAATATTTAAGATTGTTATTAACTTTTTAACAGTAAGATAATCAAATTTCTAGTATTGAAAAAGTATTCTCACTTCTGAAATTTGTAACGATTTTGTAATTAACTGTGGTGTTAGAATTGTCAGGTTTATGCATTAGTTTTATGGAATTGTTGCTAATTAAGTCCTGTATTTTTATCAGAAACTTCAGAAAGATCCATTATACATTGGTCATAACCACCCTCGTGTTACGGGCCAGGCGTACGATGACTTCATTGACGAGTTTATGGAAGCTGTTGTAGCAAGGTATGCAGTGTAATAAGAAATCTAAACTTCTCTAACTTGATTCAGTTGTAGTGACCTTCATTGGATTGAAATATTTTCAATTATAATCATTGAATATCCTTGTCCTTAATCTCAAAATAAGTACTTGAAAATAACATAAACATTAATGAAATTTCTGTTTAGATATTGACAATAATAAAAATTTTGATATCGATGCCATCATGCTTGTAAAATTTGATACTTTTAGATTGGAATTCATGTAACATATAAATTACAATTTGATATTTTCGTGAACTTTAAAATTACATTTGAATCATTTCTTTATTAAAAATCATGATGAAGTCAGGTGGTAGTGACTGACATAGATCTTTTTAAGTAAGTTTGTGTACAGTTGACAAGGTTTTTGGACCTTACTGTTTGATTTGATTGATTTATATATGCAGGGCTCTCGATCTGCCAGATTTGGGGCCGATATGCGGCCCCATTCCCAAAGCAGGATGGTATCTTTTTTCCCAATTTAGACCCCAAATTTTCCCAATTCTAAGGAAAACGCTATTTTTCCCCAATTCGAAGGGCCCCGGGCCCCAGTTCAAAAATGGGTTTTGAGAGCCCTGATATGTTTTAGAAGCAGTAAACTTGTACGCTGTGGAGTACATTTCTTTGATTATGATATTTTCACTGTACAGATATGGACAGAACACGCTGATACAGTTTGAAGACTTTGCTAACCACAACGCCTTCAGATTTTTGGAAAAGTACAGAAACAAGTACTGTGTCTTCAATGATGATATTCAAGGTACAAACAGAATTTATTTTCCCCAAAACTTTATTTTTCATTGGGAGCAAATCAACTTTAATGAAAATTAACTGGAAAAACATGAGATGTTTTAACTTAAGATTTTTGAATTTTTTTGTTGTGTAATGAAATTCTCCAGAATGATATAAGGAATAATTTGAAAATTGTTTTATTACCTACAGGAACAGCAGCAGTGGCTGCAGCAGGAGTGTTTGCCTCCCTGAAATGCACTGGCAAGAAGTTAGGAGAGAATGTATTTTGCTTCCAGGGAGCAGGGGAGGTAAATATAAATCAAGGATATGGTTTTTGATCCAGGACCATTGATTTGCCCCACACTTCACTTTTTTCTTCAGTTAAAGAAACTCCTTTAGCAGTTTCCCATTGAATATGTTAATTTTTATTGGAATTCCAAATTTTGTTTATTCGAATACCAAAAAAATTGTGCATGTCAGTATGTTTCTTTGTTTTGAACGAATAGATATACAAAACCATTCTAGTTACAGATAGATTGTTATTGGTTTTGATCATTTTCATTTTTGAATGGTGACAGTTTCTCCCTGTTTTGTAGGCTTCTATAGGAATAGCCAGCCTGTTAGTGTTGGCGATGGAAGAAGAAGGCCTGAGTCATGAAGAAGCTGTCAGTAAAATCTGGATGGTGGACAGTCGTGGATTGGTAGTGAAGGTAAATTCTGCAAAAAATCATATGATCATTTTAAGATTATATTATGTTATGTTGACAAAGATCATGAGTCACCATGGTAGCTGATCTGTGGTATTTGTGAGCAACTGAAACTTTGCACAATCACAATATTGAAAAGTCTCCAAGTTACAACATTTCTGTAGGTTTACTAACTATATTGTGTTTTTTTATAGGACAGACCAGCTGGAGGCCTAACAGAACACAAACTTCTGTTTGCCCAGAAGAGTCCTCCCATTGATACGCTTGCTGATGTAGTCAAAGCTGCAAAACCCTCTATCCTCATAGGTAGGCTAAATCAATTTTACATGTTGGAAAAGGGTAAATACCAGAAAATACTTTTTTTTCACTTTTTGAATACAAATGTTAACTGTATAGGATAACCATTTATGAGTTAAATTTCTGTTGTGGTTAGCTAATCTAAGGCTAATTACTGTTGAACGTTAAGCTTTACTAGTCAAAGACCAGAGGTCAGCTTATGTAATAGTGTGTCAACTGGCATCTGTTTGTTAAGATTTCTAATTATCAATACCCTGTCATTACTATTCCTGAATACATGATGATCATGAGGCGAGTCCTTCATTAGTGAGAAAGATTTGTCAGTTATTTGTCCTATTAAAGATTCAGACTTGAGAAATCCAAAATTGCAACCATGGCCCAAATTTTAAACATCTGGCCTTCAGTGTATGGCTATTTTTCCTGAATGGAAAATCTCAATCTAAACAGAATATGGTCCTGTATTACATTCAAGATGGCTGCTACTTTTGGTGTGAAAAATCTGTACATTATTGTTTTTGATTATAAGGTGCTGCTGCTGTGCCTGGAGCCTTCACAGAGTCAATCATTAAGGACATGGCATCCTTCAATGAAAAACCAGTGATCTTTGCACTAAGTAACCCTACCAGTATGTCTGAATGTACTGCTGAAGAGGCCTATCGAGGCACTGATGTAAGTCAAGGTTCTGTGTGATGTAAAATGATAAATAAGAGGCCCATAGGGGCACTGATGTTAGTCAAGGTCCTTTGTGCTTCTAACAGATAAGCAAGATGCTCATCAAGGCACTATCCGTAAACCTTAAATCACAAAATACTTATAACAACTTATCACTTTCAGCCCCACTTTCCCCACACCACAACTTCCACCAATAAGAAGTTCCCCACACCACAACTTCCACCAATAATAAGTTCCCCACATCACAACTTCCACCAATGATAAGTTCCCCACACCACAACTTCCACCAATAGTAAGTTCCCCACACCACAACTTCCACCAATAAGAAGTTCCCCACACCACATCTTCCACCAATGATAAGTTCCCCACACCACAACTTCCACCAATATTAAGTTCCCCACACCACAACTTCCACCAATGATAAGTTCCCCACACCACAACTTCCACCAATGATAAGTTCCCCACACCACAACTTCCACCAATGATAAGTTCCCCACACCACATCTTCCACCAATGATAAGTTCCCCACACCACAACTTCCACCAATATTAAGTTCCCCACACCACAACTTCCACCAATGATAAGTTCCCCACACCACAACTTCCACCAATGATAAGTTCCCCACACCACAACTTCCACCAATAATAAGTTCCCCTCACCACAACTTCCACCAATGATAAGTTCCCCGCACCACAACTTACACTAATGATAAGTTCCCCACACCACAACTTCTACCAATGATAAGTTCCCCACACCACAACTTCCACCAATGATAAGTTCCCCACACCACAACTTCCACCAATGATAAGTTCCCCACACCACAACTTCCACCAATAGTAAGTTCCCCACACCACAACTTCCACCAATGATAAGTTCCCCACACCACAACTTCCACCAATAGTAAGTTTCCCACACCACAACTTCCACCAATAATGAGTTCCCCACACCACAACTTCCACCATCTTAACTCTCTTACCAAACATGGTTAACTGCACTTGTACTTCCAATTGAAGTAGCAAGAATTCCTCAAAGTGTGAATATGATATATAAAATAATTAACAGTCATGTACAGATTGTGGTTGATGTTTTATATACAGGCAACTTTGATTTGTTTCGTTCTAATGCTGTTCCAGTACAATCTTACATATTTTTGCATTCTTTTCCTGGTTTTGCTCGGTAGGGGAGGTGTGTATTTGCTAGCGGCAGTCCTTTCTTGCCTGTGACATTGAATGGGAAAACCTTCCACCCAGGACAGGGAAATAATGCTTACATTTTCCCAGGTATAGCTCTGGGAGCCATCGTCTGTGGGGTACGACATATCACTGAGGAGGTCTTCCTCAGAGCAGCTCAGGTAAGCATCTGAAACCTCATTACTTTTCAGAACAAAAGGAAAGTAAACTGAATATTTCTTTTCCTGCAATAAGCTTATTCAGACTGGGCTTATTATGGAACAATGTAATAATATATGCTCATAACTTTTATAAATAACATTAGATATAGTTGAGTTCTTTACCATACATCTGCTTATTGCAGGATAAAAATGGAATTATCTTCATGAATCTTACCATCATGAAAGTTTAACACTAAGGTGACATTTTCCCGTTATCAGCCTTATTCAGTAAAGAAGTTGTGTGTACTTCAGTTTCATCAAACAACAGATGTTACAGCAACATAAAAATTAGGTTATAGAATATGTGATTAAAACCATAATAAAGATAAAATTTTTGAAGGTAAGATTCAATTTACAAGTGAACAACATATCATTTAGTGGAATAAAGAGCATTACTGATTACTGGTTTGAGGACTTTCACCATATATGTTACTCTTAACAGTTTTTATATGGTTCAAGAATTTATTGTTTTAAGAAAAACTCGAAACAGAACATGTATTTTCCATGAAAGTCATTAAACAGCCTGTTGGTCTCTGCTATTAGCAATTACTGTAATTTAATTTTTTTTCTTTGCGATCGTAGTTTGACCTTAAAATTATCCAAAGTTAAACCTCTCTCACAAGTTACTATCTTAAGGCTGCTTTCACGTTACCTGGTTGACGTAGTTTAGGTAGCACAGAACAAATCCATGGTAGAGGAATGCACTTGTAATGAATGATGGAATGATACGTGTAAAGCTCAATATGCATGCACTGACCGGGTTTATTCAGCCACTTGGTTCTGACAGGTATGGCTGGCACCATCAAACTGCATGTACCAAATATTGCACAGTCCAACTTTAGTTCAGATCTGTACCTGGTGTTTCTCTATTTCGTCTGCATATGCCAAAGCAACCTTCATAGAATCTCTGCACTCTTCCTTTGGTCACATTATCATGTAGTCCAACAAATGTGATCTATAGGTTGATAAAACTTCGTTTTAAATCATCGCTTCATAAATCCATTGTATAAGTAATTTTTGTTTATTGCAGACTCTAGGTGACCTAGTGACAGATGAGCATTTAGCGCAGGGACGTCTATATCCCCCACTCTCTGATATTCAGAATGTATCTTTGAAGATTGCGACGGGTATCGCAGAATTAGTGTACAAAAAGGAAAATGCCTCCACTTACCCGGAGCCTGCAAACAAAGAGGAGTTTATCCGTAACCACCTTTATAATACGGACTATGAGTCGTTTGTTCCTGAAACATGGTCATGGCCCGAAAGTGTGAACCAATAAAGATTGGATAAAAATATGTATTATATAAAGCTGGTACTTCAGTATTACCCCCAGTGTACCCTATTGTTTATCATGCTGGATTTCAGTGTGTCTGCCATAGTGCTATGTTGATGTCTCACGTTCCTTGATCTAAAATCTGCCAAATGTTCCCATATCTAGATAATGTATTACATCATTTATCATGACATTTGGTTATATATTAATGATTTGAGAGGATAAATATCATATGATGAATTGCAATCCCTTCCACAAACACTTTTCTTGTGTTGTTTATTATTTACGATGGCCAAAATTATTTGGGACATAAATCTTCAAAAAAAATTTACCATGTACAATACTAATTTTGTTAACTTAGAAGTTTCTTTTTTTTAAATTTGTTGTGTCAACAGAAAGTAGATCTTGCTTCACTTGCATCTTTCGATTTTCAAAAAGTGCATTCTAAAATTTGAAATGAATATTTTTTTCCTCCATTTTAAATAACTGTTTTCCCTGATTAGGTGTATAAAACAAGTTAAGTATAATACATTTTCTGTTTTGGTTCTATGTCTACTTAGTACTCTGCTAAACAGTTGCTTTTTTTCTTGAACATTCAACATTTACACAATAACATGTCGTGAGAATCTCTTTACTAGGCTGGCGTGGAATAACATTATTTTAATTTAAGCATTATGTATATACTATATTTTACTTTGTTTTCTGACTGCATATGAATTACAATTCTATGTGATAGATTTATTGGTTTAAAAACTATATATTCATTGATCGTTCAGTTGAAATATTTTTTTCTCCCCCCCCCCCCCCTCCCAAGTTGAAATTATTTAGATTTTTTAAAAATCCTTTTTATGCTTTTTAAGTGCTTTATTGATTTGTGCATATTTTTATATAAAGACATCAATAGGGAGATTTAACACGTGATAAAAAATGTTCACAGGGCAATGATATACCCACCAAACAAACAAAAAGAATTTTGAATTGTCCTGTATTTTCGTATCTTGTTTCATCCCTCTGGAGCGGTAGCATGGATCGATCAAATATATTTTGATGACCATTTACAAAATAGTTTTTCTTTTTCATTTATGAAAATCTCATTATGATACTAATCTTTTTTCTGTTAGACAGAATCTCGTAAAAAAAATTTATGCGTCAGTATTCAATATATCTATTTTTGATTTTCTCTAGAGTCAAATCTGACAACCTCTATTTTGAGAACAAATGAAATATTTTTGTTGATAGCTTTCATATCCTAAAATAATGTAAATGTTTGATGAGAATTTGTTATTCTGCATTGTCAGAGCTGATCAATTGGTATTCTCTCTCACTTCATATTTTTCATCAGCTTTGTCATTGTTAGTTTAATTGGTATACAATTGAATCTTAATTTGTTTTCTGCCACATTTTAAAAATTTTACACATAATAGAACTGCCGACAACAGAACTTTTTATATTAGGATGGCATTATAACCCTAGGTGCTCTTTCAGAAATTGTGCATGACTTGTTCTTAATTGGTACCGATATATGTTGTACCTTTAGATTTTCACTATAATTGAGAAATTGCCTGTAAATATAAATTATAAAGCAATGGTAAATGAGCTACAATATAAAAGTGATTGAATAATGTGTTTTAAACTGAAATTTATAAATAGCTTTATACCATACATGTATTTTCTCCCCTAGACAGTATAACATCATTATCCTACAAATCATATTTTGTTTGGACTAGATTTAAATGATGCCTCTTCACGGACACGAAAAACTTGTGTGATATAAACCAAAGCGAAAACTTATATACAATAAATACTCATTAAATAGGATTACTGTTTCGCTTTTAAATAGTCAATGTTTATCTTGTTTAAACAGAATTAATGTTATGTATTTTGATTCTGAGATTACACCTGTAGTTGATGTGATTCTGCAGCTCTGCAATACATCTTGAAGTACATGATTATGTACCCCAGTTGTTACACACTGTCTCGATATCTAATCTAATTGTTTATTAATTTCCGGCAAGCTCTCTTTTTCTTAATTCATTTACGTAACTTAAATTTATCAGTAAAACATCAATTAAGAAATAGTAAAGTTCTGATTTTAAGGAAATCTTGACCTAAACTTAACAAATGTGCCCAATATTTGCTGCCTCATCAGCAAATTGCTAGCCCCTGAAAGGCTATCATCTATGGTTGAGTGTTGTTTTTTGTAACACTGAAAATACGGTATATATCCTAGAAATAAATTCTCCATAGAACAATTATTATATTTAATTGGTTTAATCGGAGATGTAATAGGTTGGCTTGTTATTGGTTTGCACTGTCATAATTAGTGTCTGTTATATATTCACAATGATATTCATACAAATTTACTTAGAAGATGGAATGTGTAATTTGTAACTAATACTGCGAAAAACCCATATATAAATATTGGTACACTTTTTCTGTATATAGTGTTTTGAGAATTTTATACACATATTTTCCAGAGTGTTAAATATAGAGTAGTATTTTGTGTACTATTTTTTATCTACTGTAGGATCACAGATTTGTCAGTAGATTGTAGGTTTATATTGTATTATCCGCCTGTAGACAGCCAACTAGCCAAGTCGATCCTGACTATTTGTATGTTAGGATTGTGGCAAATAATACAAATATGAAATAAACACTTCATTTGGAACTTGTATCTCCTCTTTCTTGTACTTTTGGGAACAGGAGTGACAGTGCAGTATCACCAACTCACTGGATTTGATCAGGTCAGCCATATATTGGCCAGAGGATACCAGCTCAATTCATGAAACACGTTAGAACCATCGGATATTTCCTGAAGTTAAGGCAGTATTTAGAAAATTCAGAATAAATTTTTACACCTATTTTGATCAAAATGATGTTCAAACATAACAAAGAACATCGTCTGTATATTTACAGAGGTGATAATATTCAATAGAATGGATTATAAAGTCTTTTTCTTTGACTACACTTTAAAATGCCCTGTTACCCTTGATTTTGAAGGGATTTGAACAGATATAAGATGACTAGAGGTTAGCAATACTGCAGGTGCTGTTTATCATTTTCTGTATTTAAAACCATTTAGGGGGAGTGGTTTGGTTTTAGTTCATGGAAACATGATTGCGTATGTTGCAGCAGGGCTTTGTGTAGGGATAGGTGACAGACTGGGAAACATTACTTGTGTATTGGGGAATGTGACAGTCTTTAGGAACATATCTAAGTCTATTGGTGAATGTGACAGTCTTTAGGAACATATCTAAGTCTTTTGGTGAAAGTGACAGTCTTTAGGAACATATCTAAGTCTATTGGTGAATGTGACAGTCTTTAGGAACATATCTAAGTCTTTTGGGGAATGTGACAGAGTCTTTAGGAACATATCTAAGTCTTTTGGGGAATGTGACAGTCTTTAGGAACATATCTAAGTCTATTGGTGAATGTGACAGTCTTTAGGAACATATCTAAGTCTTTTGGGGAATGTGACAGAGTCTATAGGAACATATCTAAGTCTTTTGGGGAATGTGACAGAGTCTTTAGGAACATATCTAAGTCTAGTGGTGAAAGTGACAGTCTTTAGGAACATATCTAAGTCTATTGGTGAATGTGACAGTCTTTAGGAACATATCTAAGTCTATTGGTGAATGTGACAGTCTTAAGGAACATATCTAAGTCTTTTGGGGAATGTGACAGAGTCTATAGGAACATATCTAAGTCTTTTGGGGAATGTGACAGAGTCTTTAGGAACATATCTAAGTCTAGTGGTGAAAGTGACAGTCTTTAGGAACATATCTAAGTCTTTTGGGGAATGTGACAGAGTCTATAGGAACATATCTAAGTCTTTTGGGGAATGTGACAGTGAACATATCTAAGTCTATTGGTGAATGTGACAGTCTTTAGGAACATATCTAAATCTTTTGGGGAATGTGACAGTCTTTAGGAACATATCTAAGTCTTTTGGGGAATGTGACAGAGTCTATAGGAACATATCTAAGTCTTTTGGGGAATGTGACAGAGTCTTTAGGAACATATCTAAGTCTAGTGGTGAAAGTGACAGTCTTTAGGAACATATCTAAGTCTTTTGGGGAATGTGACAGAGTCTATAGGAACATATCTAAGTCTTTTGGGGAATGTGACAGAGTCTTTAGGAACATATCTAAGTCTAGTGGTGAAAGTGACAGTCTTTAGGAACATATCTAAGTCTATTGGTGAATGTGACAGAGTCTTTAGGAATATATATGTCTTTTGGGGAATGTGACAGAGTCTTTAGGAACATATCTAAGTCTAGTGGTGAAAGTGACAGTCTTTAGGAACATATCTAAGTCTAGTGGTGAATGTGACAGAGTCTTTAGGAACATATCTAAGTCTTTTGGGGAATGTGACAGAGTCTTTAGGAACATATCTAAGTCTTTTGGGGAATGTGACAGAGTCTATAGGAACATATCTAAGTCTTTGGAACATGTCATTGTGTGCTTCAATCTTATATGATTATTGGTTTTATCCATTAACCATGGAAGAAGAAAATACACACCAGAAGTATATTAAACAAATTACACAATCTAGCTGGTGGTTTTAAAGTCTTCTTAGTTCTTGTTTATTTGTAATCAGAGTCTTTGTTCTAAAAGATTAGACGTTGCTACATGATACCTTAAATTTTCATTCTGTTTCAATTTTCAAAAATTTTTTAAGAAATTTTCATAATTTCTCTGCCAATAACATGGTTTTACTATTGTAGGCCAAAGTGAAATCCAAATGATTTTCTATGAGGAAAAAACTCAAAATTGTCATGTTAAAAACATGCAGCGAAAGTTTGTGTCTATAAAAGCACAACGAAACTGGATTTCTTCTGTCCTTCACAGTTTGTCTAGGAAGTTGTCCAGGGATGGTATCATTGGGTTCAATCCCTTTCGCTCTCTTGTTGCCTTGGCGATGAGTCCAGCCTTGGATGTATTGTCAAGGGGGTCTCCTGGGAGAACCTGCCAGTGGTCAAATACCATCTGAGGGAAAGCTTGACCACCTGTCTCACCACGTAACACTTCAGTAAAACCTACAAACAAGACAAATGATTACCATATTGTTATATTCCAATTAAGAATAAAAATGTTTCAGTTCATGCACTACTCAAACAGTAGATAGTGATTATGATATTTATCAATGATAGATCCAGATCTCAAAGATATGATATTACTTTTTACATTTTTTAAAAAAAAAGTTTTTCTGATAACCTGTATATTTTTCAAATACACACTCCGAACAGTGTCATCCTAAAATCTATATTGAAGACCATCATATCTGTTTTGTACCAACAATGTAATGATCTTACCAAAGGACTCATTGACTGGTAGGTATGCCTTAAGGGTGGCCATGGGTGTGCCAGTGTCTTGTTGTTGGTCCACAACATGTCCTCGTCTTTGGACCAGAGTGCTAACCACACCTCCAATCACATGTGTGGGTGCCTGAAAAACGGTAAGCGTGAACTTGTTCAGGTTACAAGTAAAATGTTTCAGACTAAAATCTATTTTCAAAGTGTGCTTTATAAATGGCATTAGTGTTTTTAAGATGCTGTATATTACCATATTTGTCGGGCTGTAAGCCCATGCCTGGGTGCAAGCCCCTCCATATCTAATGCAGTTCATAAATATTGTAAGCTATTTTACTGTCCAGGATAGCTAGAGTGAGAATAAACTGACATAAAACAGATCTTAATTTTTTTTCCTTGATAACTTTTCAATAAATGTTTTGAATTCTTAAAGAAAAATCTATATTTTACAAAGTACATCTTTTCACAGTATACAGCACTTTCTCTTCAATGCTTTGTGATGTAAGAAAGTCAAAATATATACCTTGATCTCCACTGCATAGACAGGCTCCATCAGTCTGGGTGATGCTGTGAGAAGGGAGGCAATCAGGCATCGCCGAGTGCAGGGCAGGATCTGGGCCAAACGTCGGTGGGCGGAATCACTGTGGATGTGGGCATCCTGTATGTTGAACCGCACACCACGCATATTCTCCTCACATAGCACTCCCTGAAAGTTTGTAAATTAATCATCACGTATGATTAAGTTTCACAGGGCAGTCATTCTCAGAGCTCTTAACATAAATGATTAATGGGAACATTACCCACAGTTTTAATCTATTCATTTTAAATTTTTATCGACCTTGAACATATTTTTTTTCCAAATCATTAACTTCTTCCATACAAAAATTAATAAGACTGTTATCATTTGGATTTTACTAGGTGATTAATTAACCTAAAATTTCTCAGTTTTTTTGTAGAATTAAGACAACACTATGAACAAACATCATTTTCCATACCCAATGGTATCATATGTGTACATGTTACTAAAGCTTACATACCTCTTCTGTTGCCCATTGAAAGCCAACCTTGACCACATCACGTATATCTTGTAAGTACTGTACAGACTTTGTCACATCTACCAACATGTTAGGGCCGTTATTGTTCGGACCAAAACACCATATTTTCCGTGCCTCCAGGTTGTCAAAGCCATAGTTGGCAGACAGATATTGTGCTCGCTCTCGAACATCTTGTGTCGCCTTGACCTTTCCCTAATGTAAAGAATGTAATCACCATAGTAACCAAGTTTGGGTACAATATTCAACATTGAACATTAAAACATTTCCCCCCCCCCCCAAATATTTTATGTTTTATATAATTTATATATAATCTATAAAAAAAATTATACACTGCTAGGTGGACTTATTATCATATTTTATTGAATCTATCTCACAATAAAACCAAACCTTGTAATAAGTCCACCCATATCAATTATTATTAGGTAGAAGTAAAAATGGGAGCTGTTACACTTTCCTACAATAAGGCCTAAATATGAGTCTTCCTTTCCTTATTACAGGAGAAATACAGTAATATCTCAAACATCAGAGCACTTGACTAATTCTAAGAACATCTGGCTGAAGAAACAAAAAAAACTTGTTCATCATTTCATCTTTCAAATTACTTGGGTAAATATTAATAAAATATACTACCTCTTCGATGTCCTCTACTAGTGCCTCCTGTAATGGTTCTGCAGTCATCATTAATCGACAAAGCCTGTTCGGGGACTTGGCCAGGCACACTCGATCAGACATCTTGGCCACACTCTCTCTGTACGTTACCACAGGGTTGGATTTCTGAAGGAAAAGATTTAGTTGTAAATCTGAATCTTCATTAAAATATTCTGTGTTCTCAGGTCTGAATGTTTTTGATTCAAATACTTTTGTATCTACAGGGTACCTACCTTGATTGGAATACAGGCATGGTCATTCTCCAAGTCCTTTAAACAGATATCCAGGTGCATCTCTCCTGCTCCAGCCACAATGTGTTGACCATTCTCTGTTATACACTACCAAATAAGGAAAACATTTTTCATGTTAACCATTTATCAGTTTAATTTTGAAAAAAAAATTTGGTATAAATTCCATCATTCCTGGAATGCTTTTATTTCATAATATTACTGTTTTTGTCCATCATTAAAATGTCTGTAATCCAAGGCTATTTAGGCAGCACTTTAATCATGATGCAGAATGACCAGCCTTGAAACTGTTTGAAATTATATCTATATCTTTTATATCTTCAATCAGATAAAAGGGATGATATGACAGCACTAATGGGTTTTAGTTTTGGTGAAGTCTCTTTCTAAGATCTAGTTGGCAAAATATTGAAAGCCAGATATGCAGAAATAGTTCTCTGATGTTCTATTTGAAACCTTCATTACAAAATGTGCAGCCTGTCTTTTCTCACAAATTGTTTTCATTTCTCAGTTTTCTTTCAATTCTCTTTTCACCCTTTCATGATGCCTAAATTTTCTTTGAGAAATCATGGCGCTGTTGTCAAGTTTTAGCTTAAAAATATTTATCCAACTCACCTGTACCATGGGGTCAGATTTCATCAGTCGTTGTAAACCTTCTAGCAGTTTGGGAAGATCTGCTGCATGCAATGGATCAACTGCCACACGGACAACTGGGCTGACAGAGAAACGCATCACCGCCATATTGTGAGCATGTTCGTAAGTTGTGACTGTGCCAGATTTGATCAAATATTTGTCCAATCCTACCAGGCCAACTGTATTACCACAGGGTACTTCATCTACTGGCATGGTCCCAGCCCCCATCATCACAACAGTCCTACAAAAACGATTGAAGTGGTGTTGAAACAATACAACTTCATCAAGATGATCTTAATACAATTATACAACTTCATCACGATGATCTTAATACAATTATACCACTTCATCACGATGATCTTAATACAATTATACAACTTCATCACGATGATCTTAATACAATTAAACAACTTCATCACGATGATCTTAATACAATTATACAACATCACCATGTAACATTGAAGTTGCAGTGTTTATAACATATTCAAATGAATATCTGACATGTAAGATTTATTAAAGAATTATATCCATTAATCGACAACATAGTTCATCATTGACTAGAAACAGAAAAGGTTAAATTACACGCCTATATACCTGTCTTAACTGTGTGACACGACATATTCAGTTTAGACAGGTTTACCTCTATAAACTGAAATTTACATCAATGGACAACCCTACACAGTCTTAGTAACACGACACAAACAGTTTAGTCAGGTTTGCCTCTATAAACTGAAATTCACAACTGTCATTTACTCACCTTGGAATGCTCTTTATGAATAAATCAGCTGACTTGCTGTTGCCTGGTTCGTATTTTGGTCCCATGATACGAGCCTTCTGACCAGTGGTCACTGTCCCCGAGAAGACACGACCAAAGGCATAGAAACGTCCTTTGTCTGATGTGGGTACCATCTTGGAAACATACAGCATCAACGGTCCATTAGGATCACAGTGCTTCATAGCTACAATGATCAGATGGTTAACAATTTATTTAAACATTTATCACAAAAGAAATAACCAGGATTTTTATAAAACTTCTAAGGAAATAGTTTCCAGGATGATTTGATAACTTTTTAAAAAATTTTTTATGAAATACAGAAATCAAATGAAGAAGTTGTCTGCGGCATAAGAGATATTCCAAAACAGTAATGTTTCTTAATACGAGTGTTTATGAACGAGTAGTTGTATGATGTCGATAGGCTTGAAGTGATTGTGTTCTATTCTCTCTGGATATGAAATACAAAATATCCGTACCCACAGCAGCATCATCATCCATGGGTCCTTCATACAGTAGATCAGTGCGATATGTCTGTGCTGTTACAGGTGAAGGCAGGTGTACCACAAACATCTCTAATAAAGCATCAGTCACGGGCAGCCATTTCTGCATGACCTTCCTCATAAGAGATTTACCAGTCTCTGATTTCTCCTCTCCAGACAAGTGGATGTTGAGTTTGTCTGTCAGTCTGAAGACTTCTTCTTTTTCCTCTGACTTCAAAGTTCTCAACATCTAAAATAATTGTTAGGTTGTTTAGTAAATTTCTTTATTTCATTCATATATCATAAATCAAAGAAGATTAATATCTTCAAATCATAAGTTAAAGGCAGTAAACTACAAATCTAGTCTTCATCGTTTCTACCATTTCTTTAAAATTGAAATTGAATATTTCGCTAAGAACTCTGTGATTCACTATTCACTGTAATGCTAAAACAATATATCATTTGTTCAAACATTTTAGTGACATAGACATGTTTGTCTCCTTACAGTGTAAAGTGGCTCCAGGACAAACTTATTGAATCCTCGGACATATCCGTCTCCACCGACTTTATTCCAGGTCCTTGTACCAGGGTGATAGTAATGTTCACCCCATAACCTGCGCATCAATTTGTCTTCTGACAGTCCAAATTTGGTCGCATACAGACGTGCAAAACTCCGCAGAGTGAAACCCCAACGGTGCAGACCACATCCAAACGCAACATTACCGAGTGAGGGATGAAGCTGGAAAATATGAATATGTGTTACTTAAGTAATTATACCAAATGATATAGTTAAATCAAATGCTGAGTATGTACATCTGTGATCTGTGACTAATGAGAATTACAAATTGTATCTAAATGATGATCTATCAAGTCTCATTAATTTAGAACGATTAATTGATTGCCACATTTATTCTCCTACAAGCCCCCTCTGAAATGTAAACGTTTATTGTTGAAATGTGAGGAAGGCTTATTTGTTAACTACTTTCAGCTTAATATTTTGAAATTGATGATTTTGCGAAAACGAAGGGAGCTGATTTGTGCATAATGGCTTATAAATACGATGGATTATAACATTTTTATATATTATCAAAAAGACACCATTTTATTTCCGTACCAGGTGTTAATGCCTCGTGAGAGAAAAATTGTTCAAGAATAAACCTGAAAAATATAGTATTAAATCAAATGTACTTACTGTAAGGTTTCCCATGACATTAGGCTGGCCATACATGTCAACTGTGTTGTTGACCATCTGGATAGTCCGGCAGAGAGACTGGTATAGCTCTTCATGGTCAAGCTGGACCTCCATTACACAACGGTCAAGCTTGTTGAGCATGAGGACTGGACGGACTCGCTCAGCCAAAGCCTGGCGTAGGACAGTCTCAGTCTGCACACATTTACCTAGGGAACAACCACATATTTTGTGAAGTGTGTGATCTTCCATGATATCCAAGTTCATTTTGAAACTCTACATATACAGAAATAATTTCAGTAACAGAGTTTTTACTTTGGTAATTGAATGACAGTGAGAGTATTGAAATCGTTTATTGAAATTCCAGTGAATCATCAAAAAGGACATCCATGAGATACTGGAGAGGTTCCAACATGGGCTCTGTAAACAGGAACACTTAAGTCCTGTAACTATTTTTCATACACGAGTACTTTGATGGTTTTTATTGAAAAAAAAGTTCTTTTTGGATATCACTGAATTTACAAGCAGTGTTAAACTACATGTACATGTTGTTTATACAAAAACTGACCACCTTGTTTTAATGAAATTACATACATTTTTTAATTTTCCATCAATTTTCATGGATTCATGTGAAAATGAATTCTAGTACACATTGACAATATATAGATGTATATGTTTGTCAATAATTATCTAGCGAAAAAAAATCTGGTTTTATATCATCTTCTTAAGTACCAGTAACTTGAAATTCTTCATTATTTTCATGGCCAGATTTGGTAAACATTATTGATACATGCGTTACAAACATAGATGTCACCAATACGTCTTAGATATAATAACTCACCACTAACACTGTCCACCACTACAAGAGCTCCGTCAGCCACCCTCAGCGCAGCCGTCACTTCAGAGGAGAAATCGACATGACCCGGACTGTCAATCAAGTTGACAATGCATTCCTTTAGTCCGGCTTCTGATCCAGCTGGGAACAGCTTTGGATCTACCTCATACAGCAAAGAAATGGCACTGAGGGAGCAAGAGTACACCTGATCAGACAAAGTTAAACTTTGGGTCTACCTCACATAATAAAGTAATGACACACATCAAAAGTTGGACAATTGTGACAAAAGTGGGAAATCTTTTATTTTTGGAGGTAGGCACACTATTTTCACCCATTGTACACTCCCTCCCCCACCTCTTTTTTTTTCTTTTTGAATAATCAGCACTAATACTATTTCACACTTCTTTCCAGTTCTTAAGTTCCTATTGAACTCTCTGTTAAAGAAGAACTTGTACTATTACAATTTTCATTTGTATTTTTTAAAGGGATCTTTGTTGCATGGCATCTCCCTTTGGTGAAATATAGCTAAAACATGGACAAGAATACAGATCATGAAATATTTTCTTAAGGTTGGCAAGTTGTAATATACATTTGTAGTACTGTGGTATACTCATAAATATAAGCTGGGATATTCCTTTATAAACAACACCTAATTCCTTGCCTTTTACCAAATCAATAATTTACCTGTAGTGCTTTCTGAACTTGACACAATTTATCTGTAGTGCTCGTTGAACTTGACCTCATTTATCTTCTGTGCATGTGAACTTGAGCCTATTTGTTTGCAGTGTTCTGAACTTGATCTAATTTATCTGTGGTACTTCTGAACTTTACCATACTTATCTCTGACCCTCACATGATATTGACTGAATTTATCTGTTGTACACACTGAATATGACCTAATTTATCTTCTGTGCATATAAATTTGAAATGATTTATCTGTTGTACTCCTGAACTAGACCCATGTATGATTCTCACATGAAATTAACTTTGTGTCTGTGGACTGCTCTCTGAACTTGACCTACTAGAAGTTTGTGCTATCAAATAAACTTGTTGTGGTTAAGATGCGGTACTCAAATGAATGTGACATAATCATGCTAATCTGGTATAACTTGATCTAATTAATATATGGTTTTCAAAAAAAAACCTGCTGCAGCATCCTACAAAGGCTCGACTTTATATACTTAGCATATTTGTCAAGAGCTGTGGTTCTTGACCTAATTTACCTGCAGTCTCCACACGATATTGGCCTATTTTTGCTGTATTGACAAGAATACAACCTAATATGTCTGTTGTACTCTCATAAAATTGAAATTATGTATATTGCATTCAATCAACCTGACATCATTTAAACCCTGGTGCTCTGTTAACTAATTAGCTGAGGTGACGACCTTGACCTAGTTTATCGCGGTACTCACGTGGACTTGATGGTGATGCCCTTGAGTTGTTCATCCTTTCTAGTGTCCATGGCACACTTGTCACCGGCCTGGTCAGTGTTGATCACTCCAGCCTTGGCCAACAATGAATCGGTCAAAGTTGTCTTACCATGGTCAACATGAGCAATCACAGCCAGGTTCCGGATACCGGTCCGGTGGTCCATGGCCGACCGTAACTGGTCTACCGTAAAGTTTACCTGTTAAAAGAATTACCCACTCAATACTAAAATACCAATTCATAGAAAATTATCTTTATCAAAGTAAGTTGTTGATCATTATAAATTGTAAAAAAAAAATAAATAAATAAAAAAATAAGGAGCATTCACCTGTGTGATATTCATCAATTATGAAAAAAGCAATGACAAATATTTCATCGAATGTTTTCCGTAATAAAAAAAACTCTTACACCAAATTCTAATAATTAGTTTAAATTGATATTCCACAAAAGGCACGCTGCGAAAACTGACATGTTTTATGTATGTTTATGGTATAATTAGGGTACAGACTCATATTGGACTAGCGGTCCTGGTTATAGAAGTATGGATTCATGACTGACTACTCAAGTCCTAGACAAATCGATATTTCTGTACTTTCTACAGTAGTATAAACATACACATGGTTCCTAAAATGCAAATTTCTTAAAACACCGCATACTATTATGGAATCGATTAAATTTAAAGCGTTTAATTAAAAATATATTATAACGACTTATTATAATGGCAGTTTAAAGTGCGCATGTCTTATTTAACCCACAAATAATTACACATTTTTTAAACAGCGATGTTCAAGCCCGCATAGATTTCCTACACGAGTTTTTTTACGAACCATCTTTACCTACAGTGGTCTAACACAAAAATTTTCAAGATACGCAGATATCGAGTTTATCTATGAACTTTTGAAATGTTTATTTTTTTCGTAAAGAGATAAAGTGGTGTTCCAGTTGATAGTTCTGTTCAACTGCTGAAAACTTGATAACAATAATACCGATAATTATAACCGAGAGGTTCCTTGTAGCTTCTCGGAGTAAATGAGAATATTCATTTTGAAAGTCAGAATTCATTGTGCCGCAATGTTGACGTGAGATGCCGTAACTGATGTTTTTAAATTTGGTAAATTGAGAGTAAGTGTCTCATCAATGTACCTGGCAATTAAGATTATAAAAAAGACACACACTTGTAAGGCTAGACATGTAAGTATATCTTTTGCAATTGATAACTTAATAAAAAAAAGTCTGTAATGATTGACGTTTATTTTAATTAAATTAATTGCATTAGAATAATATATGTAATTACGGTGAAAATATTGATGTATGTACTAACCATTTTTCTTTTTGTCTTCTCCTCAAAATTCTCGGCCCGCTTGTCTTCGCCTCTTGGGTAAGGCGTTAATGCAAAAAGAAGCGCACACAGTGATCACTGTCGTTCACATTTTATTTGTGATTTTCAAAACCCGAGTCAGGTCCTTATATACCCGGCTCTGCGAATATTTCACAGTGGTGATGCAATTCCTTCTGTACGTTATCTAGGTAAAATGCCGAGAGGGTATCAGAGCATTTCGAAATACACGCCGACAGAATTATTCGGGATGCATCGAGACTTTTCTATCCCCCACCACTACACACATGTAAATTATTTCCATTAGCGAATCCGGGGTGATTTATGTTTAGAAAATGCTATTTTTGGCTTCATATAATTACGTCGTAATCTATTCCTGTAACATTTGACTTTAAACATATTTCTTTGCCAATATTAGTTATAGAACAAGGGATTAGACACAGCTTATTAACGTATAGGACAACGTTTATATATCACTGATATCATTGATTTATTGGTATCATCCATTCAAAGTTTTTGAATAATTAATTGAATTACGGATATCACTTCAGACTTAGATATAGTCTTAGACCGTGACGTCACTAACTCGATTAATAATATCACTCAATATTCACACTTACCGATATCTTTAATTCGAATTTTTATATTACAAGTTAGAATTTGTGATATTCAGTTAAATAACGATTATTAAGCGATCACTAATTCGGATTATAGAAATCATTAAATGAATAATCAATATTACTAATTCGGTGAAGATCAATACTAAAACGACTCCGCATTCTCCGCTCATACATTTACAGTTTCAGAATAACTCTGTAAAAGGCATTTAAGGCATTCCAGATTTCAAGCATTATGCGCATTTTATTGCCGAAAAGTTGAGACTTTCTCAAAAGGATTTCAACAGTTACATACTCGATCTTTTTTGTTCGTCAGTATAGTGCTAATAAAGCTCAGCTTTCGTTCTCCAGAACTAAAGTAGATATGTGGGGATAGTCGTACATTTAAAGTAACATATTTTTTAAAATGAATATATGGAAGGCAGAGGTCGTACCGATAGATCTAACGAGTTCCAGCTACGAAAAATGGAAGGTTAAAATACAGAAATTGGATATATATATATATTTAATTTAATCAGAGACTCTGATTTAATTTAATTTAAATTTAATTTGTATTTTTAGTTATAAAGTCCTGGTATAAAGGATAAATCAAAAATATCAAGTGCTAACAGAGGAGCTATAATCACTGTTATTTCTAAGAGTGCATTGGTTATCTAAAATATATTTTATATATATATATAATATATATACCTTATTCAAACCAGAGACATATATGACACATGTGATATACACGTCTCTGTTCTCTCTTCGATACGTGGATAAGAAGAAAAACCTGTTATAATACGAGTAGCTTCTCTTTGGGTGCTCTCTAACTCGATCGAGTTATCTAGTGTAACCACCTCATAATTCGCATGAATATTATAGAATTGACAAAATGAATTATCTAATTGGGAATAAGAATTATTGAAGAGAAAGGAAACGAAAAGAAAAGAAACAAAACGAAAATCAAAAGAAACGGAAAAAATCCTGTTGCCTGTGGGAAAAAATCAAACCAGGTACCGAGTTAATTGCTAAGTAATCTACAAGAGAATCTAATGCATACGCCAGAAAGGACAAGTCTTGTGTAATGCATTTTCCTAAATGTTATGCAGATCAGAGTTTAAATTATATTTGTTGGTACTTAAAAGGAAATCATATGATTTTAATTCAGATAAATATTCTTCCATTGTATTTCAAAGCAATGTGAAAAATAATCACCGAATTTGATACATCTTTGTCCTCGCATTTCGAAGAGATTTCATATCATCGTCACTTTGGCAAAGACTAAGCTGTGAGACGTACCTGTGCCAATAACATCGACTTTCTAAAACAACAAAACATCTTAATAGAGTTGATTGTGTATGCATACTTTTGAGCGATACAGGTGTGTTTTATCTTAAAGTTTTCTCAGGAAACTATTTCAAATACACCGAAATACTAGGCATGACCTTTGAACTACACTTTTATACCAGGGCAATTTCTGGAATCTTGGGCTTAGAATATATCTAACCCCGTGCTCAAGCGGCATTGAATGCCTACTTGACAAATGTCTGGGTTATAAATCACGTGTTACCACAGTCAACTGCACATCTAATCCCCTTTTATTGGCAATCATGATTATATGACCGTGAATGACGTTCTGTGAAGTGGACTGTGGTAACAACCTGTAAGAAAAGGGGAGATAATCAATAAGTTGTAATGATTAATTCTAATTATATATACACGTTCATTCATGACAATGCTGTTAAAGGTTCTTGCATTGCTGGAAAATTACGTCATTCTCAGAAGCTACATTTCATTGATCACCAAATAACACATTCCCTGAAAGATACACAGCATGCAAGTAATGCTGGAATGACCCAGGGGCTGAAAATGGATTTTAGCATCATACTTCTTAAACTATTTCACTCATGATCAAAATATACAGCTTGTTGTTGTTTTTCACCTCTCTTCTCCAACTCCTAAGCAGTTTTTCCCCTTGTATCCAATAATTTGTTTCTTCTCTGCTACTGGTGTTTGAGCTATCCAGTTAACCAGGATTTATATTTTCAAATTTTCCTGGTCCTCTCAGAATATTTGGTGTTGTAATGTCCATAATATCATATTATAGTTGATTATAAGCCAAAAAAAAACATGGATCGCCTTCAAAGGAGAATAACACTTGTGTCAGTTGTAATGAATAATGACAGACTGGTATCAATAATGAGCCAAGTGTTCCCTGGTACCGAGAGATACTCACATAAGTACAGGTAAATTTGTTCAGAAAACAATAAAGAGTTTGGTTATGGGGGCTGACAGTGAGAGTTTTATTTCCATCCTCTGTCTGTTCCTTCAAGGTTGGAAGTATATGCATCGGGTCAGTTATTACACAATTTCTCTTCACTTGGGACTAATAATATCCTCCCTATCCCTTAGGTGTAATAAATCCTTGTACCTCACAAACCATACATTCATCATGCCTAAGTAGTCTCTTAACCATCATTCAGACTAATATCAACATCAATGAGTGTCGCTTTTCCGGAAATTTTAGACTTACTTAGAGAAATATCTTCAAAATTCAAGACAGAGAGAGTGCCTAAGAAAACTGACCTATGTGGCCTTTAAATTATATCAGGGTCATTCATTTTGAAAAAAAAAAGTTAGCCTTTCACCCCAGACTGATGGCAGCCCATTACCATGAGTCTTTGTTAGTAAGTCTTTTGAACACTTCAACACTTTTGATCCCCGTAACCTTAGACAAACTTTGTAGTCTTTTTTTTTTTTGAATGCTACAGGCCCAATATCATTATCCTGGGCCTCTTAATAACTGAGAAGTTTTATAAGGTAAACTGGAGATGAAGGAAGTTGCATAAGCTGACATGCCCTTAATGCATATGAACTAAATACTGGGTCAATCAAGCATGAAATATGGGTCAAATCCACCCAAAGTTCAAAATGGGTCAATTGGGCATAACATGTGGGTAAAATCCTTTCTCATGAACATGCTGGGCACTAAATATCCCTATATACACCAGCTATGTTAGTTTGATTGATGTACCACTTGTAATCTAATCCTGGAGCAGAAGCCTGAGTGTAGCATACTTGTTATCCCCCCTCATACCTATCAGGAACAAGTCAGTGACAAAATAGCACCCACTTATCAAGAAACGTTTTTTCAAACCTTTTTTCATAACAGCTTGAAGATCTTTCACCGTCTTCAGTAAGATATGCTGGAGTTTAACATTTGCCTGTTTTGCCATTTTATCATGAGGAGGGCAAAGGCAATAGGTTGGCCAGTTTGATATCTCAGCTGAAAAGTGTATTTGTATGTATTTTGATACAAATTCAACAATGGTTGAATTTTTTTTACCAGGGTGAAAAACATGCCAACGGAGTGTTACCAACACACAACACATCTAGAACACAAATATCAAGCAGACAAACCGCTAACTATTGCTACAACCAATAAGAATTGTGATTTTTTTCTACTCATAGATTAAACTTCTTTTCTAGTAAGCTATTTGTTCAGATGTACCAACGTTTATAGGTGTAATGTTTTGCAGAGAGATAACTCGCACATAATATATTGTAAATTAACCATTTAAGGTCATTTTAATGAGAAGACATGTTAGAAAAAAATAATTCAACCGATTAACCTTTGAGCACACTTTGGTCCAACAATACAATGACCAGTCATGATTTTCAATACCAAATGTTTTTAATGGTTACAGATCAATAATGGCACAGAAACGGTCAGCTGTCAAAATGACCATCTCAACAATTTGATTTCAGTCAGAGAACAATACAGAATGATGAAATATGTTAAATGGTTAATAGCGGTGAATGTGAAGTTTGTAACAGAAAAGCATGAAAATTTGGAAATATAGCATGATGTTGCCATAGAAACCAGTTTGTAGGCCAGCCCTGACACACAGATCTTATCACAAAAAAAAAGAAGCAAATTATCAAAGTAATTCTGTGATATATTAAGTAATAAGTAGGTATCGCAAGGATACTTGAATGAAATACCTGGTATAAAAGACAGGAGCAAATTATGTGAATGTTTAAAAAAAAAAAACCTGACAGCACCATTTCCTTGAAAACCAAAGCATTCTGGTTAATATTAAAACTAAACAAAAAAATGAAATACATTTTTTGTACACTGTTCAATATAGGTTCCATTTAACATGTGGAGAATCATTCCTTCTCTATACAGAATTTCTCCAACAAGTGTTATCGGGAACAAGATTGATCACTTCTATTCTGCTCATAATAATTCAACTGCAAGTTGAATTATTATGTTTGAGATATGCGAGGACAAACCAAAACAATCTTTTAATATATAAAATTCTATTTGAATAAACAATAAATACTAGTATTTACTAATGAATTAAAATCTCATTTGTATAACATCAGCACTAACAAAAACTTTGTACTAACTCAAAGTGATGTTCATTCAGAAACCAGTAATTCAAATTGAGGGTTTTCGAAAGCCGCTAAACTACAATTCCAGGCCTTTTTCTATAAAATCTCATGTGTTTACAGGGTACATAAAATCACAGACAACTGAAACTGATCTGAGGTTGAAGTTACATAGAAACAGTAAATGTTGTTTAGTAAGTAAATGATAAACAATCTCGCCACCCTTGTGACCTTGACATTGGTCTCAATTAGGGCTGATTTCTGTCCACCATAACCGTAAATTTGAAGAATGACAAAAGACACTGAGAACCAATAAACAGCTTATTAGTTTTCAATATCTTCTTGGATTTTGCTTGTAGTGAATTCATGCATACTGTGCTTAAAACTACTCGGTATTTGAAAATCTGCGATCTTTAGGTGTTTTTATATCAAAATTCAATCCATGAAACAGCACTTGATAATAGTACACATCATCTAAACACTGGTTATAAAACATACATATTATAAATAAAGTTTGGTTACTGACAAGCATTGTTGTCTATATACAATACAGCAATGCCTTATAAGGTATTAGTCTTTGGTTAAGTTCTACAGCTAAGAGTTGTCTTCCTAGAGGTCATAGAGGTCAACTTTCAATAATTGTTAATGAGTTAGTTAGATTGGTACAGTAATTTGAATTAAAAGCACAAAGGGAATGATTGATTTAGTAAGACAAACTAATACACAGCATATTTAAATAAACAGTGTACTTACTCTTAATGTTAATATTTTACTGTAAATCACTTTAATTTAAATGAATTTAATTTCCCAAAAGGGAAGTCACTGTCTTATTCGCGAATGCATGTACTAATGGGTATGCTTATAAACAACTGATTCTGTGTTGGTCATGTATCGATCAACTGCTGTTTGTGTATCACAAATATCGAGGATGAAGAAAAATAATTAAATAATAATAATATAAAAAAATGTCTGGAAATCCAATTTCACACATTCATAAGCAGGACATATCAAGCATCACCAAGGTGTATAATGATATAGTGTCACCCAGGTGTATAATGATATAACATCACCCAGGTGTATAATGATATAGTGTCACCCAGGTGTATAATGATATAATATCACCCAGGTGTATAATGATATAGTGTCACCCAGGTGTATAATGATATAACATCACCCAGGTGTATAATGATATAACATCACCCACCCAGGTGTATAATGATATAACATCACCCACCCAGGTGTATAATGATATAACATCACCCACCCTGGTGTATAATGATATAACATGACACAGGTGTATAATGATATAACCTCACCCACCCAGGTGTATAATGATATAGCGTCACCCACCCAGGTGTATAATGATATAACATCACCCAGGTGTATAATGATATAACATCACCCACCCTGGTGTATAATGATATAACATGACACAGGTGTATAATAATATAACATCACCCAGGTGTATAATGATATAGCGTCACCCACCCAGGTGTATAATGATATAACATCACCCATCCAGGTGTATAATGATATAGCATCACCCAGGTGTATAATGACATAACATCACCCAGGTGTATCATGATATAGCATCACCCAGGTGTATAATGATATAACATCACCCACCCAGGTGTATAATGATATAACATCACCCACCCAGGTGTATAATGATATAGCATCACCCAGGTGTATAATGACATAACATCACCCAGGTGTATCATGATATAGCATCACCCAGGTGTATAATGATATAACATCACCCACCCAGGTGTATAATGATATAACATCACCCAGGTGTATAATGATATAACATCACCCAGGTGTATAATGATATAACATCACCCAGGTGTATAATGATATAACATCACCCAGGTGTATAATGATATAACATCACCCACCCAGGTGTATAATATCAATGTATAAGTAGGTAGACTGATATATGGCAGTATGGAATGACGTCATCTTTCACAGAGATTAGTACCTAATGGCACAATGATCACATAGTATCTCATCAACACCAAACATATATAAATATATACTTTTTTTCTCATAACATGCAGTAAAATGAAAAATTTCACCTCATCAGATTTCGAATGTTCTATTGTCATTATTAAACATACAGAAACAAATTGGATGTACAATTTTAATTGCAGAATACCCAAAAATGATTTCAATCACCCGTAAAAAATATGAATAAAAAATCTTTAAGAGGTGAAATTTCCTTCTTACTGTAACAAACTGCATATATTTTCCTTTTTTCCTTCTATCTTTCATTTGTTTACCTTTAATCTCTCATTCTCAGATTCACCCAAAAAGTCCAGTACAGGTATACCAATCCCTCCATTTTTTACCAACTACCATAAATGATAAATAAAACCAACAAAATATACACCCACAAAGGACATAAAGTCTATATTCAGTCTTGGGCCACTTTTGTGTAACCAAGTTGAAATACACCGATAACTGAGGTAACCAGGTCTAATAAACAGATCTCTAATTTACATAATTTTAATAAATATCTAAAAGTTCATATATATATATTTTGTTGGTGTTTTAAATTTCAGGTAATTTTCTAAGATACATAAATTTTGAATTGTTTATATAGATTTACAAGCAAGAGCCACACAATTTTTGGACTGGGCCTATCAAACTACACAAGTGGAAAAGAATGTTAGAACTGCCTTGTCCAAACCTAGGCCGTCACTTTGTACTTGTCTTAGTTTCAACTGGATATACAAAAGGAGCCTAAGTTATCTTGGAGGGAAACTATGAGTATGGGTCAAAGAACTGATAAGCTATTCAAACCCTATCAGGATAATGACACATAATCATTTTATTTCTTCCACATAAGCTACGTGTTGTTAAGTATAACATCTGTGACATTGAAACATGTCAGTTAAGACCCTTGAATCCTTATACTAGGCATATGGTTTTCAAGGCAAATTTCTCTGTAAAATTGGCTAATATAGCTAGTACTTCGAGTACTTTCTGTAAAATAAAAATCACAGAGACTCAGTGTGTTATTTTAGCCGTACAGAAAGTGATCAGCATGGCCACATCACACAGAAACAACATTTTAGGCATTTGACAGCTGATCACAACATCGTTCTAACTTCTGTATGACTGTATCACATCAGAGAGGGATTGCCTCTCTATACTCTATCACAGAAAGTCTAACATTGTTCAGGTTCACTCTAGAAGGTCTACATCGCTGTCGTCATGGTAACTTTCTACTCTTGTCTCCCGCTCGGTTGAAATCGCATTCACTTCTGTCGGTTCGTCTGGCTCCGCTGTATTGTTAGCTGCTCCTAAAATGTCTTCGTCATCTTCATTCCCAATGGCATCTGGCAACTGAAGACAGATGATTTGACAAGATTATTATAATATTAATGGAACATGTCCGAGATATCTGTCAAAACGCCTGTAAAAAACAAATGTCAATGAACGAATTTGAAACTCATAGTTTGAGTTTGAGGAACAAACCTATACACTATAGAATATAATTTTTCTAGGAAAGAGGATTTAGGAACCTCGTTTTAATATTAGTTCCAGAATTTAAGCCTGAATGTTGTAGAATTAGTATTGTGCACACTTTTCTGCACACATAGTTTGAGTGAATCTCAAAGTGATCATCCATGCGATTGTCAACATGGTCATCAAAGATTTTCTTATCAGCCATTGGTCAGCAAAGATAGTCTTATCACACAAGTCTTGCTCTAGAATATCTGTACTCTGTATGGTGTATTATGTATACATCTTTCTGTACCCTGTAGTCTTATCACACAAGTCTTACCATTGAGTATCTGTACTCTGTATGGAGTAGTTTACATCTTACTGTATACCTAACATCTTACCATGGAGTATCTGTACTCTGTATGGAGTAGTTTACATCTTACTGTATACCTAACATCTTACCATGGAGTATCTATTCTCTGTATGGAGTAGTTTACATCTTACTGTATACCTAACATCTTACCAGTATCTGTACTCTGTATGGAGTAGTTTACATCTTACTGTATACCTAACATCTTACTGTATACCTAACATCTTACTATATACCTAACATCTTACCATTGAGTATCTGTACTCTGTATGGAGTAGTTTACATCTTACTGTATACCTAACATCTTATTGTATACCTAACATCTTACTATATACCTAACATCTTACCATTGAGTATCTATACTCTGTATGGAGTAGTTTACATCTTACTGTATACCTAACATCTTACCCTAGACTATCTGTACTCTGTATGGAGTAGTTTACATCTTACTGTATACCTAACATCTTACCATTGAGTATCTGTACTCTGTATGGAGTAGTTTACATCTTACTGTATACCTAACATCTTACCATTGAGTATCTATTCTCTGTATGGTGTAGTTTACATCTTACTGTATACCTAACATCTTACCATTGAGTATCTGTACTCTGTATGGAGTAGTTTACATCTTACTGTATACCTAACATCTTACTATATACCTAACATCTTACCATTGAGTATCTGTACTCTGTATGGAGTAGTTTACATCTTACTGTATACCTAACATCTTATTGTATACCTAACATCTTACTATATACCTAACATCTTACCATTGAGTATCTGTACTCTGTATGGAGTAGTTTACATCTTACTGTATACCTAACATCTTACTGTATACCTAACATCTTACTATATACCTAACATCTTACCCTAGAGTATCTGTACTCTGTATGGAGTAGTTTACATCTTACTGTATACCTAACATCTTACCCTATAGTATCTGTACTCTGTATGGAGTAGTTTACATCTTACTGTATACCTAACATCTTACCCTAGAGTATCTGTACTCTGTATGGAGTAGTCTACATCTTACTGTATACCTATCATCTTACCCTAGAGTATCTGTACTCTGTATGGAGTAGTCTACATCTTACTGTATACCTATCATCTTACCCTAGAGTATCTGTACTCTGTATGGAGTAGTCTACATCTTACTGTATACCTATCATCTTACTATATACCTAACATCTTACCATTGAGTATCTGTACTCTGTATGGAGTAGTTTACATCTTACTGTATACCTAACATCTTACTGTATACCTAACATCTTACTATATACCTAACATCTTACCATTGAGTATCTGTACTCTGTATGGTGTAGTTTACATCTTACTGTATACCTAACATCTTACTGTATACCTAACATCTTACTATATACCTAACATCTTACCCTAGAGTATCTGTACTCTGTATGGAGTAGTCTACATCTTACTGTATACCTATCATCTTACCCTAGAGTATCTGTACTCTGTATGGAGTAGTCTACATCTTACTGTATACCTAACATCTTACTGTATACCTAACATCTTACCATGGAGTATCTGTACTCTGTATGGAGTAGTTTACATCTTACTGTATACCTAACATCTTACCATTGAGTATCTGTACTCTGTATGGAGTAGTCTACATCTTACTGTATACCTAACATCTTACCATGGAGTATCTATTCTCTGTATGGTGTAGTTTACATCTTACTGTATACCTAACATCTTACCCTAGAGTATCTGTACTCTGTATGGAGTAGTCTACATCTTACTGTATACCTAACATCTTACCATGGAGTATCTGTACTCTGTATGGAGTAGTTTACATCTTACTGTATACCTAACATCTTACCATTGAGTATCTGTACTCTGTATGGAGTAGTTTACATCTTACTGTATACCTAACATCTTACCATGGAGTATCTATTCTCTGTATGGTGTAGTTTACATCTTACTGTATACCTAACATCTTACTGTATACCTAACATCTTACTGTATACCTAACATCTTACCATTGAGTATCTGTACTCTGTATGGAGTAGTTTACATCTTACTATATACCTAACATCTTACCCTAGAGTATCTATTCTCTGTATGGAGTAGTTTACATCTTACTGTATACCTAACATCTTACCATTGAGTATCTGTACTCTGTATGGAGTAGTCTACATCTTACTGTATACCTAACATCTTACTCTAGGATATCTGTACTCTGTATGGAGTAGTCTACATCTTACTGTATACCTAACATCTTACTGTATACCTAACATCTTACTATATACCTAACATCTTACCATTGAGTATCTGTACTCTGTATCTTTCTTCACTACAGAGCGTAATCGTTGTAGACAGGAGTCCCTGTAAAACAAGAATATATACATGTATATATGAATGATCACATCAAAATTCCCGTTTCAAAAATTCTATAATGTTAGTATACAATTTGTCAAGCTCAAAAGCAGTCCAGTAAATGATATCTCTCCTGATAATACTGTATCGATATTCGATTTGTCTTTGGCACTTAAACAAACGATATACCCTCGATCCTGGAGGTGATACATAACAGATTAAACCGAAGCAGTAAAATGAATATCGTTTTTGAATGTAGGTTGTTTACCTGTCCCACCGATGAGTAAACGTTTAGATATACAAAATGAAGCACAGGTGCATTGATGGTGTGTTGTTTGTGGAACTGAAATGGTATGATGTTTTGGATTTTGAATAAGTTATTGTGCTATCAAACTTTGATTCAAGGATAATGTCTTCCAAAATGATTTGAGGGACCAGTTATAGCTTAGTCAGAGTGTTGGCCTCAAATGAACCATAGGTGAAGATCCGTGGTGCATGGTTCAATTCTCCCTCCCAGTGGTTTGTGTTTCATAGCATGATGTCATTGTTGTCATGGTTATGTCTTGTCTTGGCCAAGACACTTGACCCTAATTGCTCTGGATGACATGCTATAGACCTTTTTACATGTTGTTTTGCTAAAAGGAGACCCCTATACCTTAAAAATCCTGGCTGTTCACGAGGCAATACACAAACAAATCCAAAATAATTTGTTTCAGTTTCTAGCCACGAAAGACTCCTTCTTTGTGACAGCCTTTGTGTGGTTATGCTATGCATCATTTTTCCACTCACAAACAATATTATGACGGAGAAGAAGATTTTCTGTATGTCATTTAGAGCTATTCATCTGTTGGAAGGTGTGTTATATAATGACCACTGCAAGATATGGAAAATTCACATTTTTCCTTTTCTTTGGCACCCATTATGTAAAGCATTGCTTTCTTTTTTGTGTAAACCTTCTGAGAAGTAGACGTCTTACAGGATAACCCATAACAGACCACCCTCCACACACAAACTGTATTCTCACTGGTGGATGCCTGGTCTTACCTGCGTTCCTTCCTGTGAAATACAATGAGAAGCACACACACAAGGATGGCTACTACAAACACTGCCATCACCGTGCCTATCGTCTTCCCCTTATTAACAACTGCTGCTGCTGTTTTGGCCCTGTCTGTGGGCGGAACAATTTCTCTGAGAACACAGAAAAAAAACAAACAAAATTAATTTCATCTTCAAAGAATAGAATAGGAAAAACAATATCAAATGTCTGTTAGTGATGATTGCCACTATTCTCATGCACTTCGTTAATGATTTTCTAAAAATAGTATTGATGACCTTGAACTTTATATTTGAACCTAAAACTTAAGATTTACTCAATATGATTCTAGTACTCTCAAAATCTCCACTGAAATAAAATCTCCTCAAAATTTATAACATAATCCAAGCGATTGATAGGAATCTCTTGGGTCACTCAAAAATCAGATTTATAACTTTATTGGAGTGCTGACTGGTTTTGTGAGTAGTATGTACCTACTATCGACCTCTTCAGGATTGGAGCAGCCCATTGTACTGACAAAGGTGTGACTCTATTGCTATTTTGATTGGTCTTTAGGCAGGTATAACATCTTACATAGAAACAAGAAAGTAAATTAACTCCTACAAAGAGAGTAAAGCACCTGTATTTAATATACTCACACTTTAGGATGTAAACAGGCGACAGGATTTTCCCACAGGAACAGGTGGACACAGTCTTTAGATCGTGACAAAAGTATTGGTGCATTCTGAAGATTTGAGATTCAAGATTTTAATTACTAACATGTAACCCGGAAAAATTTACATTCATGCCCTCACTTAGCGAGGCAAAAATAATCAATATTATTTAAAGATTAAGAAACTCCCTTCTGGTACACCAAAAGAAAACAAAAATTCAGTTCAATTGCTCTCATGTTTTTACGGGAAATTGAACAATTCTTACATTGTTCAATTATTGTGTTGTTATATTTCTTAGTCAATAATAGATACAAGAGTTCCTCGGAACTATATGTGTCGCCTGCATAAAGTGTCACAGTCACCCAGAAATTGAACTGGATGTGCAACGATCAACCATAAAGTTGGAATACCAAATTTCATTTTGATAACTCAAAGCATAAGCCAAAAAAAGTCCGGAAAACAATACTCCCAGGAAATTTTCTAAGTTGAAAGGGGCATAACTCTGCTAAAAAGGGTCACAGACAGCCAGGAATCAAACTTATTCTGTACCCTTGCAACAAGAAGCCATATACCAAATTTCATTTTGATAACTCAAAACATAAGCCAAAAAAGTCTGGAAAACAATATAAGTGATCCCTTAGTGTCCGCCAGCTCTGCAGGCGACACAAAACCTACAGATACAGATTGGGACGATTGGCTGTTTTGGATGTATCAAGGTCAAGGACTTACAGCATGTGGAAAAAGTTTTACAGAAAAATGTCATTGTACAAAACATCTGATGAATACTGATACACATACTTAAGTCTATGAAAAAGGGAAAGCTGTGTATTTCAGACCATATCGGATATCTCACATAACTTCAAAACTACACATTAATGCTGTCATTTTACAAATTCTGTACATTTTTGTTAGTTGTAAAGACAGCCATCCACTCATTGTCACAGTATCCAAATACCTTGATGAGGACAGGTGAACAAGGACGACCAATGTAGGGCTTACCGGGCTATCATTACAGTGAAATGTAATTATGGCCTTGACTTTTTTCTTCCTGTCCGTAGCACAGATTTGATCAGACTCATACTCAGCTTCCAGGATACCATCTGTAGGAAAAAGAAATTAAGATTTACATATACTGTTGCTCTGTTTGGATTTCAACAAGCTCTTTCCCAAACTTTTTTTCAATAAAAGCAAATGACCTTTTTTATTCAATTAGAAATTCTACTGATCCTGTACCTAATTAAATGACCTGTCTATTTGAATCTCTCCAACCAAGCATCATCATTTGTACTTGTTCTCAATATAACCCATCTTGGCTATGTTTTACGCAAATTTTCTGTACTTTTCACTTACACAACCTATAGGTCTTTTATGTATTTACAAGGATTAAAATAATATGTTTAATGTCCAAAATGAGCTCTTTCCAGTTTATCATGAGCTCTTTTCTGTCTAACAATAAGCCTTCTAGATTACTTGAGAGCTTTTTAAGATTATTAATACTACATCCTATCTAAAATGCATGTCTCTACAAATTACCATACCTTCAAAAGAATATTTCCTCTTTGAATATGCCCCAATACTTTGTGCTGTGGATGTGGTGTCATGGAGGCATACAACAGAATCTGTACACGTGCCAGCTGTGCCGGAGAGGTCAAGGTCATAGTAACTAGTATCACTAATAGTTATTTTAGATGACCTGAAACACATAATGTATGTATAAGAGCACACCTTCATCTTTTTTTTTTGTTTCGACCTACTTCTTCATGTTTTGTAATCTCTGACTTGAAACCATGATATTCCAGTAACAACAAATCATGGATTCCATGTTCATTTTAACTTTCTTTTAAAACTAATACTAATCTACATTAAAATCATATAAAAGTTGTAATCCCAAGATCTAGACATTGTAAAACTTACAGTAAATCCACTACTAAGTCTAAATAACAGCGAATGTAAACAGAACATCTTCTTACTGAAGCAGAAGATTCTGTTTCAGTACTTAATCTGATTTGGAGCATGAGCTTGTGACGAGTCCTTCTCCAGGCTGTTATAAATTGTATGTACCTGGTCATTCGTAAACATTGTATAATGGCCAACATACATCAATTTTTCTGTAATATGGCCTTAAAAACATTGTACATGTGGCATTTTACTCTAGAATTACTTACCAATAACATTTTGATAAAAAGATTTTATAATCCCTTTGTTTTTTTATACCCTGTTCACTCGTGATCCTAACCTGATGTATCAAAGTTAAAGTAGGTCACATGGTGTCTTCAACAGACTTACCCAAGTTTATTGAGGTAGATAGCGCTGCCAGTTTCTGGGTCGGTCACCACACCATCCTTGTCTTTCACTGTTTGACTGAAATGTGTATCAATAACTTTATTTTAAAAATTCAACAAACAAAGTTTTTAAACACATTTTTATTGTTTTTCTTAAACTGTCACAATTATGAACAAACAAAGATCAGATATGAAACACTCATAGTGATAAATATGAAGTTTTACTTTTGTTACTTCTATAATAGCTATTTCAGCTTCAAAAAGTCTTTCAAAAAGCACTGGAACCACCTATGAACTGACCATGAAATGGATGAATAAGACATACAGTTCTGGCAACACTGATAACCTACCTAATGAGGCTGCAGGCGACCTTTGACTTCCAGTGAAACTCAAACACACAATCATCTCGATTTTCCCTAAACAGATATCCAGCAAACGATTCGTCAATTTATGTACCATAATATAACAACAACACCAACAATTCAACAATCCTCCAATGTGTTTTCCAATTTAGAAATGATAATTTATTCTTATAGATACAAATATTCTAATTCTTGGGTACATATATCACCAAAGAAAAATACTAAAAATATTTGTGAAGTTCTTCATGCCATGAATAATACAAACAAAATGCATTAATTCTATTTTCCTTTACTTTATAAATGTTTGTGTTTGCCCTAACTGTAAACCATAAATTTTTTTGGGGTATAAAGTTGGTGGTGTCAAAATTTTTTGACCATTTTGAAGGCATTTGATTCCAAAGTTAAACAGAACTTTTAAAAAGAAATCTGTTATAATTTGTCCCATATTTTTTTTATTTGCGGCCATATGAATTTGTGGGTTAAGAGTAACCGTATATGAAAATAAAACAACACAAAAAATAATGATTTTAAAAGTGCAGTGTATTAAATGACCGACAATTTTTTTTTTGACCATAGGTCAAAGCTTTAGTTATACATACATTATTATCTAAGAAATTCTCTTCCAATAATCACAGTTTAAACATTAATTTAATAAAATATGAATAAACAGACCTTTCAACGAATACAGGGCCTCCAACGGTATTTCCACATGTAAACATGATCAAAGTTTGGGCATGTAAGTTGTCACTTCGTCGCTTTGTGTTAGAACAAGCTGTATCGCCTTGAAAGTACTGTAGTTTAAGTGTCTTTCCATCAGCTTCAATCAAATCATACAAAGGACAAGTTTTAGGCATGCAATAAAATTTGTAAAACTAGTATGTGATTGCAATATGTACAATATATTATTGGTACACACATACAACTTTATATCAACATGCTGTACGGCAATCTTTGACTATCAAATATACCACAGTATCAATATCTTATAAATGTGTTTGTACTGACATATAGCCTTATAACCTGTCCTGAATCATCTAAGGTGAGTTTCCATGCATCCAATACCCCATCTGTCTATAATGTCATGGTTATGTTTCAATGTACTGACAGCTCCTTGTCTGTCCATGTGTCCTACACTTTCTATGAAGAGCTTTCATCTAATGACAGCCCCTTGTCTGTCCATGTGTCCTACACTTTCATCTAATGACAGCTCCTTGTCTGTCTATGTGTCCTACACTATCTATGATGAGCTTTCATCTAATGACAGCTCCTTGTCTGTCCTGTCTTAAACTGTCTATGGTGAGTTTCAATGTAATGACATCACCTTGTCTGTCCTGTCTTAAACTGTCTATGGTGAGTTTCAATGTACTGACAGCCCCTTGTCTGTCCATGTGTCCTACACCATCTATGATGAGCTTACATCTAATGACAGCCCCTTGTCTGTCCATGTGTCCTACACCATCTATGATGAGCATTCATCTAACGACAGCCCCTTGTCTGTCTATGTGTCCTACACTATCTATGATGAGCTTTCATCTAATGACAGCTCCTTGTCTGTCCTGTCTTACACTGTCTGTGGTGAGTTTCGATGTAATGACAGCACTTTGTCTGTCCTGTCTTAAACTGTCTATGGTGAGTTTCAATGTAACGACAGCACCTTGTCTGTCCTGTCTTAAACTGTCTAAGGTGAGTTTCAATGTAATGACAGCACCTTGTCTGTCCTGTCTTAAACTGTCTATGGTGAGTTTCAATGTAACGACAGCTCCTTGTCTGTCCTGTCTTACACTATCTATGGTGAGTTTCAATGTAATGACAGCACATTGTCTGTCCTGTCTTAAACTGTCTAAGGTGAGTTTCAATGTAACGACAGCACCTTGTCTGTCCTGTCTTACACTGTCTATGGTGAGTTTCAATGTAATGACAGCACATTGTCTGTCCTGTCTTACACTGTCTATGGTGAGTTTCAATGTAATGACAGCACATTGTCTGTCCTTCTGTCTTTCAATGTCTATGGTGAGTTTCAATGTAATGACAGCACCTTGTCTGTCCTGTCTTACACTGTCTATGGTGAGTTTCAATGTAATGACAACACATTGTCTGTCCTTCTGTCTTTCAAAGTCTATGGTGAGTTTCAATGTAATGACAGCACATTGTCTGTTCTTCTGTCTTTCAATGTCTATGGTCATTTTCTATGTATTCTTAGTTCCTTTCTTTACCTATTTCTGTCAAACTGTCCATGGCTACTGATAATTCATTTGTCTGTCCATCTGTCTTACATATACTTACTGCCCATAGTGAGTTTTTGTGTGCTGATAAGTCCTAGCCTGTCTACCAGTCCACTTGCAGTTTTGCGCCAGGCAGCTACCATGTGTGGACAATCCTCAGAGTCTGTTGGGCCATTAGTTACTGACTGACATATATTGATCCAGTATCTGTTGTCAGACAATTCTCACACATTTAATAAAAGTATCATAATTCCACTACAATTTCAATCAGGAAGTGAAACCTTATCTCTTTTATTCTCCTTTTTCCTTTTAAATTCTGAAGACATGATAGAGAGTAAATGTGTTATCTGTGGCCACAATCGATTGTTATTCAGTAGTAGCTATTACATACAAATTCTTGGCATTTATATTGCAGATGCAGTTGACACCTAAATCTTGTAAAACATTCTAACATCAAATTTAGTTTTTAATGGTAACCTTAACCTCATCTTTAAGTAACCTTGACCTTATCTGTTAGTAACCATGACCTCTCATGTTGGTTACTAAGGCCTCACCTGTTGCCCTTGGTATCTGTGAGATTCCATCCTCCAGTTTCACTGGACAGCATATTAAGATCAAAGCTTTGATAATTGAAACCAAGAGAGCAGGCATCAGCCACTTTTGGACACACCACACATGTCCGCCAGTAAAACAGAGCCTGACATTGACCAGCCTACAAAGAGATAATGTAATGTATATATTATATAGAGTTTTCTGAAACACAAATCATGTTCAATACTGACTGTATGTTATGTAAGTAGGACTATCTCAAGCCTGTGAAATATACCTCCCCACTACACAAACAATTTTGTTCTCCATTTTTTGTTTTTTTTTTCAAAAATCATATCGCATCAAAAATAAAAGAGAGGTTGATTTATTTTACTGGATGACAAAGTACTTACTTGTACTGCTTGAAGACAAATTGCAAAGTGGTAATAATTGAAAATAGTACCAGGTTAATGACATTAAGAGTTGCTTCTGTTGTTTTTTGGTCATAGGTGTACTTTGATTGGATGACTTAGTACTTAAGTAGGTGTACTTTGATTGGATGACTTAGTACTTATGTATGTGTACTCTAGTTAGACGATTTAGTACATACATAGGTGTGCTTTAGTTGGATGATTAATTACTTACATAAGTGTACCTTGGTTGACCAACCACCCCAGACGTTTCACAGTCAAAAGTGATTACACTCTCTCTTTTCCTTATTCCTGGTAAGAAACAAAACAATTGTCAGTAGTGAAATTTAAGAAAAATAAATCTGAATCTCTCATCTTTACTTACTTCAAATAATTTTAATCTTCACAATTCAAACTGTTTGCAAAGAACTGATGCACTACAAAATGTTTTTTGCAGATATTTAAGCCTCCGAACAACCAATTCGAAACATTTCCTTTCACAAAAGGCTACATCATTTCAGTGAAGCATTAAAAGATAGGCTTGATGGAAATCTAATTCCAGTATATCCTATCTAAGTATGTTGTGCGATAAGGAAATGAAAAATTTGTCTTTACTGTACATATGGAATATTAATGATTTAGTCATATTTTTCTTTATGATCGGCTAAACAGATACCTACCATCACATGTATCTCCCTGTGTATATGTCAGCTGTATGACTTTGCCAGTCTTCGTGACTGTTCTGTGAGTAACACTGCCAAAGGAGACCCCTCTTGAACTAGAATCTGAATTGTTGGTACGACAGACACCTGCTGTTTCACATCCAGGTGTGACTGTCTGCACTTTCTCACAGATGTTGAGATAGTACTTGTAACCTTTTGCCACCATCTATTAAAAAGAAAAGAAAATAGTAAAATACTTATAACCCATCAATAGAAATAAGACTTATAGATTAATTAAAGTCATCCATGTGTGCAAATTACTTCAAACTTAAATCTGCAAGATATTCAACTCACTTTGTTCAACAAACAAAATTTTGAACATTTGATAATGTGAAATTTAAGCTTTTCTTGAGTGTGAAAATATACAAGCCCTTCAAAACATAGACGATAAAAGTCTGAATCTTTGAAACTTGTTTTAACCTAAAATTAATAAGTTTCCTTTTGTGAAATTAAAGTTGAAGTTTGCTGCTCCATGTGGAACTAATGTTTGAACTTATAAATTGTAAATTACTCTTACAAAAAAAGTTTAAACACTAACAGCACTAATACTCATATATAGCAATTACTCTTTTCCTAGTGATCTGAAGTTTGACTATGTAAAGTAAGATTCCTCGTTATTTAGTACACAGAAACTCTAAAACTGCATTTTTGACAGACTTAACCCCTCCCCCTCCTCCACACACAAAAAAAACACCTTATAGCTTAAATGAGATCATAAATAAAGAAAATTAACTGAAGGAGGCCACGGTGATTACTACCAGGCAGAATTCAAATGTCATGTGTGAGCCCAAAATACAATTATCAAAAGTAGCAAGCAAGAAAATTGAGCATATTTCAGTTAACCGAGTGTTGGTCCAGCTGTTGAACAATACTGCTATTAGGAGGAATTCAATACAGTCATATCAACATTGACGTTTTGATCCAACACAAAGTTTCTGTGGGTTTGCACTTTGTAATCTACTTTACCAGGGTTAGCAAGTACGTAACCTAGACTGCCATATACATGTATTACTACACAGTAGTGCACAAATGTATACTTAATTTGTAAATGTTACTCTGCATAATTACACAATTGTATTCAGTGTGAATTTGTATTAGGCTTGTGTTAGGAAATCTTGTGTGGCGTGCCTTACTGTGGGAGGAAACCAAAGTCCCCGAGGAAAACCCACATGGTGGGGCAGGTGACCTCATATTTTCCCCCATCCATTCTGGGAATCGAACCCCGCAGAGCTAGTTGACAGGTAGTGTTTTACCACCCGACAATCATATTGCTCTTTACAATTGCATTTGGTAGGAATTTGTAGTAGACTTGTATTAGTGACCCATGAATATGAAATATTATTCTACACAAGTAGAAGGTTGTATTCATAATGAATTTGTAGAAAATTTGCTTTAGTAAACCTTGACTGCAAAATATTACTCAACACAAGTACACAACTGTATTTGGTTTGGATTTGTAGCAGACTTACGGTAACAAACCTTGAACACAAAATAATACTGTACACAAGTAGAAATATGTATTGATTTGTAGCAGATTTAAATGTTAACAGTAATCACTGTCCTACATCCCCTCTACCTACTGGTTCAGCTTTCTGTTGTGTCTTGAAGTAAGTGAGGTTATACACGTTGCCAGTTTGTGGATCCCTGTAAGAACAGTCCTGATTAAGTTCTGGCTGTAGACTGGTGTCGTCACGGCTACAAACCACAGATGTATCCCACACAAATACATACTGGCAGTCCGATATTTCCTGTAGCACCAGGCCAGACTGAAATGAAAAACAAAAAGTGGATCACTTAAACATTGTTTGGATTTTTTAAAACAATGATATAAAATATTAAGGTCAAATAATTTCTCCATAAAAAGGAAGTAAATCTCTCTTATTAATACTATTTATGGGAAGATCTATAGATTTATGAAAAAAACACATTTTAATGTTTGTCATGGCTATCACATACATGTATTTTAATATAAACTCAGTAAGATTTCATTGACAAAGATAGAACAGTCAAATGTCACAGATAACATGTTCACCTATAACATTTTTTGCCATCTGTGGTCAGAATATTACAACAAAATAATAGAGATGTATAAAGCTTACAGATATTTTGAAATGAAATGATCGATTCAAGGGAAGTAACTCACATCTGATTACATGACTAGAATACAATTCAATACCGTTTACTTACTCTAGACACTCCTGGGTTACACACAAACACAATCTTAGTTGACATATTTTTGGCAGGGTTTGTGGAGCATACATCTCCTCCACTATATAGCAAAGTCACTTTTCCTGTTGACTTCTCTATCATTGGGGGACCAGTTACTTTCCCCAAACTCTGAAGCCCAGACAAATTTCATTGTTATTAAATGTAGTTTCAGAACTTTAAATTATGACACAAAAACTTATAATTGGATTTCAATTGAAAGTGTAGGTGGTTGAAGCTTTACAAAGATTACTGAGAGTCCCTATGCAACAAATACAATACTGGTATTACAAATTTTTACTAAACTTCAAATCTGTATATTCTGTTGGATCTAGAGTGATCTCAACATATTTTGGAAGAGAAGTGAATACAGACTGTGTGTATAGATTTCAGTTACAAATACCACCACAGGAAGCTTAGTGAAAAGCTATACACATTTACGCCACCTCTGAATGATCTAAATGAAAGCTGCCACTGTGAAATTGGTATGGATCTCTGGTCCACTAAACATGACTGGTTTAAAGGAGAGATTGTGATTGGTGTCTGTTACTATTGTCCACTAACATGATTGACCTGGATAATAGCTGCCACTGTGAATGGCATCTGAAGTGTTGTTCAGAAAATGTGATGGATTTAAATGAGAGTTCCTCTATCTATATATTTTTTGTTTGACTGGTGATTCTGATCATTGTTGTTTTTAAGCTTATAATTAATTTTAATGTCTTTCATATGAAGTCATGAAATAAAGCTAAAAATCATCAATACTGTTACATATTGTCCATTGTATGGGCCTATCAGTAATACCTTTGGTCGTCCACCAGACTGTAACATACAAGCACTGGCCTGCGGGGGACAGAGCGTATTGTAGATTGGATTCAATGGCCGGCAGATGTTAATGTAATATGAGCTGTTTTTCCCATTTGTTGCGGACAGAGAAAAATAATGTCCAACTGGCTTGACTAGAGGTGAAAGGTCAATTGTTCTATTGCCAGCATCAACGGAACATTTCACCTGAAAAATAAAGATCAATTTGATTAGATTTATTCAAAAGTTCATTAATATCGTCTTACCAGCAGGATATCAGAGAAGTTGAATATAAGGTGCAAAGGTGATGTTAGGTTGCCTTTAATATTACTACAAGTGAATATTACATGTCAACTTTAATTCTACTTTAAATTTTCAAGTCAACAGTGTTGAATGGCTAATAAAATAAAATGGGTCACCTCTTAAGTCCACTAAAAATGACTCAATTCCAATCTGGAGTCAGCTCAAATGAGTCTAATTTAGATGACTTAATTCCTCGCTTTGGTCATATAAGTATTTTTAACTTCCAATGACTTGTTACCAAGTTTTAATCAGCTCAAATAATTAACTCAACTTCAAATGCTCAATGCCTATCTTCAGTCAGCTCAAATAAGTCAACACCCTCCCTTCTGTAAAATCAGCTTCAATTTTGAAGTAACTGAACACCTCCTTACCTTAAACTTATACCATAAAACACCACTAGTTCCAATAGGAGATATTTCAGTTAAAAGTGTATGTCAAGGTTTCCTGATTCTAATTGGGACGCTTATGACGACAAGAGTAAATTTATGGTTACCTCTTTTTCACAGGCAAGGCTAGTGTGCCAAGATATGTAGTAAGTGCAGTCATCTGTTTCGTCTATAAACACTGGAGAACCATTGCCAGCTGTTGGGGAGCAGACAAAGTTTATGATAGTTGTACGTTTGTACTGCTTGTTGTGACAGTCCATTCCCCCATGGTAGTTCAGCATGAGCACACCATCGTCATACTGGAGCTTGGAGTTGAACAAGCCACTGGTGAAGTTCCTCTTCTCTCCAGCCAACTCTTCCTGGCAGGCTCCAACTGGAACAGAAAGCAAGCAAAATCTGGCATACTGGATATTGTAGATTTTACCTAATACAAACAAATTTTTCATAAATTACACAACAAATCTGGGAAAATAGACAAATTTTAAACAATGATAAACATTGTTCTAGTATACTGAATTTGTTCATTGATACAAATGGATGAAGGTAATGACAATTTTTTTTCTGTAGTCTGTATTTATTTCACATACAACCATCTAGTATAATGATACAGGGCTCTCACACCCCATTTTGGGACTGGGGCCCGGGGCCCTTAGAATTGGGAAAAATAGCAACGTTTTCCTTAGAATTGGGAAAACTTGGGGTCTAAATTGGGAAAAAAGATACTATTTTGCATTGGGAATGGGGCCGAATATAGGCCTCAAATCTTGCGATCGAGAGCCCTGTGATAAGAAACATGATGACACAGTGAACTTACCCAAGTCTCCAGTACAGCCAGATCCAGTCACTTTGCCACAAACGTTGAGTTTAAAGATGTGGCCTCTGTGGTCCTCAATCTTATAGGGTGTTGCTTTATTTAGGGAGCTCAGGTCAAATACATGTCCTTTAAAAAAAAGTTGGAAAGAAAATTCCTAATGTTGACATCAGAAACCATTACCAGCTTATATTTCAAATCCTTTCTCTCACCTGTACCCCCTCTCCCTCCCAAAAATGTCCACTGTTCCCCCTCTCCCTCCCAAAAATGTCCACTGTACCCCCTCTCCCTCCCAAAAATGTCCACTGTACCCCCTGTCCCTCCCAAAAATGTCCACTGTACCCCCTGTCCCTCCCCAAAAATGTCCACTGTTCCCCCTCTCCCTCCGAAAAAATGTCCACTGTACCCCCTTTCCCTCCCAAAAATGTCCACTGTACCCCATCCCTCCCAAAAATGTCCACTGTACCCACTATCCCTCCCAAAAATGTCCACTGTACCCCCCTCTCCTTCCCAAAAATGAACGAGTCTGGGCAAGAAGTCAATACCTGCCAGCGATCAAGGAGAAGTTTGGAGCCTTTGAAATTCCCACTGGAGTTAAGCAAGTCTCTCCAATATTGGTCTTACTGTTTTGTGAAGATTTCAATTAAAATTCTCAAAGTTAAAACAACTATAATGTTCAAAAATACTATGAGAAAACGATATAAAACGTTCTATTTTTCAATAGTATGTTACAAAACTATGACTTTCTGCTTATTATTAAAATCAAATGTCACTGCAACCATTTTTCATCTAAAACATAAAGAATGTAAACAGTGAGGTCTTGATCTAATTCATACATTAACGCTTGTAACCCTGATGCTGCACATGCATATAAGCCTAGAAAAAAGAAATATGGCGGACGCAAATACGAAAAAGTGACAAGGACCTAAAAGGACCTTACAGAAAGTGTCAGAGAGCGTAAGAGAAAGGAGTCAGACCAGAAAAGAGGACAGACTAGAAATTATATTAGACAGGAGATCAATAGATGGCGAAAGATGAAGGAGGATCTTGGACTGAATATGGATTCAGAATTTGCGAAGCTGCTGCTTGACTGGTTAGCTTAACATTATCCCTTTTCTTTTCTGATTGTAATTACCCCCTTTGGGACCCCACTAGTATAGCACCTGCAATTGACACAGACAATTCTAGCACGACAAGCCAAAACAAAATGAATTACTAAGATTGATTGTTAAAAAATTATATATTATAACACTATAGAATCATTTACTGCAAACAAGAATTAGCAGAACGGCGCAAAAGCAAGTGTCATACATAAGATATGTGTGTTTGTTTACTCTTTCCTCGTTTTCCATTTTTTCTTTGCAGCGTAAGTAAATGACTTCATCTCATGACAAGCCATGTGACCCACTCGGTTTTCTTCATAATAAGCAGAGCGTGAACATTTTTATAAACAATAGTCAAGATAAACAATGTTCCGACGCCAAAAATATGTACAAAAACAACAAATTTGACATTATAGGCGCATGTATTGCTTAATTATGGATATATTTTATTATTCATAAGCCGAATTTTCCATTTCCCGAAGTTTGAATTTAAGGTAATAGCCGCTTTAAATGGATGCAACTCTAGAAAAAGTGAATTGACCAGAACATGACCTGCAAAAGTTTACTTTCTATTTACAAACCAAATTACAGTTGCATATCTGTGTCTGTTAACTATATTATAGTATACCTGTAGCAGGATTTGTGACGTTACAGTTGCCTGTCTCCATGCTGGCTTGGTCCGTATTTAATGGACATGCCGCTTCTGTATTCCAGGTAAATTCATGTTCACAGTTGTTTACAGTAAAGTGGCCGACAGGATGGGAATACTGTTTAATACAAGATCACACTTTTTCATATCAAAAGTTGCCATTGTAACAAACAGAGAATTTCCTAATAGTGAAACTTCAGTTACAATAAAACTTTCCTTTCAAAAGTTCAATGCACAATGTAAATAACCTTTAATTTATATTTGGGAGAAATCTTGACAGGAGATAAACTTAAAGCATTCAGGTAGGTTTTTTTGTGATTTTTTTTAAAAAAATGTGTGGACATTTAATTATGGCTCATAAATCTGCTTACACTAAATCAAACTGTTAGTGGACATAAAATAGTACTCAAGAATTTAACAAAATAAAACCCTCACAAAAATTAATAATTTCACAGTATACCTGGCACAGATATAGGGTAAAGAATGATTGACAAGTATACCATGGTTGTTTTGTCGCAGTACATGATGATGCGAGTCGAAGTCTTGCCACCTGAGGTACACGGCTCACCATTAATATAGTGGAGCTCTAACTGTCCATTTTCTACAATCACTTGGTGCTCGTTCACCTCACCCAGGTTGTGAAACCTGTAAATAAGATGTTGGTGGGATAGCAAAACACAGAATTGTTACTGCATACTGGGAAATTTTCACCCTGGTTATTTCCACGTCTTAACAACATAAAATATATTTGTTCTATTTAAATTTTGCCCTCTGGTCAACTTCTATTCGGAATATCTGATACAGTTGCTATAGAAACACTCAGGATTTATCAAGTTCTCCAAGTATCTTCTCAATACTTAACTTCATGCTTGGATTGAGACAGAAATCAGATATGAATTAAAGAACATTTACTGTATGTGTGGTCAAACAGTGTCAAGTATGCACTGACAACACAATGAATCGGAAGTTCACTGTTCCAGGACAAATCACTGACAAATGATTTTTGAGGTCCACTTAAACTGTTCCTTGTTAAATTTTAGCTGGACATTGGTGAGACAAGATGTCAATTTTAAAGTTCCTAAAACCAACTGAACCAAAATCATCTATTTTAACTAACACAGAAAACCTGCCTTATCACAACGTAAATGAAGAGATTTACAAAACAGTTTTCAATAGTGGCGGTGAAAAGAGAAAAAGGGAATCTTACAATCACTGAAGTCCAGAAATCTGTGCTTAAATAACCAAATATGCTGCACAGAATGGGAAAGTGTATCCAAGAAAATTCATGTGTATTGCTTGTGAATATACTGTAGTAATACAAAGTACAATGTTTTGTTTCTTACGTCAATCACGCTGCCTTAAATGTTTGCCTTTATCTTAAATTTGTCCTCTCTTCACCGAGGCGAAAATTCAACAGGATCAAAAATGTATCAGTGTTCAGTATACAGTCTTGTGTCAAATATTGAAAGACACCACAATTATAAGAGAATCCATTCTACAATACCTATTCCAATATCTTAAAATTAATGTGTGATGTATCAGTTTTTTTTGTATAAATCTAAATACAAATACATGTATAATGATCAAAGGTAACTATTATCACAGTAAAAACAACACCCCTCTATCAACATTTCAGACCCTAAACTGCCATTTACAAATAGACGTTAGATAAACAGCTGTCTGGTCATGTGGTACATATACAGCATACAACCTTAATGCCCATAAACATTAATTTGAGGTTTTTTAATGTAAAACCAATTTTCATGATGTAATACTTACCATAACTTTAGTATGCAAATACAGTACCTACACCCATCTTTGTATCCCAACAACAAAAGATTCAAAAGAAAAACAATCCCGCCCTCCCTACGATCCATGAGCCATCACGGCAGGAACGCAGAGTGATCTCCCTTCCTCTAATAACCTTTATGGCGTAAACCCCACAGAGGGGCAGCCAGGCAGATAAGGAAGAGGGGAGGATAGGGTGGGACTCCATAAAGTTATGGTAAGTATTACATCATGAAAATTGGTTTTACATTAAAAAACCTCAATTTCATTTCAGTAATAATTACCATAACTTTAGTATGTGAATTCGTCTTACCGTAGTGGTGACTAGAAGCCAGGCAGCCCCTTCAGCACAACCAAGGTAGTAGGGAGGGAGAACAGAGTGCTAAAGTGAAGGAAGGGACCTCTCTGTGAAAGAGCAGGTGTACCCACATGCCGCCGTACGGAAAGACATGGCCCGGGGCTAACGAGGAGGCCCAGCCACTGACTATGCCACCACCAAAGGTCCCAATGAATACAGGCCTTCTGAGTGGGAAGCTAGGGATCACAGATAAAAATCTGTTAAGGTATCCCTGCCCTGCCAGAATACTGCAGACATGACCTCCTGAAAGGAGGACTCATTGAGAGAAGGGCCCAGGATGAAGCAAGGGCCCTGACCTCGTGAGACCGCGCTTTCACTCTCGCCCGAGCCAGATCATCAAAATGCTCGTAAGCATACTAAATCACCTGGCAAACCCACCTGGAAACCGACTGGGAGGAGATATCTCGTTGCCCCTGTTTAATGGGCAAAACAGACGGGATCGAGAGCCCCGCCCCCCCCTGGTTTTATCAAGATAAAACCTAAGAGCCCGACAAGGACAAAGCAACCTATCTCGCTCCTCCGAGCTAGTCACAGCCAGGATCCTGATGGGATCGTGCGAGAACCCCGGAACCTGATTCTTCGCTAAAAACAACTCTATTCATAGCAAAGCCTCTGATTAGGGCAGAAAGAGAGGAGGACTAACCGATCTCCTTCCTGCCATAACAAGCAAGAACTCTGGCAATAGCTGTACGATAGCCAGCAATAGTGCCAGGTGGCAGATAGCGGTACCTAAACAGAGAGATTAGGAATTCCGCAATCAAATGCAGAGGCTTCGAATGAATAAGCTTCCTTGCCGACACACCAATCACAGAAGATCATCCAACGTGACTGGTAGACGGCAGAAGAGGAAGCCCTGATTGATTGCTCAATGCAATCTGACACCTCTTGAGAAAAGCCTGCCTTGGCGTGGCTTTCAAGAGATAGCCTCAGCGCGTGAAGGTGGAGGATCTCTGGTCAAGAGTGTGTCGTTCTGGGCCAAGGCTGGCGAAGGAGATTCGGTCTGGTGGGGAGAGCCAAGGGCTCCTCCACCAGAAACGACAAGAGCTCCTGAAACCAAGCTTGCCTCGGCCACAGAGGGGCTCTCAGAAGTAAGGAGCAGTGATGCTCCCAGAACTTCTGTAGAACCCTGCCCACCAGGTTGAAGGGAGGGAATGCATATGCATACGTCCCTTCCTATTCCAGAGAAAGGGCGTCCACAGCCCACGCCTTACGGTCTGGGACCTGGGAGACGAAGGTTAGCAGCTGGTTGTTCAGGGAAGTGGCAAACAGGTCTATAATAGGTCTGTCCCACGCCTGACAATTCCCCTTGAAAATCAAGGGACACAGCTGCCATTCCGTCAACACCGGCTGGTGGCGCCTGGAGAGTGGCCACCAACACACTCAGCCTGCCAGAAAGATGCTTGACCGCTATGGTCAACTGCATGTCCTGGCAGAGAAGATGGATGTGGATGGAAAGGGCACACAGGACATGAGACCTGGTGGCCCCTGTCTCTCCAGATACGCGACAACTGTTGTCGGTAGCCACACTTTGGACTGCAGGATACCCCTAAAGGACTGCAGAGCCAAATGAACAGTCTCATCTCGAGTACACTGATGTGCTCCGAGAGTTATTCGCCAGACCACTCCCCCATCGAGGTAAGCTCACATTCCTGTCATGAACGCGTCCATGAACAGGATCATAGAGGGGATAGGCTTGGTCAGAGGTACCCCGTGGAAAACGTTCTCCTGAATGGTCCACCAGCAAGAGAACTCCCTGACCGACTGGGTAAGTGGGATCCAGGCCTCCTGGATGACGGAACCCAGTCAGACAGGAGGAACATCTGGAGAGGTCCGATGTGAATCCTCCCTAGGGGGACCACATATGCCAAGGAGTTGAGATACCCCAGAAAACTGAGGAACCAATGTACCTGGACAAGCGACCAAGTGATGAAAGTCAGAGCCAGAGCCCTGACCTTCTCAAACTTCTCCAGAGGTGGAAGGGCTAAGCCCCGAACCATGTCAAAATGGTTCCCCAGGAAGAAGAAGTCCTAATATGAAGGAACCTCTGACTTCTCTCTGGAAGGAATGAAGCCGACTCTGAGCAAGAGTTTCAGGACCAGACGAGTGTCCTTCACTAACGATTCCCACACCAAAAGAGGCATGAGGGAGTCGTCGAAATAGATGTGGACGTCTATTCTGCAGGAGTGAAGGAAACACCAGCAGCAACTTGGTGAACACCAAAGGAGCTGTCGTGAGCCCCAAGGGCATCTCTGCCTTGGCAGCATGGTCCCTACTTCCTCCTGGAGCACCCGTGCCCTTTCTGAATCCCCGGGAGGAGGAAAGAAACAAAAACGGCCAGGAGGCGAGGGACGAATCCTGGAGAAGGGGAATACCTAGACCCTCCCTGACCACCGACAAAAGCCCAAGCGTCCTCTGTAATATCCTGCCACTAGGAAAGGAAAGCAGAGAGACGTCCGCCCACAGGGAGTTCCGGATGGGGCAGATCGAGCCCCTGCCAGACCAGAGAATCGTCTGCCCACCCGGAGCCGGAGCCTGAGCCTGCAGGAGAAGGACATGAGCCCGGGAAAGGAGAACCACCGTCCACCCGGCCATACCCTTCGCCTTTAGCGGCCAAGAAGCAGAAATAGTCAGGAACCCTTCTTCTTGCCCCCAGGAGGTTTCTTACCCTTCCTACCCTTCCCCTTGTTGCCGTTGAAGTGAGGTTGGGACTTGGGCTGTGCAGAAAACTGAGCAGCCGAAGACTTCGCCTTCTTCTTAGGAGGCACTGACCCCTGCGAGGCACTGGCCTTCTCAGCCTGAAACCTCTTCACCAGAAGTGCTGAGGCGACCGAGTCCTCCTTCATATCCTTCTGAACCCAAGGAAGAGCTCCCCTGAACAGGGTAGAGCCCTAGAAGGGGGCATTCAACAAGCGGAAACGGTAGGGTTACTGGACTGGGCGGAATTTCAGAACTGAAAACTGCCTAGCCAACACGGCATTGACGAGCAGAGAACCTGCAAGGCTGCCGTGTCCTGTATGTCGGCTGTTCTGTCTCGGATAACCGACACTCAGGCAAATCGGATACCCTGTATAGACAAACTGTCAGGAAGTCTATGTATGACAGAACTTGGATGGAGAGGTGCAACATTCTCTCCATCCTGTGGTGCTCTTTGGGATCGAGCACCACCTGGTCCACTGATTTGCCGGGCCAGGCAGCCAGCTGTCTCAACTCCAGCTGTGCTGGTTGAGAGGCCAGCTGCCCATCATGTGTGGCATAGTCGGAAGCTGAAGCCTCCGACAATTCACCAACACTGAGCTGCAGACCGACAAACCCGAGAGCACGGGTAGAGAAGGAGTCCTTCTCTAAAACCGGAGCCCGGGCCGTGGCCAGAACCGAAGACATGATATTGCCTTCTGGCAGAGACCGATCTGAGCGAACGGAAGCCCGAGGAGCCACCAGGGAACCCAGAAGGATGGTGGATTCAGGCACCGACGATGCTGAGGCGGTGGGCAAACCTCCGCCCTGAGAATCCGGGAGATGTTGGCCCGGAGGACCCGCATCCCAGAAAGCACATGCTGAGCCTCAGCTTCAGCAGTCTCAGGGCCATCTTCCCCTTGTGAACCCTCTTGGCCCAGGAGAAAGATGAATGACATCGTCTTCCTCTGCCGAGCCCGCACCCTCGATGTCCATCTCCTCCTCAATAGAGACCGAAGTCCCCTTGGGAGGAACAGGGGCCGCCAGAGGAGCCATCTCCGCAGAGGGGAACTCCTCTTTATGGCATTTGGACGCAGCGCGACCAACAGCTGTAGCTGTAGGCTTGGGTCGGAGACCCGAAGCCGACCCCTGGGAACAGGAGACCGACGGGTCCGCGCTGGAGGCGGAAGTCCTTAAGGTCTGGCAAACCTTCATAGGACCGGCCAACAAGGCCCCCGAAGTAGCAGAACATTGGGGGGATTCCGCACTGCTATAACATCTCCTAGAGGAGAGACCAACCCCTATGGGTTCCACGAGTGAAGACCCATGGGGTAAAAACCCAAACCCCTGAGGGAATGGGAACGGTCCAGCGGGCCGGGAGTGACCCCAGAACTGGCCAAGATGGCCTGCCTGAGTCTGGGGCTGGACATCCTGTCCAAAGAACCAGGATGAACCGCCACTCCCACCAGGTGGAAACCCAGACATGTACAGGCTAAGCCCGTAACTGCTGAGTAACTGTTGGTACCCAAAACCATCCGCAGGTTGGCCTGGGCGACCCAGGAATAAGTGCCCGCAGGCACCCCTACTCCCTGAGCCCGGGGGAAAGGGAGACCGGAAACCGGACTCCTGGCCTGAAGCCCCAAACCCTTGGAGGAAAACCCCCTGGGAAACCCTGCACTGGGAAATCTGGATTGGGACGGAAGTCCCAGAGCCAGAAGCCTGTGAGGGTGGGAAAACAGACCCCGCGCTGACACCAGGATTAGTGAACTCAAGTGTCACTAATCCCCGTAGCCACAGACAATCCTGACAAAAAGTCTGTGGCCCCTGAACCTATACCCGAAGGCACAGTTCCGGAGTCAAAGCGGCCCCCACCAACGACGCCACCTGGCGTGCCGAGGTCCCTGAAGGAATCAGAGACCTCGACCGGAAGTCCCTTTCCGACGGTAACACCGCCGCCTATCGAGAGCTACCGGCCAATTCGACCCTTGACTGCGCCGAGTCAGGGTCGGGCTGCCCCCCCCTACTCCAGGACGCACCTGGACAGGGGGAGCCACCCCCTGCTGAAGGGCGGAGCTCGGTGGAACGAGAGCACCCCCAGCAGGAACGCTCTGGTTCAGAACTTCAGGAGGGAGGTCTTAAAAAGCTTACTTCCCTTACCGGAAGAAGAGGACGAATCCCTCTTCCGGCGGAAAGTAAGCTGGAAAGGCATGGGAGCCTAAGCAGCAGACTCCATGTGCAAACAAAGTTCACATAGTGAGGTCTGGCTGTAATGTCGGCAAATGGGACAGGTATCATGGGGTTCCCATTATCTATAGAAATAGGAACATCCATGCGCTGACCCCCGACGTAAACCCGGCACCTTTATCCAGCATCGAAACAATAAAAAATTGTAACAATGAAAACAAGGATAAAAAGTTTTCTAACAATCAAAAAACTACGAACGAGATCATAAAACCTACCGTACGCAGCAAGATTGTACTGCAAAAAAAGAAAACGGTCGTACAAAACGGCCGACAAAGCAGCAAGAAAACAATTTCAACTTCACGAAAATCCGAGCAACGAGACAAGTAGTCACGCACTCGAATACGTGGAGGAAAAAACGGCCGGAAATACGGTCAAAATAAACAAATGACAATACTTAATTTCACAATATAAGTTGGGAGATGGGTTTATAGACTACTAATAGAGTAACAATATACTCAAACGACAATGGCAGTACGAAGAGAAGGAGTAAGAAAAGCACTTAGCTCAGACACCTCCGCACTCGTCGGCAGCCATAAAGGTAAGAGGAAGGGAGATCACTCTGCGTTCCTGCCGTGATGGCTCATGGATCGTAGGGAGGGCGGGATTGTTTTTCTTTTGAATCTTTTGTTGTTGGGATACAAAGATGGGTGTAGGTACTGTATTTGCATACTAAAGTTATGGTAATTATTACTGAAATGAAATTCAGTTTTTAAAAAGATACATCAATTTTTGAAAATAAAAATTTACATAAACTGATGGAGAAAACTCTGTTGATGTAATTGAGGTCATCATACATTTCAATGCCTCCTCTAGGAATCAAACCGGGCACCGCAGGCTTAGTAGTCTGACACTCAACCAGTCAAGCTAAACAGAAGTTTTCTCTAGCTAAGTGTTATATATGGCGGCTAGTGTTAAGTAGGGTTACATACTTGATCTAAACGACACTAAATGCCACTTGTATTTGGTCTGTAATTGTTACCTTTCCTGAACTCTGATATTGTTTCCTTGTCTTCAAATACACGTGAAACTAGTCTGATTCTTTAATTAGATAAATGACTTAATTAAGAATTGGAAGCAGTTGAGACAATAATTACCTGAGGGTGTCGTTCTGTTGGGTCAGATCAATCATACAGACTGCAGCATTGTATGGACATGTCTGATCTGTAGATAGAAAATTTAGAGAATGTAATAAGACAGCATGAAATGTCTGATCTGTTGACAGAAAATTTAGAGAATGTAATAACACATTATGAAATGTCTGATTTGTAGACAGAAAATTTTGAGAATGTAACAATGCCGTATTGACATGTCTGATTTGTAGACAGAAAGTTTTGAGAAGTAACTTCATGGTATTGACATGTCTGATTTGTAGACAGAAAATTTGGAGTATGTAAATACATGGTAACTATTTTTCAACTTTTTGACGAATTCTTAATAAGGATACTTGGTTGAATGCTTGGTAATTAAAGTATTCAACTCTGATTAATAGAAAAATCCCCCAATAAAATGTAAGATTATAAATACAATAGTTATTCCAACACTGAATCTATGATTCGTTATCCTTGGGAAGATCAACACCAAATTTAGATAAAAATTTGGGACAACATACAACATCATCAGGTTAAGTGTTTTGTAATATGGAGGAACGTTAATATGATAAACATCTAAACTTTCTGCTACAATCCAGTTTCTCTTTTTACCTTTCTTGTGGACAAGTGATCTACAAACGTTGATGATGAACTTTTTCCTGTGAAGATAATCGACGTAGTCATAATTATCGCTGGTCATTGCAAGTGTGCTCAGATCATACTGGTTATGATCTGGGGCAGTAATACTACAGTCACCCACTGAAAATGGGGGGCAGGCTAGTTTGGTTTTCCATTCAAACAAATAAGTACAGACTGAATCCTCCTTGATAAAGACTGGTCCAGCAGATCCATCCACAGCATGATCACAAAGGAAAGTGATGATGGTGCTGCGATTGTATTTCCCATGGCAATTAGCCTTTCCATTGACATATTTCAGAGTGATCTCCCCTGTTTGATATCGCAGAGCTGAGGAAGGCATTCCTGTAAAATACATGATAACTAAATATGTTAGGAACTTATCATTATAAAGATTGTTATTATTAACAGACCATGTTGTTTTTCACTATTTTCGAGGACAGAATAAAATCGCAGAACATAGATTCCTTACAATTAAAACACAAGAATAAAATACAACCCTTCCTCTTTAAATTGAAAGATAACTCAGGAAAATTAGTAATCACTAAAATTTTCATTTCCTATGACTCAATTCAATGCAGAATTTCAATATCTACCAACATATACAAAAATGTACCTACATGTTGAACATTTTTTTCTTAGCAACTCTATCTTAAATTTAAGAAAACGTGTTCTTTTATGTTAATGTTAATTTGGCCTAAGTAAATGTAATCATATGGTTTACAAGACTGAAGCGCCCTACAATAAAAATATCATATTGAAACAATATATAGAATCTTTCATTTAGCACAATCATCGAAACCAAAAGCACTGACATAAGAGTAATGTTACTTCCTCAAATAAATGACGGCAGCATTTTAGATCCTTGTTTAATGGTTGTTGTGGATTATAAATAACTTACCTGCATTCACATGGTAGTCTGCATCAGCACTCTTGGTTTGACATATTGCGACCTGGTCTGTCCCACATGTCGAGGATTGCAGGGGGCCACACACATTTAAAACGTATACGTAATTGTCTGGTGTTGACACCCGATAGTCTTCATTCGTCCGTAGGAGGTTCAGGTCAAACTCGTACATGGTCAGAGGGTCATGTACTTTACAGTCAGAACCTATATGAGGCTGCAATCGTAAAAAAATGTATGTCACTTTCATACACAAACCCGATAGGATAGTTAGAAGTTGATATCATTAAAACTCAGCTGGTCTTAGAAGTAGGTAAAGTAACTGCTTTGCTGTCAATGTACTAGACCCCGAGTGTATTTCCACATTCAGAAATCTGAAGAGTTTAAAAAATAACGATCTTTGAATAAAAAACAAGAGTTCACAGAAGAATATAACCTGTCTGTCACTTGAATTGAGAACAAAGAATTAATTGGGGTCACTGGAGTTTGCATGCTGAGCTTAATATCCCACGGGATCAATATCTCTCTTCATTCAAAATATAGCTCTTTATATACATGAATCAGCCTTAAAAGCTTATCTTAGGCCAAGGTAATTCACACATACTGATCACAGCTATTTTCCACATTTAAACTGTAGACACCAAGTCAAATAGTGAAAGAGCTACAGCATGAAATATATCTGAATGCAATTCAAATCAAAACAATTTCAAATTTCACTAAACACATATTTTTTAGAAAACTTATAGATGTTTTATCTGAGAATGACAAAACATTTCCAGTAAAAGATGTGATTTATGATAATTAATAAATTTTACCAAATTGTTTGCCATGAACTTTGCCTCCATTTATTGACTAATATTTTACATATAGAATAAATAAGAGGGATACTATGTACCTTCTTGATGGGACAGGCAAAGGGAGTCTGCCAGGCAAACATGTATTCACACTCATTCACCATACCCAGAAATGTTGGGTTGTGCTGGAAAGCAACAATCACACATTTATAGAACTTTAAAAGTCATTCATATAGTCAGTTGTATGTTGTGAGCTACTTCATTGCCTCATTGTTTGGTAAAAGCAAAAATCGTAACACATTGCAGTTTCTAAATTATTTATGTTTGTAAGTTACAGTACTTTGTCTACATTTGTCTTACTAAAAAATACTAACATATGATGTACAAATTTTTGCTTGAAGGATTGCCTTGTTTAAGACCCCTCCACCCTCTAATGTAATAAAGACAATGAAACCAAATCTCAAGATTTTATATATAGACTAATCCTTCAAGAATCAAGAATATACAACAAATTGAAGAATTGAAATGATGAATGGAATTTTCTTTTCAAACTGACCACATAAATAAATGCCCAAATACATCCCCTTCAAATGTAACTGAAACTGTTTGAAAAGTATTTACTTCAAACACTAAAAATAACTGTTCAGCATTCATTCTACCAATTATTTGTGTGATGCAGAAAGTGCCTGAAATATTTCAAATGGATCTCACAAAACTTTTTTTTTAACCTAGGTAAGGAAATATTGTATTGGCAGCTTTCATTCACAACAGATATACTGAACAAGAGTGATTAGCTGTGGTTGTATTTACCTCAATCCCTGAGCAGGAGAATACAATCCTTGTACTGTAACGGGAACCAGTGGCTTTATCACAGATGTCTCCATTGCGATAGTGAAGGGTGACTGTCCCGTCCATGGCGGCAACTGGTTGTGAGTGTATGTAGCCCATATTGAAACTCTGACCAAGGTTTGACACTCCACATCCACCCACTGGTCCACCTGACAAAAGCAATCATGACACAGTTTTTTTTTAATATTCATCGTTAAATTTGAAGTTCAACCCCCTCCGCACAAATTCTCAAGTACCAACGTTTGGTTGATAGACATTCAAGAACATCTGCTTGGGAGTTTTCAGTTTTTTGTAGAAACTCCAAGACAGAACAAGGAAATTCATGGAATTTATATCCCCCGCTTTCCAAACATATTGTAAGTAAATATTTTAGAGGTTAGGAGTAACCATGCCATAATGTTATGTAGAATGATATATTCTCTTGAGCTATGATGTATTGCTTTAAAGGCAAAGAAAGATGTAAATGAAATCAAAGGATACCTCATTAGTATGCATAATTATTAGCAGATGACACTGATAGATGAACTCAGTCTTAATTACCCCAAATGCATCTGCTGATCAAGTTTCACCCAATTTGGATGATATTTGGGGAAGTTAGAACACGGAAACGAAAGTATGACAGACAGACAGATGGATAAACCCAAATTAATATCCCCCTCTGTTTCGGTGAAAGAGGGGGATAAAAAGATTCTATAAACTTTTAATTGATCATAGAAACATTTGCATCTGAAAACATACTAAAGACAGAAGCAAAATTCTAAAGAGATATCTGTAAGTTAATACAGGAAACGAAAGGGAAATATCCAAAATTGAGTTTCACCAATGTTTTCAGTTTTGAATACTGACCTGGACAAGATGTACCAGCTGTGTTGATTGGGCGACATACATTGATGTGGAAGGTAAATTTTCCTCCTTGAACATCTGTCACCTGCCAGTTTGTGTCGCTGGCTCCTCGTGCAAGTGGACTCAAGTCAAACTGGTTACCATGGATATCCTCAGCCAGGCAATCTATTGGATCAGGTTTACAGGCTAGAGATGTCTCAAATGTAAATATGTACTTGTATCCCTCATCCACACGGTCAAACTTCGGCTCACCAATGTCTACATTCTGTCGGCAGAGGAACAGGATCCGAACTTCTACTCTCTTCCCTGCACGGTACAAATGCCACATAGATGATAGTCAATATCAGTTAGAAATGTTTTAATTCTTCTGGTAAAATGAGTTTCATTCTTACACAATGTTGACATACACAGTTTTATGGTATAATTACCTATCTACAGAATTGATTGCATTTTTAGTTGTATCCTTAATCTGATCACTTTTGATGTATTTTCCTTTTGGTATATATATGCTGTATCACTGCCATTCTTAAGGATCGTGTATAAAACGTGAAAGTAATAATAATGTGATAAAACATATATCTTACTCAAGTAATACATTTTAAGTTGATATATTTTCAAATCTTCAAAAAAAAAAAAAAAATTCAATGAAAAAACAGTGTATTAAAATCTTACAGAGATTAAATACTCTATGTCCATTGGTCAAATTTTTATCGAATCTTAATCAACATTTATAACAACTCGCAAAATTTTCATTAAATATCCACAAAAACAAGTGTGATTTCCCCTACCACTCTCGAGTCGCTTGCCCTCATATTTCAGCATCAATTTGCCATCATCATCATAATCCAGTGTGTATTTTAGGAAGCCGAGTCCCTCTGTGGAGCCATTAGAGAACAGACGACACAAGGACATAGCTTTACCCTCAACATAGGAACAGTGAGTCTGTGATAGGGATCCACAGATGTTGATCTGAAAGAAATTGATAATAGAAGGTTATCCATCACTCAGTTTTATGAAATGAGCACAAACAAGGGCAGTAACTCCAATATAAATAGTGATTTAATAGATCAAAATCACAGGTGCACATTTTAACTATATACCATATTGCAGTTACCGGTATATATAATCTGGCTAAAGATATTTTCGTTCATTGGAATGGGAATACATTGTAGCTTTGTATAATCTAGTTCTATTGCCAGTGTATACACTGTAGCCATGGTTACTGTAGTCTAAATGTATATGAACAGATTTTAGTTATGGCTACTGCAGTTCATGAATTATTTCTCCTTTTCAAAGATGTGTAGAAAAAAAGGAGCATAAAAATAAATAAAGACTCACTCTGAAATGATTGTCTCCATCCTGGATGTCATAGTAGTCAGTGTCACCGTTACGTGTGAGGAGGCCAAGGTTGAAAATGTAGTCAGAGTTACGGTCCTTGATTGAACAATTGGCGGTAGATTCTGTCATTTCTAAAGGACAAGCAGCCTCTGTGGCCCACATGTACACAAAGTCACAGTTGCCTAACTGTTGGACAGTGCTTGGTCCAGTCACCTGTAAATATTTGTATAAACATGTACACAAAGTCACACTTGCCTAACTGTTGGACAGTGCTTGGTCCAGTCACCTGTAAATATTTGTATAAACATGTACACAAAGTCACAGTTGCCTAACTGTTGGACAGTGCTTGGTCCAGTCACCTGTAAATATTTGTATAAACATGTACACAAAGTCACAGTTGCCTAACTGTTGGACAGTGCTTGGTCCAGTCACCTGTAAATATTTGTATAAACATGTACACAAAGTCACAGTTGCCTAACTGTTGGACAGTGCTTGGTCCAGTCATCTGTAAATATTTGTATAAACATGTACACAAAGTCACAGTTGCCTAACTGTTGGACAGTGCTTGGTCCAGTCACCTGTAAATATTTGTATAAACATGTACACAAAGTCACAGTTGCCTAACTGTTGGACAGTGCTTGGTCCAGTCACCTGTAAATATTTGTATAAACATGTACACAAAGTCACAGTTGCCTAACTGTTGGACAGTGCTTGGTCCAGTCACCTGTAAATATTTGTATAAACATGTACACAAAGTCACAGTTGCCTAACTGTTGGACAGTGCTTGGTCCAGTCACCTGTAAATATTTGTATAAACATGTACACAAAGTCACAGTTGCCTAACTGTTGGACAGTGCTTGGTCCAGTCACCTGTAAATATTTGTATAAACATGTACACAAAGTCACAGTTGCCTAACTGTTGGACAGTGCTTGGTCCAGTCACCTGTAAATATTTGTATAAACATGTACACAAAGTCACAGTTGCCTAACTGTTGGACAGTGCTTGGTCCAGTCACCTGTAAATATTTGTATAAACATGTACACAAAGTCACAGTTGCCTAACTGTTGGACAGTGCTTGGTCCAGTCACCTGTAAATATTTGTATAAACATGTACACAAAGTCACAGTTGCCTAACTGTTGGACAGTGCTTGGTCCAGTCACCTGTAAATATTTGTATAAACATGTACACAAAGTCACAGTTGCCTAACTGTTGGACAGTGCTTGGTCCTGTCACCTGTAAATATTTGTATAAACATGTACACAAAGTCACAGTTGCCTAACTGTTGGACAGTGCTTGGTCCAGTCACCTGTAAATATTTGTATAAACATGTACACAAAGTCACAGTTGCCTAACTGTTGGACAGTGCTTGGTCCAGTCACCTGTAAATATTTGTATAAACATGTACACAAAGTCACAGTTGCCTAACTGTTGGACAGTGCTTGGTCCAGTCACCTGTAAATATTTGTATAAACATGTACACAAAGTCACACTTGCCTAACTGTTGGACAGTGCTTGGTCCAGTCACCTGTAAATATTTGTATAAACATGTACACAAAGTCACACTTGCCTAACTGTTGGACAGTGCTTGGTCCAGTCACCTGTAAATATTTGTATAAACATGTACACAAAGTCACAGTTGCCTAACTGTTGGACAGTGCTTGGTCCAGTCACCTGTAAATATTTGTATAAACATGTACACAAAGTCACAGTTGCCTAACTGTTGGACAGTGCTTGGTCCAGTCACCTGTAAATATTTGTATAAACATGTACACAAAGTCACAGTTGCCTAACTGTTGGACAGTGCTTGGTCCAGTCATCTGTAAATATTTGTATAAACATGTACACAAAGTCACAGTTGCCTAACTGTTGGACAGTGCTTGGTCCAGTCACCTGTAAATATTTGTATAAACATGTACACAAAGTCACAGTTGCCTAACTGTTGGACAGTGCTTGGTCCAGTCACCTGTAAATATTTGTATAAACATGTACACAAAGTCACAGTTGCCTAACTGTTGGACAGTGCTTGGTCCAGTCACCTGTAAATATTTGTATAAACATGTACACAAAGTCACAGTTGCCTAACTGTTGGACAGTGCTTGGTCCAGTCACCTGTAAATATTTGTATAAACATGTACACAAAGTCACACTTGCCTAACTGTTGGACAGTGCTTGGTCCAGTCACCTGTAAATATTTGTATAAACATGTACACAAAGTCACAGTTGCCTAACTGTTGGACAGTGCTTGGTCCAGTCACCTGTAAATATTTGTATAAACATGTACACAAAGTCACAGTTGCCTAACTGTTGGACAGTGCTTGGTCCAGTCACCTGTAAATATTTGTATAAACATGTACACAAAGTCACAGTTGCCTAACTGTTGGACAGTGCTTGGTCCAGTCACCTGTAAATATTTGTATAAACATGTACACAAAGTCACAGTTGCCTAACTGTTGGACAGTGCTTGGTCCAGTCACCTGTAAATATTTGTATAAACATGTACACAAAGTCACAGTTGCCTAACTGTTGGACAGTGCTTGGTCCAGTCACCTGTGAATATTTGTATAAACATGTACACAAAGTCACAGTTGCCTAACTGTTGGACAGTGCTTGGTCCAGTCACCTGTAAATATTTGTATAAACATGTACACAAAGTCACAGTTGCCTAACTGTTGGACAGTGCTTGGTCCAGTCACCTGTAAATATTTGTATAAACATGTACACAAAGTCACACTTGCCTAACTGTTGGACAGTGCTTGGTCCAGTCACCTGTAAATATTTGTATAAACATGTACACAAAGTCACACTTGCCTAACTGTTGGACAGTGCTTGGTCCAGTCACCTGTAAATATTTGTATAAACATGTACACAAAGTCACAGTTGCCTAACTGTTGGACAGTGCTTGGTCCAGTCACCTGTAAATATTTGTATAAACATGTACACAAAGTCACAGTTGCCTAACTGTTGGACAGTGCTTGGTCCTGTCACCTGTAAATATTTGTATAAACATGTACACAAAGTCACAGTTGCCTAACTGTTGGACAGTGCTTGGTCCAGTCACCTGTAAATATTTGTATAAACATGTACACAAAGTCACAGTTGCCTAACTGTTGGACAGTGCTTGGTCCAGTCACCTGTAAATATTTGTATAAACATGTACACAAAGTCACAGTTGCCTAACTGTTGGACAGTGCTTGGTCCAGTCACCTGTAAATATTTGTATAAACATGTACACAAAGTCACAGTTGCCTAACTGTTGGACAGTGCTTGGTCCAGTCACCTGTAAATATTTGTATAAACATGTACACAAAGTCACAGTTGCCTAACTGTTGGACAGTGCTTGGTCCAGTCACCTGTAAATATTTGTATAAACATGTACACAAAGTCACAGTTGCCTAACTGTTGGACAGTGCTTGGTCCAGTCACCTGTAAATATTGTATAAACATGTACACAAAGTCACAGTTGCCTAACTGTTGGACAGTGCTTGGTCCAGTCACCTGTAAATATTTGTATAAACATGTACACAAAGTCACAGTTGCCTAACTGTTGGACAGTGCTTGGTCCAGTCACCTGTAAATATTTGTATAAACATGTACACAAAGTCACAGTTGCCTAACTGTTGGACAGTGCTTGGTCCAGTCACCTGTAAATATTTGTATAAACATGTACACAAAGTCACACTTGCCTAACTGTTGGACAGTGCTTGGTCCAGTCACCTGTAAATATTTGTATAAACATGTACACAAAGTCACAGTTGCCTAACTGTTGGACAGTGCTTGGTCCAGTCACCTGTAAATATTTGTATAAACATGTACACAAAGTCACACTTGCCTAACTGTTGGACAGTGCTTGGTCCAGTCACCTGTAAATATTTGTATAAACATGTACACAAAGTCACACTTGCCTAACTGTTGGACAGTGCTTGGTCCAGTCACCTGTAAATATTTGTATAAACATGTACACAAAGTCACAGTTGCCTAACTGTTGGACAGTGCTTGGTCCTGTCACCTGTAAATATTTGTATAAACATGTACACAAAGTCACAGTTGCCTAACTGTTGGACAGTGCTTGGTCCAGTCACCTGTAAATATTTGTATAAACATGTACACAAAGTCACAGTTGCCTAACTGTTGGACAGTGCTTGGTCCAGTCACCTGTAAATATTTGTATAAACATGTACACAAAGTCACAGTTGCCTAACTGTTGGACAGTGCTTGGTCCAGTCACCTGTAAATATTTGTATAAACATGTACACAAAGTCACAGTTGCCTAACTGTTGGACAGTGCTTGGTCCAGTCACCTGTAAATATTTGTATAAACATGTACACAAAGTCACACTTGCCTAACTGTTGGACAGTGCTTGGTCCAGTCACCTGTAAATATTTGTATAAACATGTACACAAAGTCACAGTTGCCTAACTGTTGGACAGTGCTTGGTCCAGTCACCTGTAAATATTTGTATAAACATGTACACAAAGTCACAGTTGCCTAACTGTTGGACAGTGCTTGGTCCAGTCACCTGTAAATATTTGTATAAACATGTACAAGGGATTATTTGTATGTGTACAATATTGTCCAACTCTACAAAAAAACAATCTTGAATTTTCTAGAACCATAGTTTTGCAAAATTCAAGTAAAGTGTATTTAAAAGCAAAAGTATAAATCCTTCTTCATCATGAAAACTAACTCATTACCTTCATACCATTCCCCACTTCTTTGTGTTACCACTCTCTGAATAAATGATGTATCTCCTCCACCATTGTCCCTCCTTTGGGCCACCCTCGTACCCCTACAAGGAACGCTTGTGTTACCCCTAAACAAGCATTATTTTGGACCACTCCTGTATCCCCTAAACAAGCCCTATTTTGGACCACTCCTGTATCCCTAAACAAGCCCTACTTTGTACACTTCTGTATCCCCTAAACAAGCCCAACTTTGTACACTTCTGTATCCCCTAAACAAGCCCTATTTTGGACCACTCCTTTATTCCCTAAGCAAGCCCTATTTTAGACCACCCTTTTATCCCCTGAACAGACTTTATAGCCCACTTACCAGTGCACCTCGGCTACAGATAAAGTGTATGGATGTAGTAAATGTAGTCTTGCCACCGATGCCATCACAGGTCTTGTTCTTAGTTCGATACTTGAGGGACAGCTGGCCCTCCTTCTCTACGACAGGAGGGGATACTACGCTACCCAAATCCATGATGTCTACAGCCTCCTAGCAAATTAACAAGAATATTGTGAGAAAGAGACCACATTTCATACAACTGGGGCTTGAATAACAGTAAAGATTACATGTTAATTGAACATTAAGAAGAGGAACATAATCAAAGATTTTAATCCAAGTTAAAAATTCTGCTGGAAAACAATGACAAAATTTCATTAGCACTCAAATAATCATTGAGTTACTTGTAAATGATTTACAAATAATGAAATCAGGCAATTAAAGGAATATGGACAAAAATCTGCAGTGATAAGTTTTCGTTTTTCTTAGCACATTTAAATCCTTCAAATCTGGCACAAGCTGGTGACAAATTATTGTTACCTGTCCAGTTTTGAAGCTTGTACGGCACGCAGCAGCAAAGGTTGAACAGCCTGTGCCTACCTGTACCTCGCTGAGAGGACGACATACATTGATATAGTACTTAAGTTTGTTGTTTGCGTCACTATCATCCAACAACTCCCAGTTGTCTTGGCTTACTGACTTTGATAAACTGAAGATATAAATGGATGCCATAGAAATTACATCTATAAGGTAAAATCTGGCAAAGAAGATTTGAAATACCTAGATATTTCTACAGAGGACATAAATCTCTAATTTCAGGGCTCTCGATCTGCCAGATTTGGGGGCCGATATTCGGCCCCATTCCCCATGCTAAGTAGTATCTTTTTTTCTCAATTTAGACCCCAAGTTTTCCCAATTTTTAGGAAAACGCTGTTATTTTTCCCAATTCTAAGGGCCCCAGTCCCAAAATTGGGTGTGAGAGCCCTGAATTTATACAGAGTCTGGGTTTTTAAAGACTGAGTTTACTACCCATTATTCAGGGTTCATTCTGGACATGATTTTTTATTTTTTACTACAGAGGTTACAACTTGGACATGTGTCAGAATTATAGTGTACAGGGTTTCAAACACGTTATTGGATTACACAAGTTTTTTGTGGTGTATTGTAATTATACAGGGTTTGTGTTTTTCTACAGTTTCCAGATTTTCTTCAGGAAAGAATCAGACAGATAACTATTATGAGTGAAACAGAATCACAAACAGTTTCTTTAATAATCTTATTTGTTTGTGACACATCATCTTATTTAGTACACCTCAAAGAATAGTCATATGATGGTGCTCAATGGTTAAATAGTTTAGGTACAGACAAGATGGAAATGAATGGAGTGGATGAAGAAACTTCCAAATATGGTATATACATTAAATTTAACACAGAAATAGTTTACCTTGACAGATCATACTGCTGATGACGATGTTCATCCATGACAGTGCATTCCACAGGCTCATTGGGACAAGCATAGGCCGTGAACCACTCGAAACTGTACCCCCAAGCACTCTCGCCAACAAATGTAGGCTGGCCTTTGCCAGCATTTGGGTCACAAAGAAACACAATCTCCGTCTTCCTTGGGACCGGTGGATGGCTGTTATACATCTGTCCATTTGTGTAAGTAAGATTTATCATGCCATCGTAATACTCCAGAGTACTGGAAGCTGTTCCAGTGTTGATTGCATGGTCCCCACTAGAACAACAACATATCACCTGATTTTGCACTAACGAAGAAATATATCACATTTTCACCTGTTCTAATGCATTTTCATCCACAGCAATTGTCTGTCATCATCACTTTAAAATCTATTCTTTATGACAAGACAATGATTTGTGTAAAATCATGCAAACTAAATAGGTATATAATCAATTCTAGATTTGAATAACAAGTGGTTTACAATTATAAACATGGGTATGGAAAATAATTGAAATTTCCTCCTAAAATTTGAATGTAATAAAACTAAATATTACGACAAACTGAGGTAACATAGCTCCATTTTATAATTCTTACCTGACTTACCCCAGCATAAGATACTGTTACATAACTTACATTTTACCCCTTTGTTTAACAGACCCTTGCATAAGGAGGCTTCACATAACTTACCCCTATTTTAAACAGACAACAGCATGAGGAGGCTTCACACAACTTACTCTTTTGTTTAACAGACCCCAGCATAAGGAGGCTTCACCTAACTTACCCCTTTGTTTAACAGACCCTCGCATAAGGAGGCTTCACATAACTTACTCCTTTGTTTAACAGACCCCAGCATAAGAAGGCTTCACATAACTTACCCCTTTGTTTAACAGACCCTAGCATAAGGAGGCTTCACATAACTTACCCCTATGTTTGACAGACCCTAGCATAAGAAGGCTTCACATAACTTACCCCTTTGTTTAACAGACAACAACATAAGGAGGCTTCACATAACTTACTTCTTTGTTTAACAGACAACAGCATAAGGAGGCTTCACATAACTTACCCCTTTGTTTGACAGACCCTAGCATTAGGAAGCTTCACATAACTTACCCCTTTGTTTGACAGACCCCTGCATTAGGTGGAGTACTTGTACTCGTGTCACACAAAGTGTCGTGAACAGCATCGCATACATTAATCTGGTATTCATAAGTTTTGTTTTTATCCCACACAGAGTATGATCCAGTTTTCAAGGTCAGAGGTGACAAGTCAAAGTTGAATCCTATATAACAAAAACACATTTCTTTGTACTCTGTGTATTTAAAGACCGAATTACATATGCATTTGTTTTGCAGAATGGAGTCGAAAAACATTCTCTGTCTTGTACTTAATGGAAATATAAAAAATATCAAAAATATTTTAACAGTGCCTGAACTATTCAAGTTAATATTTAACAACTTAAAGCATAAGCACAAATTCAAAGTATTGAATTCATTTAAAAAAAAGTGTAATTTAATATTTTAAGCAAGACAAGCAATTTTTCTGAGGGTGATAAAGATAATTTATAACAGATTTGTATATAAAATGCAATAAATCACCAGCTTCCTTGTCAAACACATGACAGTTGTCGCCTCTCCAGTGTCCCAGTACACAGGCCGCTGAGGTGTGCCACTCAAACCTGTAGAGACAGTTGTCGAGGGAGGTATCCATGAGAACAGGACCACTCTCAAGGTCTCCTGGTTTACAGATGAAGTCTATGATTGAGCGAGTGCGTTTTTTGTCCCCACATGGTTCCCCGTTACCATAGGTGATCTGCAGAGTGTTAGTCTCCTTGGAGTATACCGGATTCGTGATGAATGACCCCAGATTATGGGGCCCATTTTTATCTGCAAAGAAGAAATTTTGTTTGATATTATGATTTTTTTACAGGTGAAGGTACATGAAGAATAATCAGTTGCAGATCTACTATCAATTCAATAAATCATTAAAAATGTGATTTAAGAACAGTCACTTGAAGGATTAACTTTCCCATAATTCTTGGCTTTCTCTTGACTATGTTGATATGAAATATTCTATGCTAAGGTAATTCATGCTCATTAGAAATTGAGAAACATAATTCAATAACATGAACTTCCACAATTCCATTCACAGAAAAATATTTATGGGAATACCTGAATAACTTAGTTTACTTGGTTAAAAGCACATTAAAATTAGAATGTTCACAGTCTTCCTGGAGCTATGGGAAATGAAGAAAGCATAGCATGAAGATTTCCACAGTACATCTTGTTTATATAGTCACAAGTACAAATTGTTTATAAAGTCAAAAGTACAGATTGTTTATACAGTCAGAAGTACAGATTGTTTATACAGTCAAAAGGACAGATTGTTTATATAGTCAAATGTACAAATTGTTTATACAACAAAAAGTACACATTTTTTTATACAGTCAGAAGTACAGATTGTTTATACAGTCAAAAGTACAGATTGTTTATACAGTCAGAAGTACAGATTGTTTATACAGTCAGAAGTACAGATTGTTTAAACAGTCAGAAGTACATATTCACAAGATGAAAATATCAAGTGAATGTTTTCAAGGTATTGAAGAGGGGAAATGTTGAGAGTAATGAAATGCTTTTTTTTTCTCAACAGTTGAGAAATTTAAGTGAAATATTGACATGTTAACAATGGGAAAATGTTGACAGTGGGAAATGGTGTCAGAAAGGAAATACAGATAATGGGGAATTGTTGACTGTTTGAAGAGTGAACAAGTTGACAGTGAGACGATCTTGAAAATATGTAACATTGACTTACCAATGAGACAGACTGAAGCATCAGGGTGACAGCGAGCAGCCTTGCCCACATTTAGTAGGTCATTACACACGTTGAGGTAGAACTGCTTCCCCGTGTCAGACTGGTCACTGTGTAGTACCTCCCAGTCAGTTTCTATGTTAAATTAAAACACCATCATTACAAGCTGTGTAAAGCTGATTGGTTTTACCACACATCCAGATAATAATGTAAGTAAAATTATCACAGTAAAACGTTGTATAAACAGGCAAGATGGAAACATTGACATATACAGATATTCACCGTCTGGTTCCGAAATCATGAATTCTTTAAATTCTCTAATCAGTAAAATCTCCATGGAAACTGGATAATGTTCTCAGTACTGTGTCTGAATAGAAATTATCACAGGTCTATCTTTGTCTCAGCATATTTTGGAAACACATTATCTTTTTATTAAATGCCATACATTAAAAATTAACACATCGTCTTGTGTCTGACCTTGTCCATGACGTCGAGTAAGAGGTGAAAGGTCATAGCGTTTGCCGTTGTAGTCAACGCGACACTCTGCATTAGCTGGATGGCCTGAACAGGCATATTTGGTGGCCCAGTCGAAAATGTAGATACAGCTGTTATTGACTTCTTTAACAAACTGGGGCAAACCTTTACCCATATTACCTACAATGGCGTAGAAAAACACTGACAGCAGGTCGCCACAAATATTTTAACATGTATTATGTAACATGTATTGTTCAGTATTGCAATATCTCTCTCAAGTCGTCACACTCACAAAAGTTAACTAAAACCTGAAAATCATAAGGTGTTACAACATAGCTTATCATGGGTTTACATTACAGGTATAAAAGAATGTAGCTCTTTGGTACTGCAAGAATTAAATGGAGCTAATATATAATATCTAACATATGAAAAATAAATGAGAAAGCAATTTCAGTTATTTAGTGTTAATTTCCTAAGTGGGATAAAAATCTTAAAATTTGTTATAAAAAATGACTATCATATCATAATACCTGCATCAGGATCACATTTGAAGTTGATGATGGTTGTGCGAGGATTATTCTTGTGGCAAATATCCCCTCCCCGGTAGGTCAAGGTCAAATCTCCATCAGCATATCTAGATACAGAAGTCAGAAATGATATCACTATGCCTAAATACAACACTAAATAAATTATTCTAGTACTTGAAACGCTAAATCAGATTTTTGGACTGGGTTTAAATTGTGTATAATTACACATTCCTGAATAAATGACAGCTACGGATATCTCACAGGATCAATATAGACTATTTCTGATAATCCGAGAAGAAAAATTAAGAACCAACATCCTGCTTAATTGGCATGCGTTGAGGTTCATTCTTTAGGTTTCAGGAGGATACCTAATGGTATACAGAGCTCTCTTAAAAAGTCGTAAACAAACAAAAAAAGGAAAGCATCAACTCCTGAAATAAGGTTAGCCATTATTGGTCTCCCTGGCTTCAGGAGCTGGTGCTCTTCTTTCATATCTATATCTTAATATTTGTCTTACATTTAGCCCCTGCCTGATATTGAGATCATTATCGCATATTGATGTTCAGCTTATCATAAATCAATGCTGCTCTATTTTTTTCTGAAGTTAGCCTTTCCCCTCCTTTTGAGAAAGAGGTAATAAGTTGGCCCCCTGGGATCAGATAATGAGCTCATGTCCTTATTTTGAGTAAGGAGTAATGTGTTGACTCCTTCAGGTCTGGCAATGAGTTCAACTCCTAATTTGAGTGAAGGTAATAGGTTGGGTCCCTGGGATCTGGTAATGCGTCCTTCTCATTCTCAGTAAAGGGTTATGTGTTGGCCCCATGGGGTCCAGTACTGAGCCCATGTCCTGATTTTGAGTAAGGAGCAATGTGTTGGCCCTCTGGGGTCTGGTAATGAGTTCATCCCCGGATTTTGAGTAAAGAGTAATGTGTTGTCCCCCAGGAATCTGGTAATGAGCCCATGTTTTGATTTTCAGTAAGAGGTCACGTGTTGACCCCCTGGGCTAATTGTGAGATACATGTGGGTGTAGTTACCTTAGCCTCTGGTCACCATTTGTCACTGATCCAATAACACGGCCGTATGTCGAGTCACCAGCCTTTGTCTGACAGGCAGCCACATTGCGTACATGATCCATGTCGGGACATTGGATGCCTAACTCTCCACACACATTCAGGTAATAAACGTAGTAGTCACCACCTTTAGTACTGGGGGGCACTGTTATCTGGTACTTACGATCTCCTGTAAATGTCATCATATATTGTTAGGAATTGTCAGTCAACTTGTTTCATTTCTGTTAAGTTATCATAATTTCTGTATTTTTTTAAAGTCTTTATTTTTTTCATTTCTTATTCTCACATTTAACCTAGAATTCCTGATGAAAAAGGTAAGTGCTTTTTTAAAGGCATGCTATACACATTGAACTATTGAAGCAAGTGAAATGTGATCAAAACAACATATATAAATAATGATACAGAGTATAATAAATCAAAATTTTCCTACTAGGACCTAACAAGTCATTGCAAGCAATACAAAGCCCCTCACCATTAGGTGATGTGCAATAAAGATGTAAGAAATGGGTATGTTAAGTTTAATAAAAAATCCTCGAAGAATGACACCGTCAGAGTACTGACGAAGAATTAAAAAAATAGTAACAATGCCCTTGACCATGTAATTCAAACCCACAACACACAATTGATAAATTACCATTACAGGGTAAACTATGACCCCAACACCACAACACAGACTCCTGATTCCTTACCAGGGTAAACTATGACCCCAGCACCACAACATAGAATATTGATAACTTACCAGGGTAAACTATGACCCCAACACTACAACACACTATTGATAACTTACCAGGGTAAACTATGACCCCAGCACCACAAAATAGACTATTAACAACTTACCAAGGTAAACTATGACCCTAGCACCACAACATAGAATATTGATGACTTACCAGGGGAAACTATGACCCCAGCACCACAACATAGACTATTGATAACTTACCAGGGTAAACTATAACCTCAGTACCACAACATAGACCATTGATAACTTACCAGGGTAAACTATAACCTCAGTACCACAACATACACTATGGATATCTTACCTGGGTAAACTATGACCCCAGCACCACAACATAGACTATTGATAACTTACCAGGGTAAACTATAACCCCAGCACCACAACATACACTATTGATAACATACCAGGGTAAACTATAACCTCAGTACCACAACATACACTATTGATAACATACCAGGGTAAACTATAACCTCAGTACCACAACATACACTATTGATAACATACCAGGGTAAACTATAACCTCAGTACCACAACATACACTATTGATAACATACCAGGGTAAACTATAACCTCAGTACCACAACATACACTATTGATAACATACCAGGGTAAACTATAACCTCAGTACCACAACATACACTATTGATAACTTACCAGGGTAAACTATAACCTCAGTACCACAACATACACTATTGATAACATACCAGGGTAAACTATAACCTCAGTACCACAACATACACTATTGATAACATACCAGGGTAAACTATAACCTCAGTACCACAACATACACTATTGATAACTTACCAGGGTAAACTATAACCTCAGTACCACAACATACACTATTGATAACATACCAGGGTAAACTATAACCTCAGTACCACAACATACACTATTGATAACATACCAGGGTAAACTATAACCTCAGTACCACAACATACACTATTGATAACATACCAGGGTAAACTATAACCTCAGTACCACAACATAGACTATTGATAACTTACCAGGGTAAACTATAACCTCAGTACCACAACATACACTATTGATAACATACCAGGGTAAACTATAACCTCAGTACCACAACATACACTATTGATAACTTACCAGGGTAAACTATAACCTCAGTACCACAACATAGACTATTGATAACTTACCAGGGTAAACTATAACCTCAGTACCACAACATAGACCATTGATAACATACCAGGGTAAACTATAACCTCAGTACCACAACATACACTATTGATAACATACCAGGGTAAACTATAACCTCAGTACCACAACATACACTATTGATAACTTACCAGGGTAAACTCTCAGAGGAGACAGATCAATGTCAATGTTGTCTGATTCCTTGATAAGTTGACAGGTTTTGTTTGTGATGTCAACCTCTGCACAAGCATATTCTGTTTCCCAAACAACACGATATTGACAATTATAGTCCGCTACCAAGATAGGATCTTTCCCCTGAAATACATCAAATAAAGATTCTGAAAATGTTATAACAAGTCCACTGGTTTTCCTTTACTTTTCTTTCTTTTTAAATGGAAATATTTTGTATTTTTCAAAAATTAATAACAGTAATTCTGCAATAACTTCGACCAAAAGAGGTATCCGAGTCAGCAAATTTTAAGATATTATTGTTAATTATGCCTGTACTATTTTATACAACCTTATGAAAAGAAGCAGAGAATGACCTGGTAATGCATTGCCAATCAAAAAATATTTTTTTACCCTGCTACAAATTTTTGTGCATGTAACTGTAGGGTAACCTCCCATATTGATAGATACTGAAATGTGCTGCATGTTTGGAAATCATCCATCAAGCAAAAATAGTTCTGAAATCATCTATCATAGTATCAGATGGGAATTTACTTTCAGTGTAAATGTGAACATGGTGCAGCTGATAAAAGAACAACTTTTTACATGTCTGTCCCTCATTAGTTTGACGGTAAATAGTACATGTTCACTCTGTGTACTGGAATGCCAGTATTTTTAATAATCAAATTTGACATTCAGTAATAGATTTTAAAGTAATTATGCATGTAGTGATATCATACCCCTCTGACGCTTGGACATCGGAATTCTATAGTGGTGGAGGGATTGGCCGTACAGCCATTGACAGCCTGATCAGTGGTATAGTGCAGCATGAACTTGTTATCGCCCGTGGCAGCCTGAATCTTTTCTAAAGGAAACCCCATACCCATTGCTTTGTTTGAATCATTACTGTTGATCTGACAAGCACCAGCCCCTGGAGGACAGTTCTTTGTCTTTTCATCTGTTGGAAAAGAAACAAAAATCATTCTGATATGTAACATGTATATTATAGTCGAACCTCTTTATCTCAAACTTGGCAGGACCATGCGGATGCATCGAGATAACTAAGTATTTAAATTCATGTGAGTTTGATTGTTTTGTGTAAAGTTAGGCGGAGCCCTATGAAAGGACTCAATTAAATGGGGTCTTCGATTTTTATGAGTTTGAGATAACAGAGTTTGACTGTACATTTGTTTCTGTTTCTAAAGTATTTTTTATCTCAATATGGAAGTGTGCATATAATCTACCAAATATGTGATAAATGACATCCTCTTTCATATAAAGTTTTCTAAAGATATATTACAATTAATACACTAATACTTTCCTTTCCACATCCAATGACCTTTGAACTATGAAATGACCTCTCACCTGGCGCTCCACCTGGAATTTCTGTGATGCCGTGTATGTCTTTACACACATTAATATAGAAGTTCCAGCCTGCCTCCGATGACACCAAGTAACCACCATCTTTCTTAGTGAGTGGTGACAGATTGTGTTTTCGGTTTAGTTGGTCATACACATAACAAGGGACTTCCTTGACCGCACGCTCTGTGTCATTACACATCACATTTGTCCTCCACAGCACAAAGGTGGTACACAATGAGTACTCAAGAAATTCAGGAGAGCCTAGTCCCTGAAAATTATTTGTAGAAATGATTACAATTAATTTACTTCTGGTGGTAACACCTTCCTACGCAGAGTCGTTGGTAAAAGAGTCAGTTTCAAACCACAACAATGCTTAAATTTATTGAAATGTTTTCAGACATAAAACGTATGCAATGTACAAGACAAAGTGTCTGCAAATAGTCTTCCTAACTAGAAACTGTTTAAAAATCTCTTCCAAACTGCTGAGATTTATTGAAGTAGTTTCAGATATAGAATTCTACAAAAAGGTAACAATATACTAGCTCAATCGATACTAGCACCGTAGTAATATGAGTCAACCGGATTAGAGGAGCAAATTAATGTTAAGGAGAACCATTTTTTAGTATTACCGACTGGATACTGAGGGAATCATATCAATTGTGAACAGATAAATGGGCCCCACTGTAGTCATTGAAATGTCATTCTCCATTCTTCTTCTGGTTGTGTTTTAAGAACTTCTATTCTATTGACATTGCCAACCTGAAAATAGGCAAATGCTTGTTACAATTTTTAAAATTACATTAGTAAACAAGAGTGTCTTACCACATTCAAACTGCACTGGAATGTGATCATGGTAACATAGTGGGCGTTGACTACCTCAGGGCAAGCATCCCCCAGTAACACCAGGGTTTTTTCTGAAACTTTAGTGTTGTTAGCAGTAACCAGGTGTGTAAAGTTGCCTGCAGATTTTGGAGTTTCGCCTTTGACAGTCCTACAAACCGAAGCATGGTCATGACAATTTCCACCCTGGTGCTGTTTGATTGCCTCACAAATACTGATCTGATAAGTGGTGTTTCCATCCTCAGACATCATAGGCCAAGGGTTAAATCTGTAATAATACAAGATTCAATGTAATAACAAATATGTCTTAGTAAATCCTGTTATTACATCATCAGGTTTTGTTTAATGATAAAAACAAAACATGAATCTATTAGCACAATAACATCTAAAAGTTATGTTATTCACAGAATTTAAGGAGCCGTTCCCGTCTTTGTTTTGCTTAACTTTTGTAGTAGGGTAAGTAGACTTTCTACAGTATAGTATGTTGAAGAATTTCCTTACATCAATTTTTTTTGTTTTTTATTTTTGTTTTTCATTTGCTTTAGTATTTTGTATTGGTGCCGGCAATGGCATCCTTTGTTCAAACAAGTTGATGTATGTATATCGCAAAATACCACCACTGTAGCCAAGCAGTCTGGTCAGCCAGACTGGATTAAATAGATGAGCTGTGAGCAATAGGAGAGTTCACAATAATAAGAAGTAACATTCAAACAAAATATCAAATAATTGATAGATATATCTTTCAGATTCCAGCAGCAAAAGTCCCTATGAAGCAGCCTGTAGCTAAAAAGTACTTTACAAGCGTGAAATATAAACATTCTTTTAAGAGGAATTTGTAATTAAAAAATATCCTGTACACATGCTTCAAGGATCAGACTACGTACTTCTTGCCCTACCACTAGACTGAAGGGCATGTGTTTCTTTAGAATGCATATTCCATGTTCTAACAACCAGGATGTATGAGAAAAAGGAGTAAATATTATTGCAGGAGGAAATCAAACCCTCAAAACAGATTAGAACTTTAAAAGTTAAATCATCTTTTCATCAATGCATTTGGAATATACATCGCCATGTTGCCTAATTCATAGCACAATGTAACTTGTAAATGCATTGTATAACATTGGCAGTGTACACACACTTCTGAAGGTGGACCTGAAACAGGAAGGGTAGCAAGGGGGGAGGGGCGGGGTTACACGAATTGGACCTCTGCAGCTCGACCTGAATGGGTGTGTTGGGGGGGGGGTGTTGGTTACACAGATCCTATAAACAGATAGATGATAATTTACACGCATTATGTATATGCCTATAGAACACATCTCCTACGAGTCGATGCAATACAAACGCTCTGTATTAACTATGCGGTTGTTCACCTGTTCTATACATGATACCCTTACAATGCAAAGAATCAGCTGGGCAGAAAAATAATTCCTGGTGAAAACGTACTTACTTTTTAATCAATGAGAAGTCATAGCCACCATAAACACAGTCTTGTGATGTTTCATCACAGTATCCCCCGTGTAGACCTACTGCCAGACACAGGATGACTGTAAATACATAATGTAAATAGAACATAGCATTTGTTTTCTTCCTTGATCTGGCCGCCGCCATGATGGTGTGCAGAGTGTTTGCGCAGAAACACATGACTGTCACAAGATCAGTCACGTGATGTAATTTACTGTGGCGGGAAATTACGGTATTTTTTTTATAGTGCTGTATATCGTCAGGTGGGTGTGACACGATACACGGATCACGATACGATTCTATCGCGATATTTCAGAAACAGAAATTATATGATAACCAACATTTCATCACTAACAAATTATTTCTGCAACTTGATGTCACCTTTTTAGATTTTGATACTATTTGAAAAATGAATATAATATGATAAAGAGTTGATAACCGAATAAAATGCAACGAGTATTTGTGTGTAATACATAGCGTGAACGTTGGTCAAGGGAGGTAACTACAGTTGTTTTAAAAAAATAGGCATCGCGACACACTTTAAGGACGGATGTTGCATCGATGCATCATCTTCCGATACGATGCATTGATGAATCGTAACACCTCTTATTTTTTTGCACTTGCGGATCCATAAAGAAGGAGGAGGGTATCATATCAGCATGGTCCCTTAAATTTTTTTTTCATTGTATAAAATTAGAATTTGAAATAGCGACCGCAACTTACCTTTCCAAACAGTCTAAAAACTAAACATGTAGATGAAATTTAGTTGGATAATTTGTCAAAATCAAGATGCATATGGATTCTACTGGAGTCACAGTATACCCAAAACTGAACACTGAATACTATGGACCAAAGAAAACCAACACATACATGTGTTAAATATTTAAACAAATTGTTAAATGGATCCTTCCATTTTTTGTTAAGAAATTGTGACAAAAATTCTTTTCAGTCAGAATCAAAAGATGCGATTTTTCTCCCCTCAATGGCGCAGTCCTGAAACAGTTACAGACAGGGGGAAATCTAAACATTAAAAGCATCTATAAATTTTTTTATCAAGAAATAACAAGAAGAGATTTTGAAGGACATCATTGGCGGACGACAGGCCTGCAGGTGCGTAACTGCCTTTACACAAACAGGCTGCTGCATACACATCATTTTCATGAAACAACATATTTGCAATGCCATCCTGATTTCTTTCCAGCTTTTGGAAGTTTCCCAAACCTCGTGCCAGGTCCGTGCCACTGGACTCTACATTCCCAATTGGCTATATGACTTGCCAAGTATCCATCACTCTCCACTAAACACACAGGATTTCACTTCTTTTCATATTGAAATACAAAACAAACAAAATTCAGGAAAATAGTAGCAACGAAAACAATATATATATATATATTTATGGAGGAGCGAGAGGTTGGGGGTAGGCATGGTGGTAGGGGAGGGAAGGGAAAAAGATTGCATGCACCCCCTCTAATTGGAATTCCTGGATTTGTGCCATTATACTGGCCTAAAATGATGGCCCTAGGCCTTTTCAGAAGAAATTGTTGAAACATTTTAGTATATTTGACCCCGGAGCACTTGAAAGTGGTTCAAGGTAATTCAATTGTTCAAATGTGGTAGTCTTACATCCACCTGGTAACTTGGTAACACTTTATCCCAGCACGTTACAGCCCAGTATCAGTACCCTGGGCCTTTTGGTTGCTGGGTAAGAGGAGGTTAAGGGATGAAGAATGAGTATTATCTGAAACAGCTTTTATACATAATCTGAGGCAGGTCATAGACAGGATGTAGTTAAAGAGAAGTGGTATTTAAGGTAGGTAATAGTTACAGACAGGTGGGTTCTCTGAGGCAGGTTTGTAAAGGACAAATAGGTGACCTCTGATACAGGTAACAATAACTCATAGACAGGAGATCTACACCTTTTAGGCAGGTAATATGCTCATAGTTACAGAAAGGTGGTCTTTTAGGCAGGAATTACACTCCTTATTGTTGATAGGTGGTCTCTTATGCAGGTAATATACTCCTTATAATATTGTTGATAGGTGTTCTCTTAGACAGGTAAAATGCTCCTTATTATAGATAGGTGGTATCTTAGGCATATAATATGCCCTTAGTTATAGATAGGTGGTCTCTTAGGCAGGCAAAATGCTCCTTATTATAGATAGGTGGTCTCTTAGACAGGTAAAATGCTCCTTATTATAGATAGGTGGTATCTTAGGCATATAATATGCCCTTAGTTATAGATAGGTGGTCTCTTAGGCAGGCAAAATGCTCCTTATTATAGATAGGTGGTCTCTTAGGCAGGTAAAATGCTCCTTATTATAGATAGGTGGTCTCTTAGGCATATAATATGCCCTCAGTTATAGATAGGTGGTCTCTAAGGCAGGTAAAATGCTCCTTTTTATAGATAGGTGGTCTCTTAGCCATTAATATGCTCCTTATTATAGATAGGTGGCCTCTTAGGCAGGTAAAATGCTCCTTATTATAGATAGGAGGCCTCTTAGGCAGGTAAAATGCTCCTTATTACAGATAGGTGGTCTCTTAGGCAGGTAAAATGCTCCTTATTATAGATAGGTGGTCTCTTAGGCAGGTAAAATGCTCCTTATTATAGATAGGTGGTCTCTTAGGCATATAATATGCCCTCAGTTATAGATAGGTGGTCTCTAAGGCAGGTAAAATGCTCCTTTTTATAGATAGGTGGTCTCTATGGCAGGTAAAATGCTCCTTATTATAGATAGGTGGTCTCTTAGGCAGGAATTATGCTCCTTATTGTTGATAGGTGGTCTCTTAGGCAGGTAATATGCTCCTTATAATATTGATAGGTGGTCTCTTAAACAGGTAAAATGCTACTTATTGTAGATAGGTGGTCTCTAAGGCAGGTAAAATGCTCCTTATTATAGATAGGTGGTCTTTTAGCCATTAATATGCTCCTTATTATAGATAGGTGGCCTCTTAGGCAGGTAAAATGCTCCTTATTATAGATAGGAGGCCTCTTAGGCAGGTAAAATGCTCCTTATTATAGATAGGTGGTCTCTTAGGCAGGTAAAATGCTCCTTATTATAGATAGGTGGTCTCTTAGGCAGGTAAAATGCTCCTTATTATAGATAGGTGGTCTCTTAGGCATATAATATGCCCTCAGTTATAGATAGGTGGTCTCTAAGGCAGGTAAAATGCTCCTTTTTATAGATAGGTGGTCTCTAAGGCAGGTAAAATGCTCCTTATTATAGATAGGTGGTCTCTTAGGCAGGAATTATGCTCCTTATTGTTGATAGGTGGTCTCTTAGGCAGGTAATATGCTCCTTATAATATTGATAGGTGGTCTCTTGGACAGGTAAAATGCTACTTATTGTAGATAGGTGGACAGGTAAAATGCTACTTATTGTAGATAGGTGGTCTCTGAAGTAGAAATGTGACCCGTTATGAAATCGTATAATTTACAAAGTTAAAGTTAGTATTCTAATATTGAAAAAGTCAGTGTCTTATTTCTGTATAGGAATGTGACCTCTTTTATGAAATCACATTTTTATAAAGTAGCAAAAGCAGACAAAATCAACTTTTAAAAATATTTATTTTATTTACATCATATTTAATAATATTTCATATTGTTATTAATTGTGAAATGACCATTGTCCACTAAAATGACCAGCTATACATATTGCACCTTAGGGTCAGTGGAGCAATGGCCAACAGAATTTAACGCTACAACCTGACACTACATCACTGTACACACTGCCACTACTGGTATACACAGTACATAGAGATCTACACTACATATATACGTCGTAAAATGCAGATGAGAAAATTTCAGATTTAGAAAAGTGAAAAACATACAGATATTTCAAACCTGTAGCTAGTCTTATAGTATTAGTCTTTTAACCTTTTATGTAGCTGAGTACACTGTACAATGATTACTACATGAATATATATCCTACATGAAGCACAGGGAGTCACTATACAACCTTGGAGCTTTACTGAAAAAGGACGAACTTTTCATGTTAATAATTCTGTTGGCTACTGAAACTGTAATAGATTTGGGTGGGCTTATTACAGGACATGGTCTTATTCCTGGATACTTCCGTTAATTAAGTAAGATCAATTAAATTTTACAGAAACTAAGAGCAATAAAGAAAGGATTATCATTGTTAATACATTATCAAGCTGTTTCAGATGATGAAATTCAATACTATTATTGTTATGGTCAAGCTGTTGCAGATGCATATACAATATCATTATCATTATTTCCAAACGGTTTTATATGAAAAAATTCAAAGCACATCATCACTATTTCTGTTACACAGAGGATGTTACACAAAAATTGTCTTATGAACAATCTATTTCATATAATGAATTACAAAAATATCATTAATTCAAAATTATTTCGTAAAATTTTAAATGGTACAAGGGTTATAATATACAGATCTTTGAAAATAAAACTGTACAGATTACAGTCAATACATTTTTCAAAATGTCAAAAATTGTCAAAAAAATGACGTGATGATGATGAGAAGGCCATTTTAACTATCAACATGAAATATGATTAAGGATTTAATTAGGGACTTCGAAACTCTCACTAAATACTTCAAACTTACATAATTCAAAATAGTTGAGGATTGTAAGTAGAATCATCATATCTTATTTCAGTTATCACATGTATCTCTATGAAACTGAAAAAAAAAACAACATAACATCATGTTATAATTATGTTTTAAATTTCTGAGAAAATAGCAAAATAAGTATTTGCGAAATTGTTATTTCACAATCACATATAAGATCAGATACAGTTACTTTAGAAATCCACTTGTAAAGTCTGTTTCTGAGTGATTAAATCTACATGAAAATTAGATTTTAAAACAATATCATATCACTATTCCAGCATTTTAAATATACCATCTAAACACCAGGACCTGTAAAATCAGAGTAACAGAAACACCATGCAAGGAAATTTACAGAAAATTATGGAATAGTGATAGATTTCGTGTTTGGAATAGAACAATCAGCACTTATAAAGGTAATATCTGTTTATGTGGATGTAAGTATGTTACTGTAGACATGAAAAGAAAAATATTTGGTCAATTCCTATGTAGATAGTTAAGACCAGCACAAGTACATAATATTACGTCTTTTTTTTTTTTTTTTAAGTTTTTAAGCGAAAAGGAACATATCTTAACCATTCAAAACCACTCCTTGTCAATACAAATTTGATCATCACTTCAAATTATTTGTTTTTTTTTCTAAAGGGAAAAAAATACTTGTGTTTAAGTATGCTTTACTTACTGAATGATGCAATGTTTCTTTTACCCGAAACAGTTCCTTCCCACTGAGCAAAGAAATAATAAAATGTATTTACTGAGTAGACTAAATGATGGCATAATGGCACAACATGTTTGAAGTTCTTTTTAATTTGATAAGCTGATTGTAGAAGGGAGATAACTGTGTTACTGTAGTATAGATGTGGGGATCTTCTCACTTTTTTTATTATTAACTATTTATTTGCAATAATTAATTGGAATTTATGATGAGTAGACTGTTTCCATACAAATATCAGAAAAAACAATAAACATTTATAAAATTTTGACTTGGTATGAAAAATATTCTTCTACTAGAACTTGTAAGGAAAACGAAAATTAATGAAAATTATGTCAGAAATGTTTAAATAATCATAACTCGTTCAGTGAACCTGCCACTTTTACGGGAATGTAAATTAAAATCAATACATAAATAAAACAAAGGAACAAAATATATAAAACAAAGCAGGAAGGTAGTAACTTAGGAAAACAAATGTGTTAAAACTAGCATATGTACCAGGTCTATAGGTAAATACACAACTTGATAAAAGCAAACATTATGTTATAAATTTGACCAGGATCCTATAAAAAATGCCCAAAAAGCCACAAAGTCTCTTATTTTAGAAATTCTAAACCTGAACCCTATATATCACACATCACTAAAATCGTGAAAATTATACATGTAAAAACATACACTAGGATACATGTATATTGTCATTCTGTAAAAATATACAAATATTTCATTTTACTTTATATTTTGGTTCTGACCGTACGACCCATGACAGGTATTTTGTTCAGTGTTAAAACATTTTTCCCCACACATTTGTCACAAACAAACAAAAAACAAATATATCAAGTGATCTTAATTAATAAAACATGCTCTTAATTGGATAAACTTCCATTGTGAAAATTCAGGTTCTCCCTAATAAGACTAGTACTGAGTACATTACCGAGATGGACATTAATTGTATTGTTAAGCAAATCTTGCAAGATTCTTTTCCTCAATTTAAAGATACATTTTCCTTCATCCAGAAAAGTAAGATACTCAAAATAATTAGTGTGAAATAATTAAACAAATGTTAATCAGAATAAAATATATCTAACTAATTACAACAGGCATAGATGTATAGACTTACAATCAGATTAGGAGTATATTGTTTGTCTATTTTTTATCATATTGATACCATTGTTATGGATAAAACACTAGATACTGAAATCAGGGTCTAGATAAATGATTTTTTTCATTATAATGTTTAAATTTGAAAGTATTGTTTCAAGATATTGATTTTTTTAAAAAAAAAAGACCACCTTGCCAGAAATATTGATTTTTTTTAAAAAAAGACCACCTTGCCAGAAATATTGATTTTTTTAAAAAAAAGACCACCTTGCCAGAAATATTGATTTTTTTTTAAAAAAAGACCACCTTGCCAGACGCATCAACATATGAAATATGAAATAACTGTTTCATTTCTGTTGACTTCTACAGTGTACCTGTTGTGAAAGAACTACAAATTCTACCCTTTAGTGTTCGTAACATACATTCAAATTTATGTGATAAAAATATTTCCGATGTAATCTAGAAAACATTTATACAGGAAATTGAAGTTGTGTATAGTAAATGCAAATGCACAGTATATACCACTAAATAAAAAAATAAATTTGTGACTCACTTTTAAAAGTTTAGACATTTGTTATTTTCTATAATATGTGTTACATCGACAAGTTCATAAATGGCTGATATCACTAAGAGTATTTTCAAATCATCCCATCTCTTGGCTGACTAGAATCTCACAATTGACAAGATGTGACAAAGGGAAAGTTGGAGGCAAATTCTGTATTATTTAAAAAAAATTAAATCTAAATTACATACATGTATATGTCACTTCCTACATCCAGCACACAAGTAGGTGCTTCAAATAAAATATACTAAATAACAGGTGATTACTGTTAACTAAATTCTGTAGTATTGGTGATAATTACAAATCCAGTGCTTAAATGTCTAATTTACAGTACTGTACAAGTAATAGTGCAATGATTGCATACTCCATGTTAATTACCCTTATACTATTTCCATATCTGATTTCATTTAATATTTTGTACAGTAATATATAATATTCTTCGCTTTCAAGTAAAATCACCACCCTCCTCCCCCAATAAAAGAGCAATATCTCTTATCTTTTACCCAGGGGAATGTTTTACACTCCTTAATGTTACCTTTCATTAAAGTAAATAAGTCTTCAATTTGATTAATTAAAAATTTCAAACTTTCTATCCATATCACATTGTTAACTTACTACCTTTTCTTGGAAAGTGACAAAAAAAAAAAAAGAAAAAAAAAACACTTCAGTAAATAGATGTGAAGGAGAATGGACAAGATTGATGGTTGTGAAAAATACAACAAACAAAAAACATAGTACCAACATTTTACCATACAGATAGCAATACTTTTATAAAATCACAACATTCTATATATAGGATTTCTGACAAGCCAACCATTTGTGTGTTGATGCTGGATACACAGGCTGCAGCTGAAATGACGCTTACTGCAGGTGGAAAGGGCCAGTGCTTCATTAATTGGTTATAATAAATATAACAGAGAATTCTTTATTTAAGCCTAAAGAGCAACATGAAATTCATCATCCATGGATTCTTACAGGCACTGGATTGTCTCCAGCGTCCAGGCTACTGTATGTAACAGTTGATTCTCATATACAGGTACAAGTCTGCCTCCAGAAGCAAAGATCAAAAAAGTTTAATGTCCATTCTGATATAAGAATTATCCAAATGTCTTCAGAAAGGTAGGTTTGTGTGGTGATGTATCCAATTCAGTATTGAGGTACCTGAATATCTCCAACAATAACACAAATCTAACACACACACACCAAAGTCCCGAGTAGGGAGACTTTACAAGTTTACTGATTAATGTCCAATCACACATCCAGGTACCCGAATGTTACCAGCAGGAAGACTAGTTTAATACGAAATGCAACAGATATGCACCTGGAAGTCCCTAGTAGAGACTTGACTTGTTAACTTGGTACTGTCAATTTCAACGCAGGCATCTACCCGGGTAAATGTTTCAAGCACAGAGACTCGTGCAGGTAAACATTTGTTTCATTATTATCCTATTTTTAACATCACAAGACTAAAGGACTTTGAAGCTTTATCTAAACTTTAGTTTTTCCTAAAGTTTGCAGTGATTTTACATTAAAAATGACATACAATTCACTTCATATTGGGCCACGATGCAAAAATGACAATCTAGAGCTGGAGAAAATTCAAATTTCAGAGCCATTTTCTTTTCCCTCAAATACAATTCAAATACTATACACCCATGCCATTGATAAAACACACAATATATTGTAGTGTATTTATTGCCTAACACAACAGATCTACAGCCTGTTATTACAGCCGTGGATTAACATCTATTTGACTGTTACGTATCCTTGTCATACAGTTGGAGGTCTAGTTTCACCAGCACCTCCCCCGAGCTAACTTCATGTAGTAACAGCCTCTTTGTGATTGGTCCTTTGATGGTTTTGTTCTCGTCCATGATTTCCTTCACACATATCTCCGTCCTTCCCAGGAAATCTGTAAACACAATCATTCTTGAAGTAAACATCAAGTCTAATTGCTGTACTTATCAAAAATATTAAATAGGGTACATATCCTGATGACAAATTTCTTTGTAGTGACCTCTGAGAGGAAACATCAATGCTTCAGGAATGAGACAATTTGAAGAATTAGTCTCCCACCAGCAAACAGCCTCACCAAGCTAAACCCATACCACAAATATGAACTTAATGTAACTAGTAGTGTAGGAGATTATGCCCCGACAAACTTTTTCTTCTGTGTTGGTCAAAGGTCACAAAGTAGATCAGTGTGACCTACTTTTGATACATGACACACAGCCTCACCAAGGTGCACCCTACTACAAGTATAAAGTCCCAATGACAAAGTGATAGGACCAAGGCAAACTTTGTAATTAATGTATGTCAAAGGCCAAACTGTAGGTCAAATTGACTTACTTTTAATATGTGACACAAAGTCTCATGAAGGTGTACCCATATCCCAAGCATAAAGTTCACATAATCAGTAATGAAGGAAATATGGCAGGCCAATCTTTTTGTTTTTTGTAGGTCAAAGGTCAAAATGTAGGTCACTCTTGATTTTTACACTGTCTCACCAAGGTGAACCCATATCCAGTGATATCAGATAGGGTCCATACTAACATTTTATTTGAAGTAGGTCATAGGTCAAAATGTAGGTCAAAAAGACTTACTTTTGATATGCTCCACACTGTCGTACAGAGGTGAATCCACATCCCAATTATACAGTCCCTATCATTGGTAGTGAAGGAGATAGGGCCTGGACAAACTTTTTCTTTGATGTAAGTAAAAGGTCAAAATGCAGGTAAAAAATACCTTCTTTTGATATGTGACATACTGTCTTACCAAGGTGAACCACTATTTCAGTTATAAAGTTCCCATTTTAAGTATTGTAATAGACAGGGTCTGGACAAGTCAGCAGAAGAAAGGATGGACACAACACAAAACTAGTCCCTTCCAGTTCCCAGTGGGGAGTAATTAACCATCATGCTTGAGGCTCAAACTTTCTTTTTCTTATCTGGCACCGTCTAGTTTTCTATTCCATTCAGCAGCAGCTGTATAATGACCCTACAATTTCATGGGTTATATACTGTTTTACAATTTTTGTAAATCCTGCCCCACATCAATGCCATTGATTTATTTTGATGAAACAGAATGAGGCATATATACATTACATTGTAGATAATTTGGCCTTCTGTGGCTAAGGTCACCATTATTATTTACAGAAATTTGCACAAATATGATACTGTTTTACATGGAAGTGGGGGTTTATATCTTCTGGTTTAAATTAATGTTAGATTTATCGCCCCTTACTTTCTGGACACCATGATCTGTATACAATTACATATTTAAGTGAATTTTATGGTTGGACAGCAAACAATTATTTCAACCATCGACCTTAATCTTCTGTCTGTTTTTATCTGAGTTACCATAAACTGTATGTGAAGTGAATACATTGAAAAACAGTGTAACCAGTACCCAAATTGACTCTGAATGGAATATGTCTCACCATTAGGAGAAAACAGGTCTCTGTCAAACACTGTGATACACAAGACATCCTGTTCGACATCTCGGATGGTGAACTGCATTGATTGGTTCCACTTCGGGTTCAAGGTTGAATTAATGACCTTGGTTTTGTGTTCCTGCACTCCCATGCTGACTTCACAAAATGGGTCGCTTTTTCCTAAAGGTGTTCAAACAAATTTCATATTAAGATAAAAAATCACACATTGCACCACTTTTTTTCTACATTTGAGAAAACAAAAGGATTTTGCCAAATGAGTCACATTTTTGTACAGAAATTTAAACTCTTTATAGAAGTTTAACAAATTTACACATCAAGATTTTTTGTTAGATATTCAGACATTTTTCCAAATGTACTTTTTGTTAATTTTTTGTGAGTTTACTTTACAAGTGTTATATCTCATGATCAAGTTGCATAATAGTAGTTACTGACGAAATCATATACTTTGAAGTAATCAGTTCAAAATCGAGAGAATGATGCATGTTTTAATAAAATCAAAAACTACAATATTGTACAGCACATGAACCACACACAATTAATTACATTATGACATAAGAGTTCTACCATTCTTAAAATTGATAATAATTCTGGTAAAAGAAACTCACTCTGTGTTAGCCACTTGAGAACTGATGTCATACCCAATTGGTGGCAATTACCAAACTAAACCAAATCTAAATAATTGTTTACACTATTTTTTTTAAATCCATTATTTAATTAATCTCAATTTCATTTGAGGATGGTGACATCATCACAATTATTCACCGTCGTTTGACAGAACTTACCTAAATTATTCATCACAAAAACCAAAAGACAAATAAAATAATATATAGTAATAACCCATATCTACAACCAACCCTATACTTCACACAGCAAAATGTGAGCAATTCTAAACACCAAGTTACCAATTTATTTATTTACTGACAACATGAATACACAAGCAGTTTAGAATTCTCAATAAGTAAACGGATGTTAGACAAATAGATATTTGCCATCTCATAAAAAATCAAGGTACCTGATAGTCAAATTATCTTTTGCATAACATTTTACAGATATTGCAAATTCTTGTCCATATTTCTTTAAAGGCATGATATTGAAACTGAATAATGACATGCGAGACATGAAATCCCAGAGGGATCTTGGCACCCATCACCACCCAATCTTCATTTGTTCATTCAATGTTGGACCTTTTCTGATCAGTCACAAATTCAAAAAGGCACAACTAGGGACCAAGGGGAACATATGCATCAAAAATTGAGCAATATCTATCATGTCCTTCTTTAGAAATTGTGATAAATTTTCATTTTCAAAATCCAAGATGGTCATCTGTCCACCATATTGTTTTTTTGATCAGTCACAAATTCAAGATGGCACAACTTGGGACCAAGGAGAATCTATGTATGAAATGTGTATAAGATCCATTATGTACTTTACAAGAAATAATGAAAACAAGACTTGTTTCAGGACAGACAGACAATGGAACATCGACGCAGGGCGATTTGAACAACATCTGGCTAATTGTCAGGCCAATCTATATATGGAATTCAGAGCATTAAAAACACAAATTGGTTGCTATGGAAATGTGTGTATACAGTACCATTGTCGTCACTGGGTTGCAGGTGACAGGCCTCGAGGATCAACACAAGCAGACGGCCAACCCCTCCAGTGTGTCGCACTGTACCCAGACATAACATGCATGCAAGTCAAACAGAACTATTCAATATTATGAATCATGCAATAAGTAACACAGATTACAGGTAATATAAACAATATGTTTGGTAAAATATGGTGTTGTACCTGTTCTATGATGCATCTGTCAGGTAAGGACGACCCTAAATCATGTCTATACTGAGGTAAATCTGTATGAAACGTATGAATGCTAAAGTCCCATGACGCCTGTCTATGAACTCTCTGAGTTGTAATTAGAGGGTAGATTCAACACAATGATAACATTTCATAGGATAGAATTTTGGGATTTTAAAGAAATTTGGTAAAAGTTTTAAAAAATTCAGACTATTTCTTCTTAGCTTAGGTTCATGGATTTACAGCACTCAGTTACTTGGTCAGAGAAGGAATAATGTTGGTGAAAAAAAGGATTAAGTCAAAAGATGAAATTACCATACAACAGGTATCTGTAACTTTCATTGTTTTAACTCTTCATGTAATCTAGCAGAATGATGAACAGTATATTGAATTTTTCTGATTATTAACTATAGAAATGATAGAGATGATGTTAAAAACAGGCGAATGATATTGAAATCAAATCTGCTGATCACATGATAATTCAGTCTACTTATGTACATAAGCTGATAAAGCATGTAAATAGATATTATGGTAACATTTTCAGCACCATTCTGGTAGATTCTGAAGTAACAAACATGCAACCATGGTTTCACAACAACAAAACTAATAATGGAAAGAAAATGGTAACAAAAGCAGACAATAATTATGATGCAGAAAAAATAAATTAAAAAAAAATGAAAAATAAAGCACATGAATGCTGATATAGTAAGGTTGACTAAAATGAGAAGGGGAGACAACCAAGTGTGGTCTTACCGTCCTGAGAGGGTGCAAGGTTTATACCCTCTGTGATAATGACCAGGAGGCGACCAACGATGTTGGTCTTAGTGACAGCTGAGAGGAAACGAAAGCAGCATGGTATGATGGAAAGGATGATCAGTGTTTATATCATGTTACCATGGCTACACCCACAACCTTCGTATAACCTTCATATAAACTTAGTTAAAGTTTCACCAATATTTACTTAGCATTCATATAGCCCCAGTTACATGTACATATTAATTTTTTGACATATAGCCAGAACACTAGTGTTCTCATCAGTGACATGAAACCTTTAGTGATAAAGTCAAGGAGATGAAAAACCTGTATGCTAACAAACAACTACACAATATTAGCTAAACCTTAGATAAAACCTGACTACACTGTAGACACCAAGATTGTAACTGTAACTAAAAGTGTCATAACTTCTCTTGTATGACAGAGAAACATCCTTTTGAATTCCTTTAATACTTTGCTGTCTCTTATAATAATTATCTTTCAAACAATGGACATTTTCCATTTTGCCTATACCAAGTATCAGACCACTAAATCATAAAACATAGGTCAAATTATTACTCATGCTGCTGATATTTCAACAAGAAACATGTGAATACTTTCATGATTCTTACATCATCACATTCAAATGTGTATTACATACATCTCAATTTACATAAGACTTGGTATACACAGGTATACATGTGCATTCTGTACATACCATAGAGAATTTTAACGACATTATGAAAGAATATGTGACGAAAACAATAAAAGAGGAAAGAAAAATGTCATGTTTTATGAAAATCTATTTCCATCATATTTTATACTTTAAACATGAATATTTGGTCAATTCTTAAACACGCATTATTTTAATGAATACATAATTACCTGTATGAATTAAGTAAATTCAATGAAACAACAATTTAAAACGGGAAAAAATAAAACCATTTATCAATGGTGGAATTGTCATTGGATTTTATCTGAAAACTTTATTCAGGATGCATGGTAGAACTGTGTGATACAGCTTGATATCTTGTCACTGTCAACATAAACCATAACATCTTATTCATCAACTGACAATCTGTTAGGATTTTCCAACTAGTTTTTTTATGTAAGCAATACTTGAAAGTTGTTGACATTACAGAAATTCAGAAATCTTGAATTTGATGAAATTTACTTCGATTAATGAATAGAATTAACAAAGAAGGGGAGAACATGTTGCATGTATTGAGAGACAGGATGATATCAAAGTAGGCACAGTATAAGACAGAGAGAAAGTTACACAAAAGTCACAACGTTAATCCTGACATAAGCTTTTATGGTAATTTAGGTTAGGTATACATAAGGGCCTTAACTCTTGGATAGATTGGTGCAATACTTCACCAATACTTCATTACTTCATTAGCATATTTTGCTCAAAATTAATCTTTTTTTTAAAAATGGATAAACTTGAATGGCAAATCAACAATAATTCTTAAGAGTAACTTTATCGAAACATAGACATTTAATTTTCAAAAATTTAAATATTTTAATCTATATATAACTTGTTTCAGAGTACTTGTAAATTAAAGGAGTTTATGGAAATAAGATTTTTTATCGGTCTACAGACCCTAGAGAGGAAACTTACTAGAAAGTAGAGTGTGACAGCTACAGGAGACACTTATAGAGACACTCAAAACAGATTAAACACCGTGAAAATAAAAATAACATTTTAAAGTTATATGACAGTGAATCAAAGTGAAAGGTACATATCATCTCCCTCAAGACCATAATATTTTGTAAATTGGTGATTTAAGAAAAGTGTTAAATATATTCCAAGTCAATTGGTAAATTCAGCGATTATAGAGGTCCAGTGATAATACGTTGAACAAGTGTAGGAAATGGGCTTACATTGGTGTGTCTTCTCTCGTTTCCGTTTCTCTGTCTCCAGGTAGTGACGAGATGCTGACTCTATATTCTTACACCAAGCATCTCTACAACAGGACACAGCAGATAATTTAGAATTATTGATTACGAGTTGTAACTGGCAGAACTGAGAGTATTTAAGAGAAAACACAATCACAACAGAGTGTTCTTCAAAAATGACCGTTTTCACATTTATTTCAAAGAGGATTTGAAAATACATGCTTTGTATACAACTGCAAAAGACCATACATTCTCTTTGTATTTTTCTGGTAGATTGAATTCAAAAAGTTACACTTTCTAAGATTATTTCACATCTAATACAATGTGGTGTTTGAGATCCTGAGAAAGCATACCGTTCTGTCTGGCTTGTAGCTCGCAAGTTGAACACTCTGTCTACATGAGACAGCTGAAACTGACAGGTTTCAGAATCTTCATCTGTATTTTTTTTCACCATTACTTCATTCAGGAAAATTGGCTGGAAACATATGACATTCATTTATGTGATAAACAATTATAATGAAAGAAAACTTTCTGAATTGAAAGGAAAATTTCTGAAGTGTAATTACTTCAGTCATCAGTGTATATGGCCTGTGTATATTGCGTGGTTGGATAAAAGCCTGTTTGTTAAGGAGTACTCACAGACTTATACATCTTGTACTGAGCCTTCGCCTTAGGGTCAAACACGAACACGGATGTGGAACTGGTCAGAGGAACGGTCAGCAACAGGAAGTCGTTAAACAGGAAACCAACAAGCTCCTTATTACTCTTGTTCTGGAATTATAACAATATTATATACACAAAAAGTTTTATACACCAAGTCAGACAAAATAAAATCACCTTATTAGATATTACAGTACTAGTTGTATTTGAATAAGTCAATGCTAACGTCAGAAGACTATTTTATACCTACCTTGTACAATGTCCCAGAATACAACAATTTCCTTGGTCCCAAGCAATTTGTTACTGAGTTAAATGTAATTTTCTGAAGAAAAAGAAAAAGTGCATTTCAGTTAAGAGAGGTAACAGACAATCTTTGACATAAAACATTACGAAAAAAATTTAATTCAAAGTAAGTTTGATAAAATTAAATTCAAAATTGGTCTTTAAAAACTGATAAAAAAATTTCTTGACCCATGTCAACAATTTATTTTCAGTAGATTACTATACTTTGATATACTGTTCAGACTGTCATGAAGACTTCTAATCACAATTAACACAGAAATGATGACTAGCAAACTTTATCAATTTAATTTATCATGATTGCCTCCCCAAATGAATCGTAAATAAATATACTGGTAAATACATTGCAATCAAATTATTTATATTTGCTGAAAAGTAGCTGAACAGACATATCAACATATGATAGAATACATCATCAGGTACCCAGTAATCAACATATCTTTCCTCATATCTATACCGATTTAACTTCATCAACTTACCTCTGGCAGGCCATCACACTGGACATGACTGAAAATCCACTCAAGGCGATCAGAATTCTCTCGTTCCCTTACACCCTCGTTGACCAGGCTGCACAATTCCTCAGCTTTGGACAGAGCGTCTGTGAGATTCTGATGATCAGGGTGACCCACTGGAGTGTACTGCAGAATCTGGGAATGAAAGCCGGTTCTTAGTAATATTTGGTTAATCACTACTTAATCTGTTAATGAACAATTTTCCATTGATAATACGTTACAAATATTGAACTCTGACTGGCCTGTATCATCTGTGTACTTACCTTTCCTATCATTAATGGGTACTTTGTGATCCTCTGCATTGGTTTAAGTAGAAAGCTACTGAGGGGCATGCCCTTAGTCCGTACATCAGTTACACACTTCTGTAATATATATAATTAAAAAATATATTAGCTTGAAACCTAATCACACATACAATTCATTAACACAAGGACAAGTGCTGTCATTATTCTGTTTTAATTATTGAATAATTTTACACATATCTTTCCTCCGACTTTCTCTTCTGAATTAGAAATGTAAACCAAAATTTCAAGGGACGTGATAAAAAAATGTAAAGGATATTTGCTTTTCAATCACAAGTATCTCATAATGCATGCCTTTTGTCTATTAAACAAACTATTAATGATAACTTGAATGATTGATATGTATGAAGATGTTATGACTATCGAGCATTCTGCTGGATATTGCCACATAGAAACTTTTTTCTGTGTGGATTGTATTTTCACTATTTTAAAATTTATCACAAAAATTAAGTCCATGAAATAATGAGCCGTGTGTGTGTGTGTGAGATGTCCTTTCATGTCAAAAATCACTAAATTTTAATTCATTAAGATATAATTTGATCGTGTTAAAAGAAAAATTTTGAAAAAATTTGACCTGTAAAAATTCCCAGACATACAGGACGCCATTACCTTGTGGAGCTCTTTAAACTCTGGAGAATTTTCTGTCTTGTGTTGGAGCAGTGCTGCAGCATTGAGCTGACAGCTACAGAACCGGATATAGGGAGTCAAATGTGGCAACTGTCAAGTTAAATAGACTCACGTTACATAAAATGACCACAGAAATTTTAAACAGAGAGTTCTCAATGTTATTGCAGTACTGTAATTTGATTGATATCCGTTCAATACTATCAATTTACTTACAAATTTCGTAGATAATAAGTACAATTTAAAATTCAATAACTTGAAATTACTGAGAACAAATCGTAGCCACCTTCCCAGTTGATCAGCACAACTGATGTGGATCCAAACAAACATACCAGTTCAGTAATTTTACAGCCGCAAAAAAGATGGAAAGGTGTTTACTCACAGAATTGAGTTCTACAACTAACATAAGGATTGTTGATATATCGTCAGTGTATTACTTACGTTTTCACATAAAATGTCACCTATGACACGGATCACCTGACCTTTTCCACACATCTTCCTTCTCACTTTCATGGACCTGGAAGTGAAGAGCTCTTATACATACACTACAACACATGTACTGCCACTAATATGAATAAAATTTTCATCCTAGCCTTTTCCAAGTTTATCCAAACATGTTTTACATCCATAGATCCAATGTCACCATCAATACTTTCAAATTTTGAAAATCCACATGGCAAGTCTTAATTTTTGTTTTTTTGTGGAGGGGAGGGTTTGCGTCAGAACCACCAATGTTTAAAGGGTTTTCAACAAAAGCTGCTAATGTGCTTCTATATTTTACAAAAAGAAAATGGAAACATTTTTTTTTCATCAACCTAATGTTTGTTTTCGAATAGTTTAAATTATACAATTCTAAAGAATTTTCAGGTGACTTACTTTGACAACTTTGTATTGCACACAATTAACTCATTCCAGTTGACAAATATGGCTGCTAACTCCTCTTTTGTCATTCCATTGCCTTCTAGTAATGGTTTATGGAACACCTGTGGAGAGACAGCAGTGAAGACAATAAAGTCATCAAATAAATATGTAATCAGGATGGTAAAAAATAATGATGTACCAAAGCCAAGAGGATTTATTTCTTCCAAAAAAAAAATGGCAAATAAAATTTCAATTAATTCAATTTCTGAAAGCAGTTATAAGAAAGACCTAGATTTGGTTTAAATACATGTAAACTAATTTAAAATATGATCATTTTGTAGACGTGTTTTATGTTTACTGTTCACGTACTACAAATATCCATATATACTATATACAGGTATATATCCTGTCAGTACACAAAAGTATACCTACTGATATACATACAATGTATAGTGCACTAAACAACTACAACATCATCAGTTATACACTAAAATTCTAGCGTGAAGACTTGCTCAGCTGTTCCTTGTGTCCTTGCACAACAATTCATTCCTGTCTGCATACACATCAAGCTGGCTTGGCTATGCACCAGACTACATAAAACTTCGCATAAGCTTATCAGTGCTAAATGTATCTTCAGATGTCAGAAAATTGCGAGATTCTTCTTACTAATATATGATATGAATATAACCTTATAGAAACTTATGTTAAACAGATAAGGCAATGTATATAAGGAAAGAACAGCTGAGTGTCTTCAAGTAAATGGTTATAACTTACATCCAGGACGACGGACATGTCATCCATGTACGTAATTTCAGTGTTTATCAACTCGTGGATGTAATTCTGTCGTTTACTCTCCTGAGCTGATGTCTCGGCTAGCACTGCCGGATCACTGGACCCTGAAATGTATAACAGCCTTACAGAAACTGATACAAGAATTTATTTCCTACAGTAAACTATGAATTGTTTGTAATCATCATGTTTACTAATAACCAGATCAATTTGTTTTAAACACAAGATGTATTTTGTTATACGGCAAAATATATATGATTTCATCTAAGCAAATTTTTTTGATAACATACAAAAGGTGGCAATACCTTAACTTAATTCAGAGAAAAAAATATGCTTTTTGCATCCTGCAATGAGCCCCTACCTGGTTATATGCCTGTCCTGCTTCAGTTCTACAGAAATACCGACAAAACATTTATGTCATGTTGCAAGCATATGTCTCCCATATTTGAGATTATCTGTTGGTGCCCTGGGCTCATTGCAAGACACATAATTGAAATTAAAAAAATACTCATTAGTTGTTTAGATCATCAACCCACCCGCCCACACGCCCCCCGCCCCTTTTTTTGAGAGGGGGTTGGGGTGGTGGGCGGGGTTAAATTTTTTCCATATTAATTAATGGTACAGTTATCATATACTATAAACTTTATCCAACATTGTTCCATATATAATACATCTTTCTTCTCCCTCCAAACAACAAATATTGGCAGTAAAACATTCTGGTATAAGGACAACAGGTAAACCTGACCACATCAAATTCTTGTCTTCTTGACTGGTGTGCTTCATTATTGTTCTCAGCATCCTGGCTGCATCTTCACATCCAGTTGTTGTGATAAAACAGATCCTTAGTTTTATGAATGATTTAAGATTTGTCATTTCTCACTAGATTGCCTGCTATTTTTAATAGCATGCTTTGGAATTTTGATCATTTTTGACATCTAGCATAAATCCATTGAGAGAGAGTGAGGGAGGGGAAAAAATTGTTGGTTAAAAAACAAGACCAGTCATTTTCAGCGTTTCATTGTCACAAAGACTTGGTCTCCATAATTACTCTATCATATTTTACCTCATGTAGAGAAATCATCAACTTATTGATAATGAAAGTAGGTAATTATGTTGTATAATATGTACATCATTTAGATAGGACCTCTAATAGGACCAGTATGGTCACTACAGGCACCCAGAATAGATAACTATATATATAAACCCTTAAGTAATGTGAAAGATTATTCTTTTTACTTCCACCATATTCCTCATCTTTCTTTTTTTTATTCATTTTTCAAAAATATATACTGTTCCTGTAATACATATATCCATATATACTATATACATGTATATATCCTGCCAGTACTAACAGTATACCTACTGATATACAAACAATGTATACTGCACTAAACAACTTAATATCAACTTACACTTTGAAAGTTTCTCTTTTATCATAGAACTGATGTTACAATACCGACTTCCTGTAGTGAAAAATTGTACTGTTCTTTAAAACTTTGAACTCCGGAACAGTTTTAACCTTAGTGAATTCATTTAAACTATCTACTTCTGCAACGATTCAATATTTCTTATATATATATTTCATAAATTACCCTACACTAAGATCCAATAATAGACCTGACTTTGCAACCTAAGGTGAAGATCCAAGCTGTTTTGTTTCAACCCCATCCTGGCATTTATTGTTTTACAGAAAACTAAGATCACAGACTGTCCAGTGCTGTTGTGTCCTAGAGCAAGACACCTTATCGAAATTTTCCTCTCTGGGAAGGCTTTCTGTGGGATGCTCCAAGAGGAAGCCTCCAGTTATTCAGGGAAAACTCTAGGACCCTGGTGTTCAACAAGGTGATACCCAAGCAGACAATTCAGATGAACTTTTTTCATGCATGTATTCAATTTTTTTACAATTGACAGTAAAAACGAGATATAAGCGTCAATTTATTCTCCTAATCAAGGTATGATGTAGACTTACCTCATGGTCTATAATAGTAGCATGTGACCCACCCTTAACTCCTTCTTCAAGATTTTTCCCTTTCCAATGGGTATGATAACCGCTCAATCAAATTTGTTTTTCATGTTTTTTTTTTGGTTTTTTTTTATTTTCTGGCAAGTATGTGTACACTACCTAGATTTAAAATTCCTGATCCATCCCTGATACCCCAGATGTACATAATGATATAGTAAGCCTCTCTGTTAAATGGTATTAAGGATATGATGATAGATTTTTGACTAAACAGTAGACTTATTCAATCTATCTAGTGTATATAAAGACACAAACAACACAACACAGAATTTCTTTGTTTATTAGATGGTTTACAGCTAACACAAATGTTTTTAAGTAACCACTGACGATACAACCACCTAATGGTCAGTAACACAATGACCAGTACAGCGGGATGCAGTACTGACCAGCGATGGTGGAGGTTAGGGAGTGCAAGCCTTGATTCTAACAAAATCTGCTAATTTCACACAAAATCAAAGATCATTTTGATATGATTTAAAATATTGAATTTTGATACATTTATTCAATTCACAAATCTTTTAATGAAAACATCAATAAATGAAATAAATTTGAAAAATCAGACTTTGAACGTCTATCCTGTCTATCAGTTATGTTGAAAATTATCTTATCCAAGTGTCTCTCAAGCCAGATTTTGCTAGCAATGTTCATGTCTACAACAGACTGCTATATTGTACTTAACATAAATGATCATTCTGTCTCTAAGCAACTGAGTATTATTATACACATGTACCAATATCAAATTCTATTTTTCACATGACAACGGGTTCTAGTCTCTAGGTGGAGTGATCCTTTCTACTTCACTGTTAAGTTTGCAACAGGTCCAGGGTGAAGGCAGATAAACTTATACAATTTCTACAACAAAATTGGCACAAAACGGAGAGAAATGTTTTAAAAATACTATTTGACAGTATGTTTTCACAGAGAAAACATGGTGTCAGGTGAAATAGCTGCTAGCAAAACACCAAAATATCTCTCATAGTGTACAGATCAATGATCAACTTCATCATAATCTAAATCTGATCAATTTCAAGTATATAATACTTGTCACAACACCAGGAAGCTATCGGCAGGTTTCTTTATGTAAATGTAGGGTATCTAAAGCTTCAAATGTTAAAATGACGATTTAGTGATAGATGTACAATTTTCATAACAAACCAATGAGAAAAGACATAATATCAGATATAAGTTGAACATTCCGTTTTCATGAATTGAACAATATGTTATGTGATATTCAGAAATGTCTTTTTTAAGTACAACTTTGCTAATATCATAAAATGAAAACGTAAGACAGATTCATATATTGCACAGACAATTGCAAGGCTTAAGGGATGATTTTGGAAATCCTTTGACAGAGGACATTTTTCATGAACTGGTCACAGTGATAAGCTAAATCCCATAGTGCCTGTAAATCTGAAGGATCCTTGAATCCTGACTATGATATGACAAAATATACATCAAATGTTACCGATAGTGATAGTCACAGGAACTTGGTGTGGATTCCCAACCCACGGACCATTTGTACGTATTACATAGCGACGTTAATACTTATATATGATCTGTGGGTTGGGACTTTGGGCAAAGTCCCTGTGGTGATAGTTACTTTTGTTCCAAAGTACTCAATAAACTGGCCACTACAATACTAACAAAAGTTTTACTTTATATAAAGGTGATACAACAATTTCAAACAATCAGTTTAATGGATAATGTTTACTTAAAGATATTTATTTATCTATATCAAGGTGATACAATCCCTCGATAAAAAACTGTATCACCTACAACTGGTTGCTATAGGTTGTATCACCTACAACTGGTTGCTATAGGTTGTATCACCTACAACTGGTTGCTATAGGTAAGTGGTTGCTATAGGTTGTATCACCTACAACTGGTTGCTATAGGTTGTACCACCTACAACTGGTTGCTATAGGTTGCTGGTTGCTATAGGTTGTATCACCTACAACTGGTTGCTATAGGTTGTACCACCTACAACTGGTTGCTATAGGTAAGTGGTTGCTATAGGTTGTATCACCTACAACTGGTTGCTATAGGTTGTACCACCTACAACTGGTTGCTATAGGTTGTATCACCTACAACTGGTTGCTATAGGTTGTATCACCTACAACTGGTTGCTATAGGTAAGTGGTTGCTATAGGTTGTATCACCTACAACTGGTTGCTATAGGTTGTACCACCTACAACTGGTTGCTATAGGTTGCTGGTTGCTATAGGTTGTATCACCTACAACTGGTTGCTATAGGTTGCTGGTTGCTATAGGTTGTATCACCTACAACTAGTTGCTATAGGTTGTATCACCTACAACTGGTTGATATAGGTTGTATCACATACAACTAGTTGCTATAGGTTGTATCACCTACAACTGGTTGTAATAGCTTGCTGTAGGTTGTATCACCTACAACTGGTTGTAATAGGTTGTATCACCTACAACTAGTTGCTATAGGTTGTATTACCTACAACTGGTTGCTATAGGTTGTATCACCTACAACTGGTTGTAATAGCTTGCTGTAGGTTGTATCACCTACAACTGGTTGTAATAGGTTGCTGTAGGTTGTATCACCTACAACTGGTTGCTATAGGTTGTATCACCTACAACTGGTTGCTATAGGTTGTATTACCTACAACTGGTTGCTATAGGTTGTATCACCTACAACTGGTTGCTATAGGTTGTATCACCTACAACTGGTTGATATAGGTTGTATCACCTACAACTGGTTGCTATAGGTTGTATCACCTACAACTGGTTGATATAGGTTGTATCACCTACAACTGGTTGTAATAGGTTTCTGGTTGCTGTAGGTTGTATCACCAACAACTGGTTGCTGGTTGCTATAGGTTGTATCATCTACAACTGGTTGCTATAGGTTGTACCTTACAGAAGATGTATTACATTTACACAGGTTATTGGTTACTTTACCTAAGGGTATTTACACGATATTCATTTTCACATTGTGTCAAATATTTATTGTGTAGTATAGATTTTACCTATATGGAATTTGTGACATTTATAATATATTTGAATTCAGAATTGGTTGTTTTTATAAAAAAAAATAGAAAGAAAAATTATGAACATATA